CCAGGTTACGCTTTGCATGACCTTTAGGTGTTGTGGATAGAATTCACGAGAAGGGGTTAACGCTGCAATAGCTTCAAGCAAGACGATTTCCTGCTTATTCAATGGCGAGGATGTGAAGAGAGAAGCTCCTTTGAGAATATCGATAGCCTCTTCGACACCCGTGTTACCGGTGAGGGGATCGGGCAGGCAGAATGAGGTAAGCACGTGTAGGTATGCTTGATACAAAAGGGCGAGTGCATCTTGTGCACCTCGCAGCTTGCGAAGATGGCGATCTAATGAGTAGACAAAATGCTGGCGCTTCGAGCCTTCAGCATCTTGAACATTGACTTTGACGTGAGTATCGTCCCTGCAGACTGTGACCTCTCCAAAAGGCACCAGAATCTGGCGCTCTTCAGGGCAACCAGAAGGGACGGCACTGCGAAGGACAAGCTTGTTGTGTAAGCCAACCAAGGTGCCAACGTTCTGATCAGGGTCCACAATGGCATTGAACTCGAGAGATCTGAGTTCACCATCCATGGTGACTGTAAAATGGAGATTGTACCTCCGAAGCTCAACTTCAAGCTGGAAAGGACGGCAGCTATCGAGTGTAATATGACAGTTTGTAGCCTTGTCAAGCACACTAAGAATGTTTGTCACACCCTTGCCAACGTTGCTGCTCGGTTCGATGAGACTCCTCGTTCCGAGTTGCAGTTGCGCTCTAGCTGTAGAGAAGCTGAGGCTAGAGAAAGTCATCCTCCAGTTGTTCATAGCGCTTTCCCAGGGGCGTTCAAGTGGACGGAACTCGATATCACCAGTCGACTCATCAAGCCAATGATAGAAAGAGTGGACAAAATAATCCGGCAATGAGTCTCTAAAGGTAGACTGTGGCAGGGCTTGTAGTGTACGATTGTTGACACGGGTCTTGATGACAATCGCACGACCGCGTATGCCCAGGTGAACTTCATTGCCTTCAATGTGCTGAGAGACTCGACACTCCATGCCAGGAATGTCCGACGCGAAGACCCGAAGGACCGAAGAGCCGAAAATATGTTTGAACAGGGATGATGATCTGATGTTGTCAGGAACTTTGCCGACCGACTTGCCATCGACAAGCATGTGGCCACTGAGGAGGTTGAAGTAGACTGTTTGACTGTGGCCGCCCTCGGCGGGGATTGTCTTATTAGAAACCCAAGAAGGAGAGGCTCTGGAGAATATAGTCCACTTACAGCCCAGATTGACGCCATTCCAAATGTGATGGATAGCTGAGTTCAAGCCAGCGCCATGGAACGGAAAAAGTTGATGAACATGTGGCTCCAATCTGTGAGCTATCTTGGAGTGGCGAATAAGGCTCTGTTGTATAAGTGAAGGCAGGAGTTTCTTGTCGCCCGGTGCACTGTCACAAACAATCGCCTGTGCCTCGGCTGCGACTGCAAGGTCATCAGCTGATGCGAGAAAACGATGAATATGTCGTTCCTCGACATCAAAGGTGCTGTAGCACAGAAGAGCAACAAGAAGCAATCGTTCAACAGCATCGTTCTGGACGTCCTCATGATCTGAGGATTGGTGAATGTGAGCTTCGAGTTGGTGACACCACTTAAGTGTGACCTTTCTTGCATCCTTGAGAAGAAGCAGACGGCCAGTCTGTGTTTGTTCGTCAGGAGCCAAAGACAGGAGGCGTAATGTAAGCTGTATCATGGTCATCATGCTGTATTGTTTGTCCCAATTATTTTCGATGGCTATCAATCTTCGGCGAAGCAGAGTAAGCATTTTCTGACGGAAGTCGGCATTGAGGAATTCTGCATGTGCTTGTCGAAGATCATCTGACGATGAGCTTCCCCCTTCCCACAAAGCTTGCAAGAGAAGAACGGTCACAGCAGGGTTTGTGTGGTCGAGATTGGAGCATCCAAGTTCGCGAAGGATGTTGATGCTCTGAACTCTCTCTCCGGCCCGAAGGTTACCGAAAGCGAGGAACTCTTCCTTCTCCAGACGCACATCACACTCGCGCTGCTTGGACATCACTTCGTTGGTAGTATGTGCCGTGGTGTTTACCGCCCATTGGAGCTTCTCGTAGGGTCCTGCAGGTAGTCGCAAGATGCAATGGGACTTGACATCTGAATCTACATTCGACGTCGCCCATTTCTTACTAGTACAATCCCACATCTCGTATCTGAGACCGTTCGGATGACAGATCGACGCAATATTAGTTGGAAGACTGGTGCTCTTGTAGTGCGAGTTGAGTGCCGGCTTGATTTTGGAACCCAGTGTGATGCGGGTCTTCAGGGTGACGTACTGCTTCAGTTGGTTATACTCGGGCAACGTAACGTAGACCTGGTCAGATGGGTGGCGGGTCTGACCAGTGTCGTTAAGAACAAGCCAAGTCGCATCTCTCCAAGCAGCAAAGGACTGAGGAACCTTCAGTTCGAATATGGCAGCTTTGAGCTGTACCTCGATGTAAGGAAGTGATTCTTCGAAGCCATCGATTCTCATCGCGCTCGCCTTGTCCTTCTTTATACACTTGCGGCAACGGTTTCTGGCATGGTATCGGTAGCCTTTGCGATTCCAAAACTGATCGCATTCCATGTTGGCGACCGCAGTCATGAGCTGGTTGTACTTCGTCATCTCTCTGTCGAGTTGCTGAGTCTTCGCGACTTTGCGTTTTCTATCCTCCTCCACAATTGTGGCGCGCAATTGCTGGAGTGAAGGTGTTTGGTCATAGTAGCGGTTAGAAAAGCTGAGCGCAGTGGGATTCTTGAAGGCACCGTGTGCAGGACGGGAAGCTTGAGAAAGGCGCTGGTTGATGTATCGCTCCACGACAGAAAGACGTTGCATTTGCTGGATCTTGGGCAGCAAGAGGCACTGAAAGAGAACCGTAGATACCTCTGGAGGATATTCCAGCAAGAGAGGAAGACCCAGAGTACAAATCTTGTCAAGGGTGACCCAAAGTTCCGCGATAACGAGCAAGGCGTTAGATTTCTCGAGTGGGCTGCTCTTGTACTCGGAAGAAGCGTGGTTCCAGTAATTTTCGATAAGTGTCGCTAAATCACTGCAAGCAGCAGTACTGCCAGAACTCAACTGAAGTGCTGTCCAGGCATGAAGGTGTTTCTCCACCCAAAGCTCAACATCGGTGAGTGCTGTGAGCAAGTACTTGACACTTCGTAGTGCGGTAAACGATGGAAGTTTGCTAGAATCTTCGGCGATACGTTGGGGTGACTCTGACACAAATGCCGATGACTGCCTGGGGGAAGCAAGAGGGACAGTAGCTTGATCCAATGTCTGCCGAGCACTGGAGGTCAAAGACAAGTATATGTCATTTTCCCATTCAGTCCCAGGAAGTCGTTCGATATTGTTTTGTTTGCCTGCATGGCGCGACCAGATTTGTTCAAGGACTTTCCGAGCCTGCTTAGAAACATCTTAGTGAAAACCAGAACCCAGGATGGCAATATCCAGGCGCCTGATGTCGACTGAGGCGAGACAGATGATAGACTTGGAGAACTGAGGCAAGAAGAAAAAAGATCGGGTGCAAGAGAGACGAAAGTATGGTAGGCTACGAAGAGTGCAGAATGAGAAATATTTGTGATGGTAACACTGACGGTGTGATAGGCACAAACGGAGAAAAAAGACTTGCATGTATGAACCCGAGCTCACTTCCTGACTCTCTTACCAATGGAGCGGAAGAGTAGCTGTATCCGAGACACGGACCAATGATTAATCACATCTGTCAGACAGACATAGGTCATAGCAGAAAATGACAGATCTGAAGGGTAGACTATGGAGAAGAGACAAACGGACGGCAACCTGAATGAACTCATCTTGATTACTGTAATGAACAGTGAACAAATCATGGTGACCATCACTTGTTCGTGCGCAGCGGTTGGAGGGCCAGTGTTCCTGTAGACAATACTCGCTATCAATATGTTTGGCAAGCAAGAGGAGAGGTTGGGTCGACACCAGCTTTCGCACTTGCAAACTTCGCGGCAAATCCCGACACGATTGTTTTCCTTCTTGCAATGGCAGCCACGACACTCAGCATCACGACATCAACATCAACCGCGCCTGCTGTATTGTTGTTCCAATCGAACACGTCTGTCACCGAGGATGTTTGTATGCGCGATCCAGAACCACTAGTTGTTCGTCGACAAATTTGACAGACCCCTATGACTTCACGATCATCTCGAATGAACAATGCAGTAATGTCGATTCTTAATGGTCTTGTGACTGAGCCGGGATATATAAGAGGAGGAACATCTGACATACACGGGTGCGGTCGCTGGTGAAGACGGCGTGCGACACAACCTTGAGCCATCTCGAGATATGCGTGTCTGCAAGCCCGCATGTTGCGCACCAACTCCTCAGACTGCATGTGTCCTGCCTTGCTTCATGACAGCTTGTTACCCGCTTGCTTTCGTTGTCGAACTCGCTGTCGAAGAGCTCGAGAAGCAGAGCATACCGCTTGAGGCAGCAGAAGCCAGACATCCAGAAGACGAGCCCCAACGCTTCTTTGCATTGCATAAAACGTCCATGCTACCGGATCTTCTGTCTAGGGAGTGTTCTCTGAGCTCTTGGAGATTTTGGCCATGAACACGACATGGTCGACCTGTCTTCTCGACAGCGGTATAGTCGCTGCTCAACTTAGCAAGAGCCTCTCTCAAACCTTCAACACGTTCACGTGGTAGCACACGATCCTTTCAACGGTCGAGACGCGCCTTGTTGAGTGGCGATCATCTTGAAGCTGACCAAGGACTTTGATGCCGGTGAGACGGAAGGCGGCATCCTGATTTACACAGCGGTCAATGAGGGGTAAGCCAGCCTCTATTCCAAATATCACCTCTTGGTAAGTGGGAGTGAGCCTTCAAATAGACCATCATACCTTGTTCAATTGAACTTCAGTCTCCCTTCATATCGCCTTTGCTCAACCCTGCTTCGTGCTTGTTCTCGGCTTCTTGATCTTTACCCCGCATCTGCTCTATACCACGGAACGCACTCCGCTCGAACCTATCCTCGGCAGCAAGACCACAATCACAATGGCAAAAGGCAGCTGCATGTGTGGTGAAGTCCACTACGAGTACACCGTAAGTCATCTCACCCTTCACCCATCCACGCCTCTTGCTGACTCTTGACCGTCANNGGGTGAACCAGCAGTAACAGCCCTCTGCCACTGCACCGACTGCCAAAAATGGACCGGCGCCGCCTACACCTCGAACATCGTCGTCCCCCGCAAGACCTTCAACGTCACAAAGGGCAAGCCCAAGGACTACGATGCCGTTGGTGACTCTGGCAAAATCAACAAGCATTGGTTCTGCTCCACCTGTGGTTCTTCTCTGTACACCGAGCTGGAGGTTATGCCTGACATGACTTGTGTCAAGAGTGGAAGTTTGGATGGCGGTGCTGCAAACCATGAGATCAAGGTTGAATTTTACAACAAGGATAGATTGGGATATACCAAGCCGGTTGAGGGGGCTGACCAGAAGGATGCGTTTTCTTGAGGGTTGAGTGGTGGTGCTCTAATTTGGTGAGCATTATTGCTGATGTTGGGCTCTTTTGGAAGACATGCCATTTGATGAATGGTTCTGGAATGTCAAACTCATATTTATACTGAAGTTTTGTTTACGTGTCCAACACATCACTATCGTAAACAAAAGGACTATGTGGGTCACCTCTCACTACTACTGAGTAAGGTAATCCAGCGGGTAACCCAAGATAGCACACTGCTCAACATCTCTGAGCGGCATCATGACCGAGTTCCACTGCAACTCCATCATCCTCGGCTCTGCCGCATCCACCTTTTCCCAAGACCCCGACTTCTCAATCTGATTAACAGTGTTCCAGTACCCTCTCACCTTCAAATACTCAACATCCGGATTCGGATCCAGATTCCACGCAAAGCTAGTCCAGTAATCAGTCATCAGTTGCCCAAACTTTGCATCCAAGCCATCACGATCGGGAAAGCCGACTCGAGCCACATTGCCAAAAGTGTTTGCGAGATCTCCAGCATGGCATTTGAAGTATTCTTGTGAAGGGTCGCCGTAAGGATGGGATGGTGTGACTGGAGCGGCGCACACGAGGTTGGGATTGTATGCTGGATCTTGGTATGTGCGATTGAACTCGTAGAACCAGATGTTGGGCAACACGCCATCTTTTACGCCTGCATAGGCTTCGAACTGGTTGACGCAGCGGAAGGAGAGGTCGGTCGAGATGCGGGTTGTGGTGTTGAAGACGTTCAGAGTCGCATTGTTGGTGTGACTGGTGCCGAGAGGGAACAAATCAGAGTCGAGGATGTTGCTGGCATTGAGGTGGTTTGCAGTGGCGAAATCTTCAATGCCGATAGTCAAGTCTGTGGTTGGGTAGACTGTTCCGAGCACACCTTCTTCATCGCGGTTCACGCCCATGACTACTGGCACGCGATTGGTAAGGGTGGTCGTGCTGTTGAGATCGATGAAGTCGGACACGAGGTATGCGCCATCGACCACTGGGTAGCTATATACGTGTGAGTGAAAAGTATTCTGCATGCTCGGACTGACTTACTTGAAGACAGTCTTAAGGCTGATCAACGCGGTAGCATTGTACGCTTGGAGACACGCTAACTGATCGGCCGCAGTAGCACAACCTGTCTGGTTGAGAATAGGAACCGTGGTCTGGTTGATCGCGGTAGCCAACGGGACATAAGGTTGATAATAGTTTGACTGCAAGATCGCTCCGTGGAAAAGACCTTTACCCTTAGGCGAAGCAATAAGAGCATTGACAGACTCTGCTCCAGCCGACTCACCAAAAATAGTGACACGAGTTGGGTCTCCTCCAAAGTTCTCAATATACTTTTGGACCCATTCCAAACCGGCAATCTGATCAGAGAGGAAGTAGTTGCCATTGTGAACGCCATCATCGAGAGCAAGGAAGCCAAGAGTAGACAGGCGATATGCGATATCGACAACGACGACATCGCCTCGTGCAGCTAGGTTGCCGCCATCGTTCGTTGGGTTGCTTGCAGATCCAGTCGTGAATCCGCCTCCGTAGATGTAGACCATGACTGGCTTGAGGTCTTTCTTGGCAGATCCAGGTAGACTAGTTGTCCATATGTTGAGGAATAGACAGTCTGTAGAGCCATTGTTCGGCAACGTCAGACATTCAGGCGCAGGTTCGAGAGCATTATTGGTGCCTGTCCCTCCATAGACAGAAGAGTAGGTAAACCTCTCAGGCTCGGCAGCGAATCGAACGCCCATAAATCGAAAAGTCAAGAAGTCACGGTACCCGACAAGTGTCTGCGAGCCAACAGATTGGGAAATCTGATATGGCAGAGAGTTGTCTGCGTAGGTGATATTAGATGCTGGCGCGGTCTGAGAGCAAAGAGTCGGGAGTTTTGCTTTGCAGCTGACTTGGTGAATCTGTCCATGAACGTCCATCGCTTGACATTGCGGAGGTCCAAGATGCTTGGACTGCCAGGTGGGGTGAGACTGGGTAATCCACATGAGTTGGTTGCTCGCAAGACGTCCACTATAAACCTCGTATGCAAGACTGTTGTTCAAACCAGCATTGAAGGGCAAGGTAGAGGGTGACCATAGATTCTCGGACAAAGACTCGCATGCACTGAGTGCTGAGGATAATGTGACTGGGCTACGCAAGAGCAGTGCGGCGCTAGTAGTACTGTTGTCTGTGGCTTTACTCAAATTATCAGTATAAGATATTCAACAAAGTGTAAACTGGACACGTACTGANNTCAAGTCATCGGCAGCTAGGATTTGAACATCTCCAATCTGGCTTGGGCTGGGAGTTGCTAGGACATGACTTCTCAAAGCAAGCAGGCCAAAGCATGTGGTGAGAATGTGGGTCCTCATCATACCTTAGGATGATTGAGGTCGCGGAGATTGTTTCGTGAGGCCGGTACATTGAACCTGGGTGGTCTGCAGTATTTATATAGCTCCGCACCTATACTGTGCTGCTATGAACATCAATGACGATGCTACTGGTATCCATGGCAGTATACCGGGTACCCGGCATTGTTCAAGGATGACCTCAGCTATCCCACCATCGTCTTGGCGGCTAAAATGTAAACATCGTGGTCTCTCCATAAACAATCAAGTACGATTTTCCATGTTTGCATGGTCAGAAGTAGGCGACCCCACTGGATAAATGTGTCCCTGCCGTTACCCCACACGCATAGCAGAAAGTACATGCGCGGCCCCAGCCTGCTTCTTTCCAGCCGATGTGCCAAAGGAGTGGTAGCAGCCAGTGGGTAATGTGTTAGATATGGCGAGGAACAGTCCGCATAGATAGGGCGCCAAGAACAGCATCTCACAGACTAAACTCCAGCCTATTCCCAGCGTAATCTCTCGCGAAAAATCTGGTTGGATATTCCACGCCCTTTGAGCCNNTATCCCACACATATTAGCTTGAGGGCCCTTAGAGTCATACTGCATTGGACAAAGACAAACCTGAATTTTCTTCTCCAGGTCTATCAGCTGCTTTGGGAGCCCCTTTGCCGCCGGCCTCAAAATGCTCATAGACGCGGCTTTGGAGCTTCAAGAGAGATTCTGGTGACTCGACACGAAAACAAGGATGGCGAGATGATTCTTCGTTTGGTGGACCAGAGGCGATATGAACCTGCTGACCGTTCGGTGTGATGTCAAANNCCTGGGTATTGTTAACAAGTCTGCGTCTAAAGTCTGCAGCCCTTGCAGGTGGATATCTCGAGACTACCGACCATGCGAGCCTGTCCTTTTGCAAAGCTGGGACAGGAACCCGTTGCATGCCGAGAGTGTTGCTATAGAATGCCTCTGCCTCATCGAGAGTGCCCGAGGGCACGATGAGGTTTACGTGCGCGATACCGGTTAACATTATCTAACTGTATGGAGCGTAACGCGGCTGTATTGAAATCTTGAGTAGAAGTAAGAAGGTATGAAGTCGTTGTATGCCTTGGTGAACAGAAAGGTGACATCCGGTGGGGCTGCGAGATATGCGGGGTTCTCGCCGACTTGGAAGCTGGGTTGTTTGAAAAGCTCTTCTCAGCCTAGATTCGAACTGACGACCTTCGTTCACGATTACCACTCATTTTCGAGACCTGCACGTCGCAAAAGAGGTTACTTAACACCTCGTGCAAAGCTTCTCGTACCATTTCAAAGTGCTGACACGACTCATCGATAGATTTTACCATCATATTCTTGTACGAGCGCCTCCAAACTGATATTACACTCGCAGGATGCAGAAGGGTGTTTACGTGGTACAAGCCACGAACGCCGGCGGAGGTATGCCCGCGCGGCCAGAAGAAAGAGGCAGGACGACATCGATTGCACGGGTGAATAGTAATCACGTTTGATATGGCTGACAAGCAGCTTCCACTTCACTCTGTGGAGAACCCATCGACGCTTGCTTGCTGCTCCGGGAACGTTAGGTGGTCTGGATGTGTTCAGACAATCCGGGTCTTTCTGACGATCAAGGAATAAAATTGAGGTATAGAGCTTATCGCGGACTCATCAGCTGAAATTGCAGTCAGACTGCCTCATGAGACTATGATAATCCACAAATAACAGGACGTAAGTCCGTTCAACATCACCAGCTGTGTGCACGTACAGGTACTGTAAGCATGGTACTTGGCGTAGAGATGCACCGGTCGGAGCGGGCGGTGATGGCTGTCCTTCCGCTCCTACAGACAGAATCTTGACCTGCTTAACAACATACGTATAGTTGTTGTAAGTAGTCAGACATACCTGTTCAAATACTCGATAGTGTGTGCAAACAATAACGGAGGAGATGTTCGGGCTCGAGGCTCCTAGGCGGGTTCAAAAAGGGTTCAGGCCTGGAACGTTCTTTCTCTTCTTGTGGAGAGATTTCCAGACCACTGCCAACCTCCCACCTCTGCTTCTTTCGCAGCCATGCACGCCTTTCTGGTGCCACAATCGCCGATTGACAGCAATTTAAACAGACCAAGTGCGACGACTACGCGCTGATAATAAGAACAAAGAGCTCGAACAGCACGGACCCATGCACCGGTCGACTGCCCGTTCCTCCGCTGTGCAGAAAACGGGTTTCCACTTTGCCGCCCGGTGAACCTTTTTGCAAGCTGTCACTCGTCGCAAATTGATTGAAACAAAGGCCCAGATCAAGGTCTCGAAGGAAATTATGTAAGAACAGATTCCACTCCCGAGGAACCGGCTTCAAGGCTGGGCCAGACCGTCAGGAACGTCCTCTGTCAAAACATGCGTCTCGATTTCGACTCGGGAAGCCTCAAACATGACGGATACGTGCTGCGCGAGAGATCTGATTCGTTGCCACGAGTTATGTGGCATTCTTTCTGATTATGAAAACACCATTTCCATGAGTCAAGATTGCTCAGATGTCGGTCTCTCTCCTGGGTATAACCATTGCTAGCACGAAGACATGGTGCTTGGTCAAGATTAGACCAGCCTATTTCCGGCATGCAAAACATGCCTGAACTCCGATCCTAGGTCTCGACCCTGGTACCACCAATCCTTACCGTGGATCAGACAGACACAAGAACAATGCTATGCATAATTAATCAGGCCTTCGTACGGGAATTGCATTCTGCTAGTATATTATCCCTTAGATATGCATGACGGACAGATCGCGGCAGGCCGGCCTGGAAACAGTCATGCGACAAGCCACTGCACCGCCCGGCTCGCGCCTCTGGTCCACCTCTTGCCTAGAGCTCGACGGCGTTCGCATGCTTGGTGCAGATCGACCGCTAGTATGGCTGGCAGTGTTCCGGCAGTTTGTGGCGCTCTGCAAGTATCAGTCGACCCCTCTCAAGCACAGCAGGGGCATTTCAGGATATATTCTCTGCTCTGGCTGTTCTTTACCTCTTTCCGTGTCTCATATCAACCTCACTCCAACCTCGAAAGCATTCACATCATGGCAGTCCACCAACCATTGAGCATTCAATCCAAACGCAGAAGCATTTCTTTGTTGATTCAACCTATCAACAACATTCAGCCAGCCATGACAGCACAAGCACTGGCACTGGAGAAGCTCGGCCGTTCTGTGGACATGAGCATCTTTTCAGAACTACTCGACCTCGATTCGCCATCTGAGATGTTCAGCAAGGATGTTGTTTGCGAGTATCTAGTCATGGCTCCGGAGACATTAGCTACGATGAAGGAAAGCCTGTATGTTTGGATCATGCTCTCTGTATCACAAAGCCAACACTGACATTTTCGTAGTACGCACATCAATCTCTCACAGCTCAACACAAGCACACAATCACTTCGCTGCGCGTCAATGGTGCTGGGTCTCACACGTATCGAAAAGGCATGTTCTCGGATCGAGACTATTCTGACACATGGTGTCGAACTCCACTACACGGGCATCGGCCTTGGTCAAATCTGCGAGATCCTCAGCTTCGTCGTCAAGGATGCACATTCACATTTCGAGTTGGCGAAGATGGCCTTTTCATCATTCTACAGCTTGCCAATGGATTCTCCACGAGAAGACGCTTCCGATGCCTCGAGTGCAAGCTTTCAGTTATGATGAGCTCGACCCACATTGCCGACGTCTCGGCTGGTCGAGGTCATCGGTGTTCTGCTTCTCTTGTTCTCCGCCTCTCTTCTGGATGGGTTCATTTTCTTCGAGCGCAGCCATACGATACCCCCAAATGTTTGTTTCTGTCAGATGTAAGATTGATGGACGACCAAGACCTGATGATGATGATGACGATGATGATGATTATGATGATATATACGATGTATGAATAACGCCTTTATCTCTTTCTGTTTTTCCATGCCTCCCCTTTGTGACTTGTTCAAACTTGTCAACGTGCGATGTGATGGTAGTATAGAAAGGTACTAAGCAATGAGGTTGATCAACCTAGCAAATGCACCTCCCAAAAGGAGATATACATCAATCTTCGACACTGGACGAGTTTCTCTTTGGTTTGGTAAGTGTATATATTCTGAATAACAAAGGAGACAAGCACATACGGCCACAGTCAGCTGAAAACTGGGCATCCCGTCCGCTCTGCCATACATAAGCAGTTGAACGGCAGATTAGTACTACGGTGGGTGACCACGTGGGAATCCCTGCTGCTGTATGTTTTGTANTCTTCCTTTTGTCTTGAGACGACTACAAACATCCTTTTGTCTTCGCAGATGATGCTTTGTTGGTTCGATCACTGCGGGTTGCATACAAGCAGATGGGCAAGAGACAGATGAAAGGGTATGCCTGTACATAGTCGACTCTTTCTAACTAATGCCTTTCTGATGCTCAATGAATAACAATGCCTTTTCCACTCCATCCCATACAAGTCTCCAAAGACACAACGCTCTCAAAAAAATGCAAGTATGCAAATGTATGACTAACCCATCTACTGCTCAGCAATCCTCCACGCCCTCAATGGCAAACTTTGCAACTGCAGCGCCTTGGGCTTGATGAAACCCCAGAAAGTAACCACACCGATGATGATGCAAAGCACATTGACAATGTAATAGCCATCGGTGGTGATATTGCATGTTCCACCGCCGTTGACACAGACATGGCGGTCGTTTTCGAGGGCGCAGGAGAATGGTTTGGTGATGAGTTCGCCTTTGAAGTCTGGAGGAGCGATCGAGGCGGGTGTGCATGTTGCGGCGGTGAACATGTCGACGAACTTGAGGATGAAGAAGCGGGNGAAGGTGCCGCCGAGGTTGGATACACTGAGGTTGAGATTAGTGTTGTGGTATTGATAGGGCAGAGGGAGGACTTACGTGGCGAGGAGAGTCATATAAGTACCGCCGATATGGGGATCAGCAATTTTTGCGTGGAAAGCGCTGACGGCGACGAACATGACGGTGCTCATGAAGGTACTGAAGACGTGCTCGACAATGACGACACAGAGGTATGGGAGGTTGGTGCCGCCGCTGGGGAAGATCATGACGGTGAACTGAGCAAAGGCAGCAGCGACGAGTCTGCCTACAAATGCCCAACACCACAGTCGCATGGGAGCGTACTGCTCACTCCACTTTCCAGCATAGTAACCTAGCGAGATCTCGAAAGGGAAGTCGATGAGAACAGTAAGAGCAAGGTCTTCCTGGCTGAAGCCCTTCTCGAGAAGCTTGAGGTTCGTGACTGCGTCGTTTGCTTGAAAGCCAATCTTTGCGATGAGATGGATGACAATGAATGTCTGGATGTTCTTCAAGCTGAGGATACCGCCCATAACTCTATAGACCTCCATGATGCCATCTCTTTCCTTGGTCTTGTCTTCCTTTTTGAGTAGAGCGAGGCCGAGAGTCACAAGCAGGTAGGCCCAGCCCCAGAAGCTGAGGTAGCCACCCAGAGTAAGAAGGCCAGTCTCTTCGGGAGCGCTGCGGAACCACTTGTTGGCAAAGTCTTTCGACGAGAGAGCGAGGAAGACGGTGTAGGAAAGGAACTGGCCGGCGGTCAGGCCCACGGTTTGGGCGGTACTGGCGTAGGAGAGATTGGAGGGCGAAAGGAGGGTAAGTGCCCAGCCNNTAGACTATGTTAGTGCTGATTCTCGTTGATGGTCAAGGGCATACACACCATCTACAGCAATGTCCTGAGTAGCGCACATCAGGACCAGAGCGAACCACCAGCCGGTAAAGTTCCAGACGCCTGCGCCGCCGTTCTCGCCAGCCTTGACCATCATTTCTTCGACGTGAGATCCGAGCCAAATCATGCCCAAACCACTGATTGTCTGGATAGGGAGAATCCAACTCTTTCTCCTGCCCAACTTGGGCGTCCACACGGCGTCGACGATGGGCGACCATAGTAGTTTGAGCGAATAGGGGTATGAAGCGAGCGAGTAGACGCCAATCTGGCCGTACGAGAGATGTGACTTGAGGAGGAAAGGGACCGAGCCACTAGCCAGGCCCATAGGAATGCCTTGCAGGAAGTATAGCAAGACCAGTAACAAGAAGTTGCGCTTGTCCTGCTCGGGGAGGTCTGTGAAGCCTTTGGAGGCGGCCTCTTGATGGGTCGTCGGCGGAGGGGCATTGTCGAGAGTAAAGGAGCTCCTGCTCATGAGGTTGGCCGTCATGGTGGCAGAGTCGGGGGATTCGAGCGAGGCATGCTTGCGCCGTTGCTCGAGCAGGTTGCCAGACATGGTTTGGTCGTCGATGGACGAGGCTGACGAGGGAGCAGAACCCGTGGCCCTGCTAGGTCTGCTAGAGGCGCCGTTGGCTTTCCTGGGCATCGGAGACGGCGAGCGCTTCGGATTGATGTCTACCGGGCGCGAGTGGTGCGAGTTGGCTGCACCTACGTCGATTGGGCGGAGCGGTCTTCTGTTCTCCCTACTCGCAGAGCCAAACGTGTCCAGACGGATATTATCGTCCCGCGAATTGTTATCGATATCCACAATATGGGACCGGGGCTGCGCGTGGAGTAGATCGGCCGACAGCGTAGCAGACATGCACCAGATCTTCTTTTCGAATCTTCTCTATATCAACAGACTATGTACAGGAGACGCTCGCCAGCAACTTTTCCATTCCTTCCAAGACGCTCGATGAAACACGTTACACCATGCAGGTCCCCTCTCTCCTTTCGTAACGTGGCCCTTGCGCTCTCCTCCGCAGAGCCGCTGCCAAGAACCCATCATTTGCCGATCTCTGCGACCTGTCTCTGTTCCATTCTTTGCTCGTCACCACGTGCATCTTCGAGCAATATCCCGACCGATTTATCTCATTGGATCTCATTGGGTCTCATTGGGTCTCATTGGGTCTCATTGGGTCTCATTGGGTCTCATTGGGTCTCATTGGGTCTACATGTCCACTCACAATGGAGCTTTGTGCTTCTCGTGAGGGGCTTGTATTTCTTGGGCCTCGAAAACGCCATCTCAATGAGCATAGAGTCGCTGTTCTTCATTATGCTACTGCTCTCAGTGGCCATGTTTGCATGATAGAAATTGTTTGTGCATTGTGATGGACTTCATGAGCTTCTGCTTTGTCTTGGGGGTTCTGTCGTGCTGTCGTTTGCATCTGCACGTAACCGCTGAGCAATTCTGGATACCAACACTGAATTCTGACATGTAGAATCATTCAATGGCAAGTATATACTTCTTCTCCTTCTTTTCCTCTCTTCGAGACTGCGAGAATCGTAAACAAGACCCTTGCCTTTTGCTCCTGAGTTCTTGGAATCGTGCGCAAGAATATTCCGCGCCCATCTGTTTTCCATCACATCACGGAAGGCGCGACCTCTCTCAGGCAGACATCAACAACGCGCTCCAAACATGGCGTCAACCACTTCCGACTCTGCAGACGCGTCTGAACAACTCTCCAATGTTCGCTCATCTCGACTGCACATCCACAACAAAAGCTAACATCATCCAGCTAAACATCACACACCCAGCCTTGGCTGTGCATCACAACATGGCAACCAGCATCGATCAGCCTGCCGAGAGTGAGCATACCAAGCTGACTCTTGAGACTCTACCCCCTGAGATCAAGAACGAGATCTTCTCCAATCTTCTGCTCGGCGCCAAAGTCAAGTATTCGACCAATGGAGCGTGGCCAGGTTACAAGTACAGATTCCACACTACCATCATGCGTGTCAGCAAGCAGATGAAGCGGGATGCTACCGCCTATCTGCACAGCCAGAACGAGTTTGCCCTGATCAGCTCCAAGTTCTTCGCCTTCGAGATCAGCAGAAAGCGCTTCCTGCCCACCGTCGCCACGGGCAAAGCTGCGAGAACCTTCAAGGACCCTGCTATCGAAGCAACCATCACTCATGTTGGGCCGACTAAATGCAGTTGTTGCCCTGTTGGTGTTCACCTGGCCAAGGATAGAGCGACCCATGCTTTGTTTTTGCTGGTCGATCTCGAACACCTAACGCGAGAACTGCGTTTGACCTATCACATGTGGCCTTCTAAGCCCATCTACATCATCTCCGGACCCAAGGATTTGCCCGTCGAACATGTTCCAGTCAACGTCGACACTCAGATCAAGCTTGTATGGAAAATTCACCCTGCCCAGCGTCAAGACTTGTCGGTTGCTGAGCGAAGAGCCAGACAGACCCGATTGCTTGCCCCTCTCAAATTTCCCACTGGTATGGGCAAAACAATCTCCGTCCTTGGTGTAGACAAAGATATTGCTCGCAAGATTACCGATCAGCACATGCCACGTCTTCTGTCTGTCGATGCCGTCGGATGGGACCTCTACAATCTCCTCCAGGGTCANAAAAAGCACCTCGACAACACCTTATCACAAGGCGCGCCTTGCCTTCCTGCTCTCGTTCACTCTTACACCGATCTTGCCTGCGCCGGTTGGCAACTGAACATCGCGGGTCAATGGTACAATGCTTCTGTCACCAGACATGTCAATATACATGGAATACTGACTAGCTTATGTCTGTTGCCTTTCGAGAAGCTCGAAGAAGAAGATTATCAAGCAAAAATTCCAGACTCGTGGCAGATGGCTGTACTGTGCTTGGTGCTTGACTGCCTGTACACAGTCATGAGACTCGGACTCGAGGATAAGACTTTTCCCCATCTGAAAAGCTGCTATGACACTATTCTGGATTTGCACGACTACTCGCTTCGCGGTATCAACCACCATCTGTTTCCCGCTCGTCTTAGAGCCTTGCAGAGTCATTGGACCGCTTGGTTCACGATGCATGAGAGTTCGCGTCCATCTGCGGACTCCATCGTGCTGAGCCACACAATGCTAGAAACGGCAAGAAAACGTATCCATGCGGATGAACAAGATGATGTATGGCAATTCCTTACTGAGGACTGGGAGTTCTTGAGCAGAGTCCTTGCGGTAAGCCGACCCCTTCTTGTGTTCTAGATGTTGTTGCTGACTCTTCACTCATAGGGCCAAGACCAACCCTTCGAAGCTGCCTTCAGTCGCTTCTCAGCCCCTCGTGCCAACTTCCAGGGCTTGCTCAACCGTCCGCCCCTTCACAATACCCCTGTCCGACCTACGCCGCCTCATGAACACTTCCAGGGTTGGGAAACCAAGCCGAAATTTCCTAAAGCCGAACTGGCTACCCACATCGTAAAGTTTGCCGACGACTTTGCTAAGCTCAAGCCCGAAGACAGGACCCAGGACTGGAATGACGATGCGCTTGATCACGGACATGTTGCTTTCGCTTTCCTGAACCTTTCTCGCGAGCACGAAGAAGAAGTTCCCAATATCCCTCCAGGTTTCCCTGCAGGTCTGCCTATGGTGGCCGAGGTTGGAGGAATACTCCACATGTTCCCTGCCGGTAGTCCCCCTCCATTCGATCTGTTCGGTCTACCTGGTGGTACTCATCCTTGAAGTGTTCAGATTGGTGGGAGGAACACACAGGCAAATAAGGAGTGTGGGTCACGCTGTCAAGCACCGGGTGGCAAGAAGAGGGACTATTGTCATACATGCAGCCAGTAGGATTGTACTTTTATAGGCAGTGAACAAGACGGATCATCGGGCGATGGTTCCCTTCGCATGAGTACTCGATAGCCGATGGTTCAGAAATAACATGCAACATTTCTTTACCATTCCTGCTCAGTTCTGAACCCCGGCCTGATTCTTCGCGCGTGACAAGACTATTGCAGTATAGCTATGTGGATGCACAGTACTTTTTGGAAGACAGCGTTGTCCAAGGAGAGATGCCGCATTGAATCAACCTCTGTGGTCACCCTTCGATTCCTGGAAACAATTGTGCATTGTTATTACTTAACATAGTGCCTTTTGCTAGCGTTGAGGGATCGATGGTTGAAATGCAAGGTGTAGTCGATCATGATTGACGATTATGATGTGAGATGTGATGTCAAGGTCACAGAGGGTCTAATATTGAGACAAGATCATCCTATACCAAAAAAAAAACATGACTACCAAACACATGTAAAACACGAACCCATTCGAATGACATCTCAAAGCTCCTTCTCCACACCCTTGGGCACCAAGAAACAGACCCAACAACCAAGTCCTTGTCTCCCTTCACCCCAAGACTCGCCTACTCTGACGCCATAGATTCCCATCTGTTCTTCTTGCATGCCTTCTTTGTTTTTACCCATTGGTGGCAGATGGAGGATTTCTCGCAGGATGGTGGGAGCAGAGGTTGATGCTTCAAGCCAAGACTTTGCTTGTGAGACTGCTGTGTTGATGAAGATGGTTATAGGTGTTCCAGAGTGGAGTGAAGGTGTGTAGATGGAAGTATCGTGGCCGTGAGGACTTGGCAGCTTTTGGTCCTGCTGAGGTGGTGGTTTGGGAGAAGGTAAAGAGAGGAGAGAGGTATGCAGACTGCTGGATAGATATGGGATGCTCAGATTCAAGTCTCCTGCCTTTGAGGCCTTTGGTGAGAGGATAAAGAATTGGCGGTGCAGGAAGCGGACTTCTGTTAGCAGGGAAAGGAGATCTGATAGCGCCGGTGTTGATCCTTTGTCCTTTGGATCTTTGAGCTTGCTCGGATGAGTAGGTAGACAAGTTGTACTGGGTGCGTAGGAATCTGTTTCTAGCTGCTGAGCCAAGGAAGTCCAAATATCGTCGTCATTGCTTCGTTGCTTTTGTTTTCCTTTGCTGGTGTTTGAGGAAGAAGCAGAAGCAGCGAGAGCCAATTCCGCTCTAACCTCTTGGGTGAAGGAAGAAGAAACATCGACTTCAGAGCAGAGAAGCCATACACTGCTTCCATCTCTTACCCTCACGACCCTTTGCACGATTTGCAAGATCACAAGTTGAGTTTTGGAAGCAGTGCGAGGGAAGCTTGGTTCGACGCGCAGACCACACTCGACATCTGCGCCATAAGGTAGATTCATGAATGTGCAGCTGCCTACTTGCAGACTGTTTGCACCGGCCACATAATCCTGAGACAAGAAGCGAATGGGCTGGCCATTGATGTGTGGATCTGTGATGGCGAGGCGGCGAAACACTTGTGGCAGACCTAGCAGAGGCGAAGATGGGTTGATAGCAGGTTTTGGGCGAGGACTGGTCTTCTTGACGTCGCCTGATCTTGCAGTGATGGTGAGCTCGCGCATGGAGAGATCGACTGGAGAGTTGAGATGGCTTGCACCGGGTAGTGATGAGGTGTGACCTCTACTTCTGCTAGCGTTGCGATAACTACCCTTTCTGCGTGGAGCCAAGGGTGACTGTGGCCTCGAAGTCATGGTAGCAGATGAACACCCAAGAGTCGGTGAATCGCAGCGGCCGGATGCAGTACAATCAAAGTCACTGCTGTTGTGGCAATCGTATCGGGCCGCGAGCTCGTCTACCAAAAAGTCGAGTTCTCTCTGCACCAAAGATTCCTCGTCGATGGGTATGCTAGGGATGGGGAAGCAAGGCGGCGTGAGAGGACTAGGTAACCGTGGATCCGAGGTTGGTGCGTTGAGCGAGATGCCGGAATCTCTGATAGAGGGTACGAAGAAGAGTGTCTTGAAACGATTGCGCTTGTGAGGAGTATCGGTCGGAGACAACAAGCTTCCGTAAACAGATGGAGAAGGGAGAGAAGTGATTGGTTTGGGGCTAGCAGAGGGTGATGCAGAGAGAAATGAGCGGTTCGAAAGATCAGACCGAGCTGACGAAGAGGACTTTTGGCGTTGATGATACATGTATGGGAAGAAAAGATGGCAGGTTTTCAAGAAGTTGCTGTTTGCACAAACGACCAAGTAATTATACATACCGCATCTTTGGGATTTGAGACAGACGCAAATGCATGTCTTCAAGGCTTCGAGACAGCCGTCTCAAGTCATTTCGAGAATGCCCTGGTTTCGATTTGTAGACAAGACATACTCACCGAGATAAGCTAAAAGACATATTAGGTGTAGATGGCTTTTCGTGTATCAATATTGGTGTTAGAGCACGTCTGCACCCTTCTGCTAGTGGAGAGACAAGATGATTCTCATAGAGTGTTTCTACAATTGTGAACTCGAGGTGCATTATTGTCGAACATCGAGAATCAGAGTGAGAATGAACACCTTGCGGGAAAGAGGAATGGAATCGTGAAGAAAGTAAGTGGCTGGGAAGAGGTTGGGATGAGCGTTGTTGAGAACGACGCGAGGTTTCCAAACACATCTTGGTCTCCATCGCGTGTCGCTTTTGCCAGAAGTCTATCCGAACGTCCTTCAACAACACAATGATGTAAGGATAGGTAGTCTTCTCGACTACAATGCTTCAGAAGACCAACAATGAAGACATGATATATAGCTTATAGTCTAATACTCCCATAATAAGTAAAACTCCTGCATAGAAAACATCATCGATTTTGCATGAGAAACAGCATTTCAAGGCTTCGAGAGTTGTTCCTTTCGGAAGAAACTGAAGAAGCCGATCGGGATAACAAGCTGACAAGCCAATGCAATCCAGAACCAAGGCTTACTGATTGCATCTATGACACCAGCGCTCAAATCAGGGAACACATCTCCAGGACCGTTTCTGTTCGGCGCGGTCGCCTTTGCAATGAGTGTGACTGCTGTACCCAGCACTTGTGCTGAGATCAGCGTGACACCAATGTGAATACGTGTAAGAGTCTGCAACAGCATCATGCCGAAGCCGACACCTTGCACAGCATCCAACACGCCTAACCAGAGCCAGAGAGCCCTGCCAGCGATGGCACCTCCTTCAGGACCACCTGGCATCCATGGCAGCCAAAGTCCAAAGCCGGAGGTACCCCACCACTGTTGTGCCCAGCGAGGAGCGAGGAGACCGATTGCGAAGATTGGTAGGATCCAACTGTGGCTTTTGCTGAGTCTGCTGAAGACATACAGCATCAAAGACCAGACAAGAATGAAGAAGACGAGAACCAAAATTGCTACCACCCATACAGGAGCATATGTGGAACTCCATAGATACTGCCAAGAGCGGCCATATTGCGAAGAGAGGAAATAGTTCTGTAGTATAACCGCGACAAAGAACCAGCCAATCAACTTGCGACGAGCAAGAGTCTTATAAAAGCTTGGGATCTTTCCAGGACGCTGTTGATAGTAGGCTGGCAGACTGGTGAACAAGGTGAGTGCGATCAACCATAGGAGACCTGCAATTGGAAGGGTGATGGCAGCCATGATAGGCGAAGAGGAAAGCGTGTCGCTCTCGGTCTTCTGCTTTGGCGTGGCATGGGTGATCGTACGTCCCCAGTAGAACAGGCCGGTGATGTAGAGCTGTTGGGTGCCTTGAATGAGGCAGGCACGGTAAACCCATGACGAAATTGGTGAGCCACCTGTAGAGTGTTAGTCAAGACAAAATTACAGGAGCTGCTTTCACTTACCCTCATCTCCGAAGTTGAGTGCAAAGTATAGACTTCCACTAGCCGAAGCAGCTGCATAGACACCGTCTGCCACATTACGCATCCAGTCTCTACCAGTACCCTTGGGAAGAAATGGTGCCATTCCGACGAACAGGAATGCCATGCCATACATAACGAAAGGCACAGAAAGGACGAATCGAGCTTTCATCGTCCGGAAGAGAAGCCACCAGATAACAGATGCTGCGATGTAGATGCCGCCGATTGTGTAAATCATCGATGGCTTAGGGTCTTCACCACCTGTAAGCAGCGTAATCTGGTAACTGTTCGCAGCCATAATTTGACCAAGAGCGAGCAAGAACGAATAGAGAGGCCAATCACCAAGTCGGGTAAGCATCCAGCGTTTGACGAGAGAAGGTCGCTGGTAGTTGTCGCCAAGCAAGAAGTCCTCCATCGAGCCTTCCCCGTCACTCATTCGTTCATCGGCGTCGACAGAAGATCCTCGAGAACCACGCGAAACCAATCGAGGGGTGCCGTGAAGATTGGCAGTTGAACCACGTTCGCGCGATCTACCCAGTTTAGCATCGCGATACTTCTTGAACCAAGCTTTCTCACTCTCCACAAGATACTGTTCTATGCAGAGATCTTTCTCGGATGTCTTGCCGTTAAGCTTGTCCAACATCGTCTCAAAAGCGCGGTAGTATTCGCCGGTCTTGTCGTCAAAGTCAAGCTCGATCTTCTGCAAGCTGTAATCTTTCTTGCCACCAATGACCAACGTCAAGTCGAGTTGCGAAGACGTGCTCAGCCTTGAAGAATTGCTGAGGCGAGAACTTGAGCGGTCGCGTGGTTCAGCAGTCGGAAGAAGGCTATCGGCGCTTGCCCTTCTGTTTGTTCCATCTCCAGTCTGGACGGACAGATATGGTCCAGAGCCTCGATTTCTACTCCTGCCTCTATCGAGATCCCTAGGATCTGGGCTTAGTGATCTTGAGCGATACTCTGTTACAAGCGCAGGCTGTGGGGCACTCAGAGACATGCCTCTACCTCTGCCTTCAAGTCTTTCTAGAGCGTCTGCTCTATCGGATTCTCTCGTGAATGTGTCGGCCTCCTCTCGGGTGATTGTTTCCTCTTCTAGGTCCAGGCTGTACTCGCTGCCGAATGGGTCCTCTTCTTCGGAGATGTCGGCATCTGTGACCTGCACGCGAGGAGGTCTAGCATGGTGCCCAGGTCCAGCTCTTGATCCCAAGGACAGAGTACGATTCAAGTTGGAGGGCGAAGGACTTGTACGTGGCTGAGTTTCGTAGACTGAACCAGCACTCGGGCTGGCATCTCTCGATGGAGCCAGAGAAACTCTCGAATCGTTCCCGAAGTTTGAGACTGATCTTCTAGCTGGCTGTAGTCCATAGTTTGCCTCGCGTTGATGGATGCGAATAGCTGTGCTCTGAAGTGTATTGAGGTCTTCCACCCACTTCTGGACAGGGAATCTTTGCTTTGCCGATCTGGCGCGCATCATCGCTCGCGTTTCTGTGTTCGCTGCCAGAGCATCCTCGATTGCGGACTTGAACTGATGCATCAAATGAGCTGTGGTCGTTGACTCGACGGTAAACCACCAGCCTGGCATCTGACCAAGACCACCAACCCTNNGTATAGATTAGCTCACCGATCTATGTTTCGCTGAGTAGATGACTTACCTAGCACCAACACCGAGAGCGCCCTTGCGGCCAAATTCGACAGCAACTAATCCGAAAGGCTCGTCACGACNTATGAAACGTCAGCGACTAGTATCTGAGGAGAAGAAGGACCGATAACGATAATACCTTGGAATTAGGGCATACTCCGCACCAGAGAAGATGANACTGATCAACGTCAACTCTTGTACAAGATGATAGCGCAGGTAATAAGAACTTACTGGAGGCAACGCAGTGAACTCTGGTTTCGAGTAAACACGCTTCGGGTACTTCTTCATCATGACACCGAGTTTGAGCGCTGCGAATTTACCATACATGTCCTGGGAAAGGTCAGTAACGGTCTTATAGCTGTTGGGCCAAGAGCATCATACAATTACAGGTCCAACACAGATGAGCTGAACATTCTTGTGCTTCTCGAGAATGTTGGGAAATACGTCCGCAATCAAGTCTACACCCTTTTGGTTGCTCCATCGTCCGACGAATACAAAGAGTTCGGCCGTAGGGTCAACCTCAAGGCCGGCCCATTCTTGGGCTTGTCTGCGTAGGTCGCCTCGTGAGGCTTCATATGCCGGGTCAACTGTGATGACTTGGTTTGCTTCTTCTTCACGGCTCCAGGGAGCTGTGTCGGATGGATCGGGATTTGGTAGCTTGCCGATTTCTTTGAGACCCCAGAAGATAGGATAGCGAGCGAAAGATCGAGCACCGTACTTGTTAGACACACCAACAGCGCCGAAGCCCTTCTGGTGGACCCTCAGGTAACTTACGCCGGCGTGCAGTAAGTTGAACACCTCACCGAATTGCACGTACTTTTGAATGGTGTCTTTATCCAGGTTGTAGACACGCGATACTTCGTCGGATTCTTGATCTGTGCGCATAGGCCACAGTCCTTGGAATTCGGCGTTGTGGAGTCTGTAGTAGGTCAGTAAGTTTCTGAGTATGGACTTGGACTTGACTTACGAGAGGCAGCATGGAACGGTTTCTGGAAGGAGGTACAGAGGTGCGGCACTTCCATGGTAGTNCCTAAAGCGTTGTCAGTATTCGTGATATCCCAGTTAGATCTCGTTCTGTCAGCTTACATTGATGTGGTAGATATCTGGCTCAAATCTCTTGATCGCTTCAGCAATACACGCGTTCCATGCACTGTAATAGATGGCGGAATCCAGATCGTCCATGCGTGGCGGATATGGTTCTGTTTTCGTCTGCTTTCTGAACACTGGTGCATCTAGTAGGACATAGGTAATGTTGTTGAGCTGATGATACTGCACTTGAACCTCGTATGGGTTGCCGAGAATTGTCACGATCATGGGGTCAGCAACTTGGTCAATTGGAAATTCGATGCCGCCAACACATGGGATGACCCCTAAATTTTGTTAGCAAGATTTGCAGTTAGTGACAACAGAAAGCTTACAGATCAAGTCCTGGTGGGTCAAGCTTTTGCCCATGAGCTGTGCCATGACACCAAGACCGCNCCTATCGTGATTTTTTTAGTGATACACTCGGATGTTTGGAAATGTTCTACTCACAATTTTGACCTTGATGCCCCAGTCTTCAATGTCATATTCCATTGTGGCGATGATGACTTTACGTCTCTTGTCCTTGTTAGCGGCGAGGGAGATACCTGATGCGGCAGAGTCATATCGTTGATGAGACTTTCCCAAAAACAGTGGCTTCATGCGATGGCCGACCTCCTCTACATCATCGTCCGCCAATTTGCTGAACTTGTGGCGCTTCCAGAACGACGGCATACCCTTGGGCATGGAAAGTCCGATCTTGTTGAACTTGACACCGTAGAAAGCGCCCATATAAGTCCAGATACTGATAGCGCCAGCCAAGACGGGAAGAGACCAGAGAAGAGCGAAGACAAGAACCTGTACCAGTCTACTGCCAGTGGGTATAAGTGTGTACTTATAAGTAGCATCATCGATCCTAATTTTCCAAGCCAGGTAGGGACTAGTGGGGAAATTGGTGATGTTGATGAGGGCAGGGCTCAGAGCGTCAGGAGGCAATCGGTCAAGAACAGTATCGTTATCAATGTCACCATAGATGAATGACTGGTCCGGTTGACCGTCAGGATTCATGCCCCACACGTTGGCTTGGACTTGACGAGGCCACTCGGTCATGAGATGGAAATTCCACGCATCGTCAGTCTTTGTGAAAGAGTTCTTCAGGCCACCATCGAACCCGAACTGGTTGAAGTCGCCATTCGCAAAGAGATGAGGGAATCGCCGAGGCGTTTGCTTCTGGTCTGCGTCAGCGTGCTGGATGTGGGTACTGCTTCCAACTACGCGACTCCAGTACTGCAGTACGATGTGGTCGCCGACCCACTTCTGACCCTTCGTACCAGACCAGGGTTGTTTCTTTACGGTCGAATTGGTGCCATCATAATTTTGCCAGTCACTCCAAGTGGAACCCCAGTTGGTCGAGTAACGCCATTTGTCAGCCCCAGCAGCTTGGTGAGATACAAGTAAAGTGCCATCAGGGCCTTTGGAGAGTACGTTGCTGCTGTAATTAGCAGTACGAGGGAAGACGATAGGATTCTCAGCTTGTCCGATACGGAAGAAAACATGGTCTGTAGATCCGGTAGACACGCCGTCAGTCGTGGAAGCATTCTGAACAGTCAGACTGTGTACACCCTGAGACACGTCGATCAGGGTAGCCTTCCAGCTCCATGCCGAGGTGATGGCTCCGACGTAAGGCGGAGGGTTAGGATCCTGTATCTTTCTGCAGACAACACTTTTGGTATCGATACCAGGGCTGCTTTTGTCCGCTGTGGTCGAGGCAACTACGATGTTCTTCGTGATGGAGTCACAGTCCATTTCTTGAGAGAACTGAAACTCAACATCAACAGACTCTTTCTCGCCAGGGTTGACCTTAGACAGAATTCGCGCATCATGACCAGGGTTGAACCTCGTCAATGTTGGCGTGGGCTCAATCCAATCTGCTTTGCGAACGTATATCCTGAAATCCCAGGCGTTCAAGGTGAGCTTATCGAGACAGCCGTTGAATTTCTCTGAGCCATCGATTCCAAGCTTTTTGGGACCGCGCTTGAGAGTTATAATGTCGTAGGGGCTGAGCAGATTTCGGATTTCCTCTTCTTCGTCGAATACCGAAATTAAGGCTGTATCGTTGGATGAACAGTCGAACGTATAGTCAACAGTGTGGTCCTCATTCTGGTAGACAAGCCACACTGCTGGTTTGGCATCTACAGTGCCTGTAAGATTTTGCACGCCATTGAAGAACTGATTGCGCATCACACTCCACATGCCGAACTCAGTGGCAGTGCCGTTCGATCCGGGGAAATAGACATTATGCGTCTGGTTTGAGAGGGACTGCAATAGCCATCCGTCGTTCAGAATCGGATTCTTGTTTCTAAGATGATAGAACGACTTGATAACATTTCGAACAGGGTGTGTCGGGTCGCGATGGTCTTGAGAAACATTGTCGTCGTTGCAGCCGTTGGCACCTGCGTCGATGGGAAAGTCGTGGAAGATATCGGAGCCAAGTTTGTAGCAACCATGTGTTTGCCATGCAAGCGATGACGAGATAGGCTGACGTCCGAACACGTAGTTCGAAGCCGTGTTGTCAAGTGTGTACAGAGCTTGCTCTTCGCCCCAGTTGAGCAGCGGTACACCAGGCATATGTAGAGTGGTCATGAACAGACCAAGAAGCATCTTTTGTGTTCCGTTTTTGATAGTCGGCCAGCGGAAGACGTCTTGGTTCGACGTGCCGTACATATGTCTAGGATCGAATTTTCCAGTGTTGGGATTGACAAGGTCGTTCGTCAAGAGCATCTGATTCCAGCCATCGACAAAGTTGGCTGGAATGTCATAGCCTACTGTCAGGTTGCCATCCATGCCCAGAAATCGCTGTAACAGGCGGTATATACTGTAGTGGAAGGCCGAGGCATCAAGGGCACTCTTTCCCGCTGCACGCAGGAAGAGTTTATCGTCTGAGTCATTACTGGTCTTCACAGCGTCTCCTAGGTCGTTGATCTTCTGATCAGGTTCTCTGCCACGGCCCAGATAGATAGAGCCAAAGTTGTTACCTCCAGTGATCTCTCCTGCTATAAGGAAATTTTCTTTGCCGTTGGCTCGGGCACAGTCGCGGATCGACTGGCTAAAGTCTGCCAATGCATCCACAGTGGCTTGTGTGGACTTGTCGATACGGAAGCCATCTATGTCAAGCATGGAGATGGTAAGGCAGTGCAGATGCTTGAGCTTATCGAGGACCGATGGCTTCCACTCGCGTAATCTGTCTTGTACGGATGCAAACTTCGAAAGCTGTCTTTGCCAATCAGGGAAAACGCCAAAGGCTTCAGTATCGCCATACTGNNTCAGATGTTAGAAAAAGAGCACTCGAAACCTTCAACTCTGGCCTACCTGGTCGAAATCGCTGTCGTAACAGCTTGAGAGCGACGAGAGCTTGTCAAATGTAGCAGAGAAGCTGTCAGAATTAGCTCCTTTCTGAACTAGACTACCACTTTCGTCCCAGAAACGAGGTAATTCGCATGTTGAGGTTTTGGTGTTGCCAAACGCAAAGTCAGGGTACTGCCGCTCAGTCTTCCAGACGACTTGGTGCTCATCAGGAACGAAAGGTGTAGACTCGTTGAGGAAGCCATCAAAACCGATGAGATCGGCCATGCTAGAATTGACGGTCAGCACGACTACCAAGAAAGAGAATCGCANTCGCGATACTAACGTTGCAAAAGTGTTGTCAAGGAGTATGTACATTCCGCGTCGGTGAATCTCGTCGATTGCGGCTCTCCACTCCGCGATTTTGCCAAAATGATGATCAAGCAGTGTGAAATCGATGGGCGAGTAGGCATCTGACTTCCACGGCATATTGATGAATGGTGTTCCGGCTACGTAGAGACCNNCTAGAGTATGATCAGTTGTCATCCATGCTCGCTGGAACACACTTCATACCTTGATGCCCATGCCTTGTATGTAATCCAATGTGTCCACCAACCCTGCCAAATCTCCTCCATGGCGCATTGTAGTACCCATGATATCTTGCTCAAAGAGTGTGCCATTAATGTCGTCGTTAGACGGATCGCCATTGACGAACCGGTCGAGAAACAGCGTATAGAACGGAAATCGCCAATTGTCGGGAGATGGATGGAACGTATGGTCCTGCCATGTTCCCGAGTAGTCCAGAGGACTGGTTGCTGCTTGGTTGGTGTTGAGGTTCCAGTCTGTCTCGCTAGGGTCATATCTTAGAGACTGTACAAGATGCGAGCTACACAAAAGTAAAGCTCCAAGTAGGCCCCTCGCTCTCCTTATTTGGACCATGTTGGGCCCGAAACAAGACTCTCCCTAGTCTTTTGAGAAAGTCACAGATTCTGGTCGTGCGGATAATGCGTCGATCGATACACAGTAAAAGTCGGTGATCGTGGGAATGCGGAAGGAGAGACTAGATAGCTCACCTGTGTGTTCACCGGCCACTTTTGATAAATTTCTGGATCTGTTCACCATGATTGTAGAGTCATGGCTGCAACAGTGGCTGCCGTTTAGCGCTTACCTCAACTTACACCCACCCTCGCACCATAGGCCTCAAAGGTGAGGTCTCGGACCATTATCCCAGACGAACCTTGCCGTGATAGGATTATGGAGCTTGAAGCTCAAGCTCAAGCTCCGCCTTTGACTACATCCTATCGAGCTGTAAGGTGCTGATGCAAAANNCACACGTTGTCATGTCCGCATTTAGTCCACCCACGGTTCGCCCCGAGCTNNTCGTGTGCTGTATACAAGGATCAGCCCTACAAGGTACAGTCTCGANCTGGGGCTGAACGTGCAGCGGCGAAAGTGTGAGATNTCCGGACCGCTGTTTGGTCTAGGAAGGCGATGGATTGTAACTTGACAGGTCCTTTGTGAGGTTGCTTATCTGTCTCCCTTGTCAAAAATCTCGAAGTGATGTACCGTACCGCAAGCCACCAGAGCTCCCACATGTACAATTCCCATGCAGTATGAGCAGNNTGTCATGGCCTCTGGGAGAACTTTACCGCAGACAGGTTTCGACATTTGCTACTTCGTGAACATCACTGATAGCGTTGTATCGTCACCGAGTGTCAAAATTTCGATCGAACGTATTGGATAATCCTGAGGTAGATAAGACCAACATTCGGTGCAACAAGCTCCATGTGTCTATCGCGTGGGGCTGATGGTGCCTTGTTGCATGTACAGTAAGCCTTAGGATATTAGCTCGCATCAGCATGCAGCGTACCGGTCAGTGGAATTGCCATGTCAATCCTGGAGTGCAGTATCTGCTTAGGCCAGCCATTGACCTTTCTGGTATGCTCAAAATTTCGTCTCGTGCGGCGTACGAATCGTAATCGAGCAGGAGAAAGATGAGCAGCTTCGGAGTGCCCTTAAGGACGGCCTCCAACTTGTGCAGAACTTCGACTGTGACGAAGAAGACGAGTTGACCACCACGGTCGTATGATACAGTCCAGAGCCGCCTTGTATATAGACAAGATGAACATCACACTCCAAAGGTCAATTGTGACAACGTCTCGAAGAGCCCATCTTCGCGATACATTGCCAGCCACCACACCTCGCGTGCCGTAAATCAGTTGCCGAACCGGCCATGACTTTTGACCAACGGGCTCTCCGGCAATTGCGCCGCGATTTTCCAACCACTGCTGTGTTGCTTCAGTCTATTCTCAGCGACTTACTCGGTTCTACATGACGGTGACTGTCATACATGAGAACAAGGACAAATACTATGCCTGGCTGTGCAGACTGCTTCAGACACACAGCCACATCTTTTGGCCTTAACCAGGCAACCAGGAAGTGGGGTGTTCGTACTTGCTAGGAGTACTTCCTCCAGGATTCGTTCATCATATTTGACCCGCAGCACCACTTTCAGCCAGCCGAAGGATGTATGGCAATATGGAGATGCAACACCGTTTGGCGAGGCTTGGGTTCTCTGGAGCTGAAATGTCATGTCAAAGTCATGGCCATGTCAAAGTCAAGCTCATCCGTAGTAGCAACCTTATGAGCCTCCGGACAAGGATCACGTAAATGCTAAATCGGGCACTGTGAGAGAGCTCGACGAAGCTTTCATCAGCCCCTCTTCGTAGTAAGTCACTTTGCTTAGCAAGGCCCAAAGTGTTGTAGGCCCAACTACCGTATATGCAACCAGTACGAGAAAGCACAGAGTACGTAGTTGGTGAGAGGTCATGCTACTCTTCTATGTTCCACCCATGCCCCGATTTCGTGGGCCTGTTCTTCTCTCTTTGCTGTTTGTAACCGCTTGCATCTCTTCTCCTGCTTGCTGCCTTCCTGCCTCTCTTCCATCCTATACAGAATCCTATACAGAATCTGAAACGTCAGCGCAAGACTCCCACACACCGCAATGCGGTGCCTCTACTATCTACTGGTGGCCTCTCTAGCATTTATATACAGCGTAGCCGCGCAAACAGCCACAACGAGTACTTCGCCATCACATCAAACCGTCTTGGTTGGATATGAATCACATTCTTACTATCCAAACAACTTGACCGCCAAACCTGGAGACGTAATAATCTTCCAGTTCATCGCGCAGGGTCATACGGTGGTACAGTCCAATTTTGAAGAGCCATGCGTTCCAAGGGATGCCTATCACCGAGGCCGTTCTACCTTCTTCAGCGGCTGGTATAACACCAGTGATGTTAGCAGCGACCACGTAAGTCCTAGCGTGCTGCCCTCTAGACACTAAAGACAACGCACTAACCGAAAGCCATCTCTANNGCCACCAACATGGAACCTTACAGTCAACGACACGGCTCCCATTTTCTTCTACTGCTCACGCCTAGGCTCTTGCCTTGACAACCACATGATCGGCTCGATCAACCAAAACGCAACCTACTCACTCCAAGCCCAACTGGACTCGATAAACAGCTCAGACATCATGCTCCAACCCGGCGAGGCTGTCCCTGACGAATCCACGCCTTCCTCTTCTGCTACACCTGCCCCTTCTCACCACGGCGTTACTCTTTCGGGTGGTGCAATCGCCGGTATAGTGGTAGCAGGCGTGGTCGTGCTCGCTCTTGCCTGCGCACTCTTCTGGTTTGTGGGCCGTCATCGCACGCTGAAACATTCTTTGAACAGTGCTTCTCAACACTCGGGTGCAGTGGAAAGCTGGGTCAACAGTACAAACCCACCTTCTACAGTTGGTGGGCCTACTTCTGCGAGACCACCTTCCTATGGCCCTGGTGATGGTGGATACATGGTTCCTATGGATGGCCACAAGCAGTGGGAGTATGGTCACCAAAGACACAGTTATATGCCCATGACACCTCCGATCCAGGAATTAGGGGCTAGTGAGCCTGTTGAAATGGGAGAGACAGGAAGGGGAAGAACAAGGGATAGAGAGAACGAGTAAGTGTCTTGTTCTACACTTGCTGATGAGAGAAATGTGGCTGACCACACAAGATTACAGATCTCTGATCCCAAAGTGGTAACATCATCAACGCATGTGTTTGAGAAGGAGTAATGGTTTGTCCGAAGTTCTGGTAATGACGATTTTTCCATTTATACTGTGTATACATCAATCGTTAGTATGCTATATAAACCTCTGATTTGTAGGAAATCTCTGTGGCTCGAACTTTTGTTCAGAAAGCAGATTGTGCATTTTTCATACTATCAGAATCGAAACATCACTGCCTGTCGTTGTGAGAATTCATTCGAGCATACTTGTAACAGTGAGAAATAAAATCCTATAACCCATACTTAATCCATCTTCCTGTCCGTACAGACTGATCTTGACAGATCATCTTGCTCGTACCAATACAATCTGGAGCAGATGCTCTAGGAAAAGGTTCTTAGGCTGAAGTTTGCCGGATATCGGGGTACTCCCTGATCAATCTACCTACGCACACTGCTACACCTTTCGCTAACCGCATGCTCATCTTCCTATGTCAGATGTTATGTTCTTGAAGACACGAGAGATGGCTGAACAACATCTGATGAAATCTGCAACTGCTTTTAATATCTATTTTTTTATGTTCACGTCTTCCATGTCCTCATCTTCTACTTTTGACAAAGCCGACGAGATTCTCAATGACACCTTCGAATGCCTCTTTGTCGCCTACAGCACTTTCCTTCCTCTTCATCCAGTACTCGAGCACAGTGCTTGCGTCCTTGATCAACTCTTCTAGTCTTTTCACATGTGCTCTTAGCTCTTCATCAGAATATGCCTCGGTCGCTGTATCTGTCGTCTTGGCAAGCATGGCTGCTTCGTTGGCATTGAATTCTGGCGGAGGCGCAGGTCCCTTTCTTCCACCAGTAGAGCTGCCACCATCTTGTTTGGCCTTTGCATCTTCTTTCTTTTGTTCTGGCAGGTGAATGTTAGGAAGAACTAATTTCTTTTGTTTGCTGGCAGGCAAGATCTCGTCCAGGTCGACAGGAACACCGAGGGAGACCAAAAACAGGCGACGAATGCGACTGCGGATCCAGTTGGGTGGTTGCAAAGGAGGAGGTGCAACAAGCTGAGACCAGAGGGACGCACTACGATCGGTGAGGATAGGATCAGTAGACAGGGCGGCCGACTTGTCCGAGGCTGCAGTTTCTTGGTCGTATAGTTCAGGGAAGAGTTCAGACATGTATGGCGACATTGCGTCCAGTATATCTTCTGACGTCTGCAGATCGGCGAAATTGAGATTGGNGCTGCACAAGTGAGATGAGTATATGCTTTCCGCAATTATGTATTGGGCAGAGCTACTTACAAGGTGTGCTAGAGGATGCTGTACAGGCTGAGGAAGGGGTGCGGCAACCGGAGTTTCTTCTGCTTGTTGGAAGCCATCGTCAAAGTCACCAAAGTCGTCGTCCTCATCTCCATCTGCCTGATCCGCGCCACCTTCTTCAAAATCGTCAAAGTCGTCGCCGAAGGCATCATCGTCATTGTCGGCTTGGCCGTTGTTTTGTGTTTGCGGTTGGTCGAAATCGTCAAAGTCGTCTGCGCTTTCCTCTACTTGTTGTATGGTGGTAGTGCCGGTCTTGGGTTGGAGGGGGAGTTCGAAGGGGAGGTCTCTTGNTGATGATTCCTGTGAAATGATGGTCTCAGAGGGGATCAGGACGTTGGCTTCTTGTTGGTCGAGTTGTGGGCTTGGGGATCGAGATCTGTCATTGGGAGTTGGTGATGCNNTTTCTTCGTCAAACATGAAGGCTTGGTTTGGGGAGGAGGTCGCGCGAACTCGTGGGATTGTGTACTTACGCTCAAGGGGGGCACTTGATGAGGCAGGGGCCTGCTTGACCTCATCAGGCTTGGCATCGGCAGTTCGCATGTCGTATGCATCTGTGCCGGGGACGTCGCCATGGCTAGGAGCGCTGGGGTCGACCTTCTCGACAACAAGATGGGGGACCGGAGTGCCACCAGGAGTCACAGGTCTGTCGGACTCGCTAACGTGTGAAGTGCTGCGGCTTCTTGTGCCATCGGGGACAATCTCAATCTCGTCGGGGACGGCGTCTTGGGTTCTGATGTTGTAGGCTGCGGTGCCGGGTACTTCACCATGTCTGGGCTCGTCGTCTACTTTCTCAACGCGGGTAACGGGGATAGACAGGGCGCGGTTGCGTCCAGTAAAAGCAGGAGGGTATGCTGCGGTGCCCTCGGAGGCATCAGAGAAGTGGTCATCGGACTCTTCGGGTTNCTATGGTTGGATTAGAGGGTGTTTATTGACTGGAGCTAGAGTCGATTTACCAGTGATCTTGGGCACACCGGGCAGCTCATGTGCACCAGGGTCCTTCAGATTCTCGATTGGCTCTGACGGAGGTTGAAGAGCCATGGCGGTGTGGAGTGTGTATGTGGAGAAGGAACTGGAGTCGGAGGCAGGGACTGGAGGGTGTGAGGTGGAGGGTGTGAGGCGGAGGGACGGCCGATATGGAGGAAACAAGATCAGAAACCAGAGACAAGAGAAGAGCAGGGAGCGGCGTGATCTCTGGATGCGCGTCCGCAGCAGCTGTCAAGCGACGAGTGACGTGGAGAAGCTGCGGGTCCGGGAGGCTGAGCACTGCAGTCAGGGAAAGAGCGACGGCCGTGTTTGCCCTGTTTGCTCAGGAAAGTGCACAAGCGTCCAAGCGTCGCGTCTCTGCGTGTTGCTAGGTAAGAGCTCTACACCAACTGACCATCGCGACTGCCATTTCCATTGCTCCTTCCCGACAAGAAGAGTCGCCTTGCCAATACCTTTCCACATCGATCCGCCAATCCTCCGCGACCCCGATTGCAAAAGCGCCTTCTCGTGAAACGCGCCCTCGACGGGTTCATCCCCCCGATTAAATTCACATCACCATGTCCTTCAACTTCGGCCCGCCCGCTTCGTCGTCAGGAAGTGCCTTTTCTCTGAACACTACCTCAGGCGCTCCTGCAAGCACTGGATTCAGCTTTGGCAATGCCGCTGCTCCTGCTGCTGGCGCTGGTCAAACACAAAGCCCTTTCGGCGCACCATCTCCTTCTACACAAACTCCCACTACCTCCGGTTTCAGCTTTGGTCAGAAGCCTGCCGCGTCTGGAAGCAACCCTACAACCCCAGGTGTCGCTTCAACGGGTAACCCCTTCGGTGGTGCTGCTGCTGCTGCTTCAACTGGCGCCTTCTCACTGGGAAACAACTCAACCACTCCCGCTGCCACAAACAAGCCCATGTTCTCCACTACACCTGCTGGTCCTCCCCTACTCAATCAACCGGCGGAATCTTTGGTAGCAAGCCTCTATCTTTCGGTCAGCCTGAGCAAAAGGCAGCAGAGGCTCCCAAGTCTACCTTTGGGGCCCCTCTAGGTGGTAACAACGCTTTTAGTTCATTTGGAAAGAAGGCCGATGACAACTCGTCCTCTTCCGCTCCTCCTACTTCGTTGTTTGGCCAAAAACCTGCAGAAGATGCCGCTCCTGCAAAGCCCATGTTCAACCTTGGTGGTGCTACCTCATCCACTCCTCAGTCTGCCCCTGCCACCGCGCCGACCTTCTCTCTGGGCGGCAACTCCTCAAAACCAGCCTTCTCACTTGGTGGAAACACATCACAGACTCCCGCTTCTACTCAACCTGCATCAGCCACCACAACATCTGCACCTTCAATTTTCGGTGCCTCGTCATCCGCTGCCCCTGCTTCGACGGGCGCATCAACATCTGGCTTGTTCGGAGCAAAAAGGATGATGCTGCTGACAAGCCTGCCGCGCCTGCTTCAGGTTTGTTTGGCGGTCTGACTCAAAACAAGGATGCTGCCGACAAACCTGCTTCCTCACCGTCGCTCTTTGCGCCTGCACAAAACAAGGACGAGGCTGCTAAACCCGCTGCACCTCTATTTGGTGGTCTGGGTGCTAAGAAGGACGACGCCGCTACACCCGCTGCTCCTGCCGGCAACTTGTTCGGTGGTCTAGGTGGTGCCAAGAAGGACGAGGCTCAAAAGCCTGCCGCTCCTTCTGGTGGCCTCTTCGGCAACTTGGGTGGTCAGAAGAAGGACGATGCTGCACCTGCTCCTACCTCCACAACCGCTACTTCGGGGTCGACCCCTGCTTTTTCACTAGGAGCAAAGCCTGCTGATTCTAGCACACCTGCCTCGACTGGTGGCTCCGCTTTCGGTCTCAAGCCCGCCGCAGCACCAGCTGCAGGAAGCTCTGGAGGTAATGGCGGCAGTGGTGGCCCTCCCACTACCGCAGCAGCACCGGCTGCGGGTTCTAACAACGGCCCTACTGGAGCACTTGGTAGCGCCCCTACAAACGCATCAACCTCAGGACCTGCACCCCCTGCTACATCGCGCCTCAACTCCAAGTCTCTCGATGAGATTATCACACTTTGGACCACATCCCTTTCGTCGCATCAAAAACAATTCTCTAACCTTGCTACCAAGATTGGATCGTGGGACCGCATGTTGGTTGAGAACAGCGACAAGATCAGCAAATTGTACAGCCGTACCTTTCAGGCTGAACGTGATACCGCCGAGGTTGAGCGTCAGCTTGCCTCTGTTGAAGGCCAGCAAGAGGAACTTAGCCATTGGCTCGATCACTATGAACGTGTTCTGAACGACATGGCCGCTAAGGCTGGTGGTGTTGACAGCGGTGTTGATGCTGAGCGCGAGAGAACGTACGTATATTCCGACATCTCCCTAAAAGGACACATGCTAACTATTGCCACAGTTACCAGACTGCCGAGCGCTGCTCTGCTCGCCTGACCACTATGTCTCACGACCTGACCTCAATGATCGACGAGATCAACCTTGCATCCACCAACCTCTCCAAGTCGTCCAAGACCGCCGAGTCAGACCCTCTTTCTCAGATCGTCCGCGTACTCAACGCACATCTCGGTCAACTGCAGCAGATTGATGTTGGTGCCGAACAACTCAGACAAAAGGTGGAAAGTGCACAGAAGGAGGTCCGTGGCTTTGGTGGCAGAGGAGTCTCCGATGAGGGTGTAGAAGGTTTCATGAGAAGCTTGAGGAGATGAAAGACCAACATTCATGGAGTTTTTCTAGGGTACGAATGACCAAGGATACTCGCTCGAAGATATGGATGGGATAGGAAAAGATGTTATATGCACGGCGTTGATGATAGGATATCAGTTGGTCCCCGAGCGAATGTGAGATACCAAGACCTCTTTCTCGCGAAAAGGAGACCAAGAAGGTCAATGAAAATTATGTACCAAAACTCCTTCAATTTGCCGTGTACCTAGCACAGATGACTCCAGATTCAGCTGTGGGACGTCGCTTGTTCGAATGGCAACCAGAAGCGTCGAATTTCGACAGGTGGTATGATATGTCTTCACATCGGTGAGGCAGAATACGAGAAGAGAAAGAGAATCTCAGATTTCAAACATCATCACGTCTATGAAGAATAAGATCTACATCCAATCAAAACGAACAGTAAAAGAAGGCTGGCTATTCACAACGAACAACACCAACAGAGAAGTGAATCAGAACATCTAGCAAGATGTCTTGCAAGTGCTCTACAGGTCGTACTCGTAGACGTACTGGACGTTGCAGTTTGCATCGTCTGAGCTGGGGGAAGATGAAGGTGTAGTGGTTGATGAGCTTGCAGTGCTGTAAGTCTCGACGACAGCGGCGGAGGAGGGCGAGTAGGCGGCAGCGGATGACTGGACAGCAACGGACGACTCGACGACAGCAGATGACTCAACAGCAGGAGCGGTGTAGGTGTTCGAGACAGCGGCTTGAGAAGAAGCGATGGGAGCAGCCTCGGAAGTAGAGTAAGCAGCAGGAGCAACCTCAGAAGCAGAAGAAGCGACAGAAACAGCCTCAGCCGACGACGAAGCAACAGCAACCTTCTGGGCAGCAGCAGAAGACGAAGACGAAGCCGCAACAGGCGAAGCCGACGACGAAGCAGCGGCCGCAGCAACAATAGAAGGGAAAGCCTGGGTACCATCATCGGTTCTCTTACATCCACTCTTTGCAGTAATAGCAGCAGGGCATTCAACACGCTCAAACTCCATCTCGGGGTTGTCAGCATTCTCGAACCAGTCAAAGCGGAAGCCACAGCCAGGTTGCAAGGCTTTGGGGAAAGCGCTGCATGTGTTTGTGCTGATGCCGCCATATTGGGCTCCCCAACCGGAAGAGGGAGCATTCCATTGATCGGTGCAGGCGTTGAAGATGCCTACGCCGCCACCGGGGATGGCGAGGTCGAATTGGTTGCTACCGAGGTCGCCACCGGTGTTTGTGGCTTGCACGATCATGGTCTTGCCGGCGATGGAGGTGGTGGTAAAGGTGAGCCTTGCAGATGTCGGTTAGTATAACCTTCTTTTGAGATCACATAGTGATATCTTGACTTACTTGTAGCAAGAGCAGCACCAGCTCTCTTCGGAGCCACCGGCAATGTTTGCGGCGGCGAACCCGTAGGCCAAGGTGTCGGAAACAGCCCAAGGGGATTGGTCAGAGCACATGTATGCGGAGCCACCATTACAGGCGGAGGCGGTGTTGGCGTCGGTCAAGGGGTTGTCGTTCTTGTCGCAAGTGGTGATGGGGGCAGAGACATCAGCCTTTCCAGGCCAGGCACAGGAGCCCTTGCAGCAGTCCCTGGAAACAATGTTAGCATGGTGTTCATGATAGATGGGGAGCACATCATCCATAGGCCTGCCGAGTATACAAGTTCGTCGCGATGCGTTGATTGCTATATGAACTTACCAGTAGCGGGTAGTCTTGCCAGTCTCTGCTGCGTTGACTACGCTAGCGAAACCGGTGGCCAGAGCCAGGAGGGCGAGGGACTTGATAGAAGACATGGTGTTCTGATTCTTTTTGAAGTTGAAGGTGATGAGAAGGTATCAATTGGTGGTCGCAGACCTTGTAGTAGAAGAGAAAATGGAACGAGTGTGGCGTAGACTGGCTACTGAAAGAATGACTGATATCTTGCGAGAAAGATGATGTTGTAGAAGACCGGAAAAGAAAGAGGAGGAGAAAAGTTATAGGAGACAACCTACCATTTATCCTAACATCTCGTAAAGAGCAAAACAATAGAGAAGGGATGAAGCCTGAGGATCCGAGATCACATCTCGTCTAGGGCTTGTATACACGAAACAACCTTAACGAAGCTTACGGTGGTTCGGACACTCGGCTCTATGGTTCTCGCAAGCCAATTCAGGTTTCATAAATTTGAGGAGGATAGTTTGGAAGTGGGACCGGATCCATCTCAGCAACACCATTCGCCATCGCCGAGCCTGTGTGTGGCGCGAACGTGCGACGACGTGAACGACGGGAGTGTTCAAGCAGGGCTGGCTTGCGGAGGCGAGATTGAGATTGCGGTTTGATCTCGAGCCGGGCGCTCGATTTCTGGATCCATCGGGTCTCCTGCTACTTGCGTCGGAAGTTTCTGTACGACAGACGAACACGAGATGTTGTCGATGGGTGTTTGTTAGGGCTGTCTAGATGCGAATGATCGCTTGCGGATGTCGGGCTCCAAATTGTTGTGTTGCTGTGTTGTTGTACTACATTACCTAGAGCTCATTTCCGGCAGATCATTGTTTTCTGCGTATCAGATATAGAACTAGTGAGTAGAGCTGGGAGAGATCGTAACTATAAGAAAAAACACGGAAAGATTGGTGCAGCAAAAGTAAGATAGGGGAGCGAGCATCTTTGTGTTTTGGGGTAGGCTGGCAGAGAAAAAGTGGGAAAAAGAATGCCTCGAGGGAGAATCGAACTCCCATCTAAGGATTACCCAAGCCATGCTTGGTCATATTTATGACCGATATGAGACCTTCGTACTAGCCGTTATACTATCGAGGCTTGATGTGTACGATTTCGTGCTGATAACGCATAATAACATATCTGTCGACAAGCTTGTGTGTACATGTCGCCCCACTAATGGGCTTCCTTGTATCGTTTCTTTGTGTATTCTGTAGGGACATCTTACATGTGGGCTCTGGATGTCAAGCACTGGAAATATGTCATAACACATATCTGGTAGTCTGGCTGATTTGGTTATAGCGGGTTTGCAGGTACTGCCCAGGTTTTGGACAATGTTCTTGACTAAAACTCAGCATCCTGTCGGATTTGCATATCTGTAGCGAACCACACCTTCAATGTACTCAGACTCTCCTCAGAAGATACAGAGGGTCTACATAAACCAATCCACCTTAAGATACCAAAAGAAAATCGCTGGCCTGGGGGTTGATTGTCGATTGCACTCAAAATCGATGGTCAAGCGTGCCACCCTGTTCGGCTATACAATGATGCTATCTCTGACTGTCTGATTACATCACCCCAGCATCATAGCGGCTCCTCCGCGTCCTCCGCATTTCGCCCTGCCCCTCAGGAGCACCTCAGGAGCTTTAGAGCTTATGTTAGCATCATCGACTGTGATCTTGATGCAGATTGGATCAAATGCCATGTGTGACTATCGGTTTGAGAACGCTCGACGTCACGACTTGAGGGATGGCCAGTAAGAGGAAGAATAGCTAAGAGCCTCATGAATGCCAATATGTTTATCTCGAACCATTTCTCTTCCTGCAATGCTCTTCACACACCTTCAGCCCATTTCACGCAGAACGCTTACCAGTGTTCCTAAGACTTGTTTCATACGTCCCACATCTACAATCTACAGACAAACCGCAGCCATGTCCAGCAAGCCAGGAGAGGAGTTCGAAGTTCGCCAGACCTCGACATCCGAGGACTATACNCCCGACCCTTCCAAGTCCATCAAGCTCAGCCCTCAGCGCCAGGCTCTGATTGACGACATCATCGCTCTCTACAGCTGCGAGCCCACCGTCAGACGTGTCGAGCGCTACACCGCTGATTGTGTCTACGATGACCAGTTTGTCTACGCCAACGACCGCTACAAGATGGCTGGACAATGGTTCGCTCTGCCCAAGCTATTCAAGGCAAGCAAGAACGAGCGCTACGAGATCATCAAGAACGACAGGGACTTGATTCAATTCAAGAACGAGCAGGTAAGCGAGGCAGGCTTCCATGCGCATAGACTGTTTCTAATGTACNNGCAGTCATGGACGTTCAAGATCATCCCCAAGACAGCTACCATCAACGCACTCGTCTCGCTGTCTCTCGACCCCGACACTGTGGACTCGGACTTTATCCAAGTCAAGTACCACAAGGACCAGGCGAACGACAAGGACTACTCGCACGAAGGATTGGGGTGCGTCGAGCCCAACATGAAAATACCAAAGAGATGAAGCTAACATACCTTTTGCTCTAGATTCTCCTTCAAGAAGTGGCAGGCAGACAACGTGGTCAAGTTGATGAGCTCGCCAGAGGTTGAGCACTTCGCTAAAGACAAGAGCGCGGCCAAGGAACCAGTCAAGAAGTACGGCAGTGGAGACGAGAAGGGCCAAGCTCCCAAGCAGAGCTTCTAGACGAACCGAGGTACAATACGAGTAGGAGTAGTAATGTGTTATGAAATATGATGTTCCAATTTACAAGCATTGGCAGTGAGGAATGTGGATCTCTCTCCCGTGTGTTGTGAAGTCATGCGAACGACTGTCAAAATGCAGAAGACTTCCAGGATGTAGATCAGTGTCCATTGAAAGTCCGTCAAAAGAGCGGCTCTCACTGGACGTACCTCTAGTTAGCATTAGTTTGTGCATTTTTATAGCATACCGTCTTCTGTTGCAGTAGAAGTGAGAACAAACACGACACATCGCATGAGTTACCGTGTTGGGGATAGCAGGTCGTGCAGAGCCTCATCGGTGTGACGAACAAGGAAGGTTGCTGGGCGATCTCTCGGTGACGTTGTGCTCGAAAAGTTGGAGTTGAGCTTCCCTTTCTACGCGACACGCGCCCTTGACCAACCTTTTCTCACATCCATCAAACCTCCGAGTTCAGCAGATCACAGGCCATGCTGTGTTAATCCACGACCACGACATTACTATCGCCTTCCATCAAATCTCATTGACACGTCGCGTCGCGTGCGCACCATCACCATGTCCGGTCCCTCGATCCACTTCACCCTCCCCGATCGATCGCTCTTCAAGTTCCCGCCGGACTACCTCCCTGCCGCCATCCCTCCTCCATCCGACGAGGCCACCTGGAAGTCGCCCTTCCCCATCGACTTCGATGTCTACAACCGCGCTTTGGACGTCAAGGTCCCCCTCACCATCGCCTCTACCTATGTCATCACCGTCCTCTTGATCAACGCCTACAACAGACGCCAGGGCAACAAGCCATGGTGGATCAGCACAACCCGTGCTTTCAAGGTCTTTGTCGTCCTGCACAACATCTTCCTGGCTGTCTACTCGGGTGTCACCTTCTACGCCATGTGTCGCGCTATCAGCGCCACTTGGCCTGGACTTGACAACAGCGCTGGCTTGGCTGGTGTTGCCGACTCTCTGTGCAAGGTCAATGGCCCCCGTGGCCTTGGCGATGCTGTCTACTACAACGCAACCTCCAACCTCTGGCAGACCAAGAATGCCATCATCAAGCTGCTGCCCGAGGGCACTCCCGACTCCACCGATGTTGGTCGCCTGTGGAACGAGGGCCTTGCATTCTGGGGCTGGTTCTTCTACCTGTCCAAGTTCTACGAGGTTGTCGACACGGCCATCATTGTCGCAAAGGGCAAGAGAAGCGCTACTCTGCAGACCTACCACCACGCAGGCGCCATGATGTGCATGTGGGCCGGTATTCGCTACATGTCCCCTCCCATCTGGATGTTTGTCTTCATCAACTCGTTCATCCACACTCTGATGTACACTTATTTTACCCTCTCTGCTGTCAACATTCGTGTGCCCAACGCTCTGAAGCGCACCTTGACTAGCATGCAGATTACTCAATTCCTCTTCGGCGCATCTTACGCCGCTATCCATCTGTTCGTCAAGTATGACATCCCCATAGCGACCGCGTACACCATCTTCCACCCTATTTCTTCTGCTGTCGCAAAGGCTTCCTCGACTGCCTCCAGCGTTGTATCAGCTGTTCCTGCCGAGACTTATGGCGCCATCCTGCGCCGTATCCTCCTCCGTGCTGCTGGTGACGAGGGTGTTGCAGAGAACGTCCGCGACAAGCAGGGAAACATCATCATGGAGAAAGCACAGGAAGCAATCCAAAAGTACCATGAGGAGACCCGCTACAGAACCGACTACGCCACTATCAACTGCATTGACACCACTGGCCAGAGTTTCGCTATTTGGTTGAACATTTTCTACCTATTCCCTTTGACCGTCCTCTTCGTTCGTTTCTTCGTCCGTGCCTACCTGTTCCGCAGTGGCTCAAACAAGTCAAGAGGCAAGCGTCACTCAGTCAGCCGTGCCACCAAGGATGCTGCACATGGAACCAACCGCGAAATCGAGCACGCTGGCAAGGCAGTTGAGAAGAAAATTGCTCATCTCCCAGAGGACCTTGCAGCTGCCGAGAAGAGGCTTGAGAAGAAGCTTGGTCATCTACCAGAAGACTTGAAGGCTGCTGAGAAGAAACTCGAGAACAAGCTTGGCCACCTTCCCGAGGATGTTAAGAAGGATCTTCAAGCCCTTAAGGACGGCAAGCTCCCTCGCTCGACCAGACCTGTTAGTGACCGTGTTGAGAGCTTCGAGCGCAAGATGACCCCTACTAAGAAGGACGCCAAGCAGATCAAGGAAGAGGCCGCCGACAACCTCGATGAGCTGAAGCAAAGAGTGAAGCAGGAGACCCCTGGCACACCCACCAAGGACAATGCTCTTGAATCGACTGATGCTTCGCCTACCAAGAAGCAAAAGAAGAGAAAGAACAAGAAGAACAAGAACAAGCAGGCCAACAGTGGCGCCGATAACGTCGACGAGCACACAGATGCTGCCGAGTCTGGTTCTGAGCATGAGCACACCGAGCCTGAAAACTACGCCGCGGCGCTGAAAGAGAACCTGAAGAAGGAGGGGCAATCACAAGATCTCAAGCCCAAAACAGAAGAATAGGAACAATACTGGTGGAATACATACAGGAGACCCTCCATTGCTGAGTGGGTCGAGAAAACAGGACATGTTCCGAATTGGGAAGGAGCATCATCGAGGAAGGCTGCAGGGAAGGAACGACCTGATGACATTTCTAGTTAGCTGGCGCGGCTGCCTTGTACTATAACCAATCACTATATTCGCAGATAGCAATGAAGCCACGAAATCATGAATTTGTACTTTCCCCTTCATGCTGAACTGTTGAAACGTGACTATAGAAATGCACAATAGTATCGAGAAACAGGATGGTATCCATTGAGAGACGAGATTTTGCAGGCTCTCTCTGGCCACAGCTGTGGTTTGGAAACGTTTGTGCCTTTTTATAGCTTATTATTCCACTACATGCCAATGTGAGAGACAATCAAACGTTATGACAATATTTAGCGCATACGTGAGGAGGCCCCTAATGTGAAGAGCTTGACATGTTGACATGTATAACAGTGTGGAATATGACAAGATCTCCAGCTCTCGAGCACGAAATGTCACAGAGAACGTAACGAGAGGAGCTGTGCGTGCAAGAACGGAAGAGGGAAGATCGTTGCGGGGTTTCGGATGCCCCGCCTTGCAAGACCCCTCATCTACCCAGCAACATGGATACATATAGCAAGACAGAGGTAAGCTAGAGTCAGATTCATCAATTCTTCTCTTATCTCGGTCCATCAAGAAGCAACTGCAAAGACTACAGCCCACACAACTCTTCAGGAATCCTCTTTATCAAAACACAATGTCTTCGTCCTCGGAATCCCCCTCACTCGGCCGTCTGAAAGGCAAAGTCGCCATCGTCACCGGAGGAGCCAGTCCCCAAGGCTTTGGCTACGCAATCGCCCGCCGCTTCATCGACGAAGGCGCAAAAGTCATCATCGGCGACCTCGATGGCTCCGGCGCCGAGTCCAGCGCATCCTCACTCTCCTCCCCACATGCCAAAGGCGTATCCATGGACGTCTGCAAACACGAAGACTGGAAAAGAGTAGTGGATATGGCGGTCAAGGAGTTTGGCAGACTGGACATTGTGATCAACAATGCCGGGTGCACGTATAGAAATAAACCGACTGAAGAGGTTACGGAAGACGAGTTTGAGCGGGTGATGAGTGTGAATGTCAAGAGTATCTTTTGGAGTGTCAAGGTTGTGGTGCCGCAGATGCAGAAGCAGGGGGATGGTGGCAGTATCATCAATATCTCGAGCAGTGGGAGTGTGAGGCCTAGACCTGGGTTGGTGTGGTACAACGCCAGCAAGGGGGCGGTGTCGAATGTGAGTCTTGTTTCTTGGACGAGGATGGCGAGTTGGCTGACTTGTTTGTAGGCGACTATGGCGCTGGCTGCCGAGTATGGGCCTGATCAGATCAGAGTCAATGCGATTGCTCCGCTGTTGTCGGCGACTGGTCTGTTTGAGTCGTTCGTTGGAGTCAAGGACACGCAGGAGAACAGAGACAAGTTTGCAGCGTCGATCCCACTAGGCAGACTGACGGATCCAGTAGACGTGGGTAATGCGTGCGTTTTTCTGGCGTCGGACGAGGGCAAGTTTGTGACGGGTACCAACTTTAGTGTTGACGGAGGAAGACACATCTAAGGTGTATAGCTCAAGCACTCAAAGCCTTTCCAACCAGCTCTTGACATCTCTGCGACATGTGTAGCTCAAGAGCCATCTTGTGACCCTCAGGGCTCATCTTGACCCACGTCTTTTGCAGAATCTTGATGATCTTGTCTTCGTCGAGTGTCTTTTCAAAAGCCTCGAATTGGTCGTCAAGGAAGACGAGACAGGCAATGTCCTCCAACGCCTGTGTGTCCTTGTCGCCCTCACGCAGACCTTGCTTCTCAATCAGAGCCATTGTCTTTTGCGTGTCCTCGGTACTGAATCCACATTCTTCCATGATGGGAGCAACCAACTGGGCCTGTCTCTTCTTGAGGAAGGTTCTCCAGCTGTGGTAGCCGATGCGTGTCATGGGATACGAGTCGCGAGGCACTTCCCAGCGACGAAAGTGCTGTGCGCGAATGGCGATTTTAAGAGGGTCGGAGGCATCAGGCGAGCGTCTCTCAAGGTACCAGGTCATCTGTTGGGCATAGTGAAGCTCGTACGGCACTTCCTGTCCGTCGATTGTGACCTTCTTAGGGTCTTCGGCGTGGGCCTCGTCGATGAGTTGCAGTGCTTTCTCTAGTTGAGGTGCCATTGTTTTGTTTGTGGTGACTTGTCTAGGAGTGTGCGCGGTCAAGGGTACAATCAATCACCTCGAAGACTGCTTATCTCCAAGAGGTCCGTGCTATAATCATCAAGTTGCTCGCCATTGGCTTGCGACATAAGTCTCTCAGTTCACATTGCTAGTTATATGCATCGTCCTGCACTCCTTCTCTTGCCTCGAGACTTTCTTCACTTTCTTGCTACTGTTCCATTTGTCCATCGTAAATAAATGGAAGACCCTACGCTCTACAGACGAGAATCTGTCTATAACAAGGCCTGATACTCACAGGCCAAGCTTTTACCCTTCCAACGCGACGAACATCCCTCCTGGTGACAACCTTTCTCAACGCTTGCGCGCTCTGCCAGAGACATGCTCATCCAACAAGCCCTCCTCGACACAAACCGAAGCCCTATCGCCTCTCGGCCGGCGCCTTTGAACGGCATCACAGAAGACGTGCAAAGATCACTGGTTGCAAACAACATCTTATGGGACTAAACCGTAAAAGGGTATTCGGTGCGACTTGGCATATTGGATCTCCTTGAGGTCGTGTCCGATGACGTCTAACCTCTATTCCGCCACCATATCATTCAAGTCGCATCGCTCAGAGGTCATGTTGTGTATCATGCGAATAGGACAACAGCGTGGGTAGCGCGACTAAGTAAGTGTACACGCCAGTCGTCCGTTGACCATCCAACCGATCAGTGCTCATGGGCATCTCCAAAATCATGGAAACCACAAGGGTAGGGTTGAACCGTTGTTCCGGCTCTTGTCTAGCTTTCCCATTTTCCTTTTACATAATGATGTCAAAACGCCTATTTCCTCGCCGCATCCAACTTCTCGTTGAAGCCCTTGGAGCCTCATCTCTTATACAAAACATCGCATAACCGCGTCGGTTTCACGCGGCCCTGATCCAAGCATTCGTCAAGCAGCGTCTGTGAAATACGTCCAAGGCCCACGGTCTTGTTTCTTGAGCTTGTTTTTGACGCTTTTTGTTGCTTCTGAAATCTAGTGTTGTATACATCTGCTTGGTTTCTTCGTTCTATTCACCTCACTGTTTACGTTCCTTTGCATTGATACCCGCCACATGAGATGCTAGAATCGGCACATCCTGCTCACGACCAGCCTTCATGGCGTGGCAGCAGCTCAGAANNAACACTAGAAGCGAATAGAGTCGACGAGCAACAGCGTATAGCCAACGAGAAGTCACATACCAGCCAAGAACTCGACCCAGATGTGGAAATCGTGGATTGGGATGGACCCAACGACCCGGAAAANCCCGTATGTTCTGCATACCATTTCAGACAGGATATAGCTGACGAAATCTTACAAAGGTTCAACTGGCCAGTGAGGAAGAAATGGATCCTCACATCGGTGGCTCTTTTTGGAACATTCATTGCCCTTCTAAATGGAACATCCATGGCTGTCGCCGCTGAAGCCTACAACCGCGACTTTGGCATTAGCGATGCACACTTTCCACACTCTTACTGGCCTATTGCGAGTTGGGCGATAGGTGGTGGTGTTTTCATGATGGTTCTACTGCCCATCTTCGAGGATTATGGAGTCAGATGGGGTTACTTGATATCCTACATTGTCCTGATCATCTTCATCGTACCTTCAGCAGTGGCCCAAAACTTTGCAACATTGGTGGTTACACGCTTCATCGCTGGCGGTTGCGTCTCACTACTTGGAAACACCATCAGCAGTATCATCTGCGATATCTGGGCTGGTGATCGTGGCAGGACGGTACCCATGGAGCTCTACATCACCGTCTATCTGTTTGGCAGCACCATGGGTCCTGTGGTAGGTGGTGCCATCTACCAATTCCTCGACTGGCGCTGGATCTTCTACATCCAGATCATCTGGTATTGCGCTTTCATCCCGCTCTTCTTCTTCACCATCAAGGAAACTCGTGGCTCGGTCATCCTCAAGCAGCGCGCGAAAAAGATTCGCGCAGCGACTGGAAAGAAGGCGTATACACGTGACGAATTGAACCATATCCCGATCTGGCAGATCGTAAAGACGTCAGTGCAGAGACCAGCATACATGCTTTGCACCGAGTGGGTGGTGTTTTCTCTTACTCTGTGGTCAGCATTCGCTGTCGGTCTTGTCTACCTCTTTACTCAAAGCATCGAGGAAGTCTTTGCAGGTCTATACGGATGGCCAGCCTACAGCACCGGTTACGTCCAGGGCGCCGTTGGCATTGGAGAGTTGCTTGGTTTCTTCGTCTCGTACGCCAACATCTACTTTTATCAGCGGTCTGCCAAGTCGAATCCTATTGATCCTGGTACACCTGTTCCGGAAGCTAGACTCTACATGTCTCCTGTGGGAGGCTTCTTTGGCATGACGGGAGGCATGTTCATCTATGCATGGACTTCTTACCCACATATCCCTTGGATAGCTCCCGCAATTGGACTAGCAATGGTTGGGTTTGGCATCAACATTGTTTGCGCGTCCATTGCGCAATATCTCATGGACTCGTACTCCAAATATGCTGGCTCGGCAATCGCAGCTGTAGCATTTGGCGAAAATGTGTTTTCTGCCTTCTTGCCTCTGGCTGCGCAGAGCATGTATACCAATCTTGGGTATCAGTGGGCGAGTTCAGTGTTGGCGTTCTTGTCGTTGGCGCTGGCTTGTGCGCCTATCATTCTGTTGTTGAAGGGGCCAGAGATCAGAGCGAGGAGTCCGTTCATTCAGGAGGCGAGGTATGAGCATGATGTCAAGGGCAGTGTTGAAGAAGCCTGAGAGTTGTATAGGATTGTGTTATGCGTAGATACCCACAACACAAGAAAAGCATGCTTCACATCGAAGAGAATGTATATCACTGATTCGCAGATTAGTCTCTGTACACGTTGGTTCTACATAACGGAGGACTTACTGGTCATCAGAAGTTCAACAGGTTTCAAGGATGCATACCGGGAATGCCAAGGCACCTCGGCATCTATCTGGAGCTCAACGGCGATCATGTGGGGTGGCAGAGCGGCCAATCGGAACATGCCTGATGCTGAACGGAGTTGAGCTTCGCGAAAATGCACCTCTCGAAATCTCCAGAACAAGACATCCGGAGGGGTGATGAAGGAGGATAGGCAGGCACAGTCGGTGGATCGGCCGGCACGTTCTCCTTTCTACCTTGATCGTAAAGTGTTCTAGATTGAGCAAAGCGCCTGCGTGCCACACAGAGACGCAGAAAGCAATCACCAAGGATGAAACAGCTCGGATTAAAGCAATTCTACCGACCAAAGCCGAGCGTCGTTTAACCCTGGAGGACAAGAGCGCTGTTCAAGAGATGTTTAACCTCGACGCTCAAGTCGTGAAGCCGGATAATTTGGAGCTATGCCCAGGAGTCTGCACGGTTTCGAGGTGTGCTCTGCGCCGCTGTGGGCTCGTGAAGGGCAGCGTGACACGCATGGCCCGAGTCCCTGCAGACCCGAAGGTGCATTTATCCCCCTCATTGAGCAATCATTTACCCCGCCGGTTAGATATGCCCCACGGACGACTATGTTTTTGCGGGTCAAAAAGACACGAGTTGACGTGAAGGTAGGTACTTCTAACATTTTTCATCTCTCTGTTGCTCCTTCTCTTTCCTCTTCTCTTGACATCGTCTCCTTCCTCGCGCTCGCAGCTCTTCCAATCCCCGCCGAGTTCTTTTCATATCCAGCACAATGACTTCCACACAAACAATGGTCAAGCCGACATTGTCCAACATTGGTGTTTACACCAACCCTGCACATGATCTCTGGGTCGCCGAGGCCGAGCCTTCGCTCGAGCAGGTTCAGAGCGGCGAGAAGCTTGCTCCTGGTGAGGTCACAGTCGCAGTCAAGAGCACCGGTATCTGCNNGGGTGAGTAGCAGCACGAAATCGAAGAAATGAGATAATGGTCGCTGACGACGACAAGGTCGGATGTGCACTTCTGGCACGCCGGCTGCATCGGCCCCATGATTGTCGAAGACGACCACATTCTCGGTCACGAATCAGCGGGTGTCGTTGTTGCCGTGCACGACAACGTCAAGTCGCTCAAGGTCGGCGACCGCGTTGCCATCGAGCCCAACATCATCTGCGGCGAGTGCGAGCCTTGCTTGTCCGGCCGCTACAACGGCTGCGACTCTGTTCTCTTCCGCTCCACTCCTCCCGTCCCCGGTCTCCTCCGCCGCTATGTCAACCACCCCGCCATGTGGTGCCACAAGATTGGTGAGATGAGCTACGAGAACGGTTCTCTCCTTGAGCCTCTCAGTGTTGCTTTGGCAGGTGTACAAAGAGCAGAGGTCAGACTCGGTGACCCCATCCTGGTCTGCGGTGCCGGCCCCATCGGTCTCGTCACTCTCGCCTGTGTCAAGGCCGCCGGTGCCGAGCCCATCATCATCACCGACATTGACGAGGGCCGCCTCAAGTTCGCCAAGGAGTTCTGCCCCTCTGTCCGCACCCACAAGGTCGACTTCAAGCACACNCCCGAAGACTTTGCAAAGGCCATCACCGAGCTCGGCGGCGGCGTCGAGCCCGCCATCGCCCTCGAGTGCACCGGTGTCGAGAGCTCCATCGCCGGAGCCATCCAGACCGTCAAGTTCGGCGGTAAGGTCTTCGTCATCGGCGTCGGCAAGAACGAAATCAAGATCCCCTTCATGCGCCTCAGCACCCGCGAGGTCGACCTCCAGTTCCAGTACCGCTACTGCAACACATGGCCCAGAGCCATCCGTCTGCTGCAAGGAGGCGTCATCAACCTCGAGAAGTTGGTCACCCACCGTTTCAAGATTGAGGATGCCCTCGAGGCTTTCAAGACGGCGGCAGACCCCAAGACTGGCGCCATCAAGGTGCAAATCCAGAGCTTCGAGGAGGGCGAGTCAAATTAGGTGAAGTGGTAAAAGACGAGTTATAAACACAAGCATGCATGGTTTGGACGTTTTTCTTTTCTGCCATATACATACGCGATGATAATGAGATTATTCTTTTTTTTTTTGACAAATATTTGAACTCTAGACCACACATTTGCTTCACATCTGTCTGATCGACATGCCACCAAGCTTGACTTGCTGGCTGATCTCAACCCACTGTCCACTATTCCTGTACCTCGTTTACACGGTAATATTCGGAAGCCATAAACATTTCAAAAGACACGTTGCTGACAGATTCACCTTGACCAAACCCTCCGGCCCCTCCGGCGCTTCTTGAACAGCGAGCCCGTTTCTATGCAGACCTCATATTGTATCATCAGACAAGATTGTTGCACTCTTGGACCACAAGACACAAAGATTAAAAGCAACGAAACGACTCTAGATTGATTATCTGACAGGTGGCTCTGCCGAAAAGGAATTTTGTACATTGAGTGTACAGGGTCTTTGGCATTGAATCAGCCTTGGAGCTTACACATGGGGCTGATGTATCTGTTCTTGTTACTGATGTATAGATTCTCGAAAAGAAGGCTATCGTGAAAGAGGACTTGGGATACTTTCAGATGTCGACGTCTTCATGTGTCATCGTGCTCGAGGCCTGAAATCAACTGTCGTGGCGATCAAGCAGTTGTGAGTGAGCGTAACGGTAAGTACTTCATGTTCGGCAGTTGATATTCCGCTACCCAAACGGAGACTGAGAACGTTCGATGAATCGATATACACCATGTTGATGCAACGCCAATGGCTCACACAAATCCCATGTCTGCTCATCTGCTGCTCGGAAAACAGCAGCCAGAGATCTACTTAGGCAGCAGCTGTCGCTGAGTCACACCACCAGATTTGGCGTATCAGGGGATCATCAATGCTTGAGACTTTCGAAGGCTGGTGATATGAAAAGTCATGGTAGGAGAGTATCTTAATTGAATCACCAGATCAGGCTTGCAGAGAAATGCTCTTCGAAAAAATCCTCAGGCAGTGTAGTAGGTGGCTCAAGAGAGGGAGCTTCGTTTCAGACGACTCGCTTCCGAACCGGAATGGCCAGCATCATCTACGCCAACCCGAGTGATCGAATGCGGCGAGCGGTTCAGTCGGCCGAATGAGGCTTCCGAGTGGATGTGTTGGTTTGAGGAGGGAGATGAGGTCTCGATTGGCAGATTCCAAAATGTGGTACTTCGGTAGATGTAAACAAAGAAAAGCCAACGTCGATGATGATGGGGCTGAACGTTGTAGCAAAAGGGTCACCAAGGAACATACCAATGACAATAACTTGCTCATGTGTGTGCATAGGAACTGGTAGGTATGTACTGGAAGCACCAAAGGCGTCAGCTGATACAAGGCTGAAGCTCTCCTGACCACACAGGTCCTCCACCATTTCCATCAAGGTTGATCCTTAGATCACGAGCGAAGAAAACAAGTCTCGAACATGACAACATGAAAAACAAAACACCAAGATCTGACCTGAGAAAAACAACATACGACAGACCAAGAATAAGAAGGATACCAGTCCTTCAGTATCTTGGGGATTGATCGTGCAGACGAGAGTCTCATGCTCACAGCTTGATCGCGTCTACGATATATAATCGCTTTTGCACTCCAAGCCAGCGCTGTAGCCGTAATGCTGCATTGACGTGTACTCTAGCAACGACAGTTTCTCCACCTCCCAAGCCGTTATTGCCTGTACATATCGGTATACTTCTTATTGAGTAGGGAATCTTTGCTTGATCATAATCTTGATCGCCTGTTGAGTCGTTAGTAAAATCCGTGCACATGTTTCAATCATATAAATGAGGCATATGCTGAAGGGCAGTTGTTGGACGTACCAANNGCTTCTCCAGAAGCTCTTGCTTCTTCATCCGTCGTGTTCTGTTTTCTCTGTAGTTGTAGACGTACACAAACTCTCGAGGCTCGGCTTCAGGAGTTCGCATCAGCTTGTTCCGGTCCCAGCTGGAGCTCTTCTTCACAGGAGAGATGTCCTTTTCCTGTTGAAAGAGTTCATCTTCTGATTCATGTATTTGCTTCATGTGCTCCATGTCCGAGAATGAGTGTTGTGGAGTGTTTGATGCAANTTGGTCCCTGCTGACGAAGAACTGCGATGAAATGTCATGTTGTCGTGATGGTCTATATAATAGTCAAAGAGGCCGGAATATGCATAGGTTCTAGTCCGCACTCGGCTCCCCCTCGATCATGACAGCTGCAGCTTAACCAGCCCCACCTGGTCACAGGCAGAGAGAATCGCTCTATTTCTGGATCACTGCTGCACTCACCGGTATCTCAGAAGTTTGATTGGCATAGCCCGCAGCTCCGTTGGTTGCAGGCTGATATCGTCCGTTCAGCCATGACAAAAAATCATACTAGATCAACACCACAGACGACAGTGGCCAATGACCTCGTTGTCGTTGGCGAGATGGCTGGTGACCAGTCTCATTGAATGTGGGGGTCCTAGAAAGATACCCACGCGTCTGTCTCGTGGCGCGGACCAGTACGGATAAGGATAAGGACAAAGGATTCCATTTCAGTTGCTACTCAGCCCTGCCAATGAGCAAGAGAGTCGATAGATACCTAGATCCAAGATAAGCAATACATCGATCTGTACCGTAGTTGGGTGATGCGTGGTTAGCCCGATAAGTGTCTTCAGAGTGATGACACCGGCAGGCGCTACAGCCGAGCCTGATAGAGATGGCTAGTCGAGATTGGTAAGTACAAGTACTTCGTGGGCTGAGCAAAGGAGCAGGACACGGACGGTATTGAGCCCTTTATGCATGCACTTCGCCATGATTAGTCTTGGTAGGCACCCGACCCGTAGCCGATTGTAACAAATAATGGGCTGGTGCTGGAATGCTGTATACAGGCTATGCAAAACTTTCGAGTATACAGGTGTACTTGAAGGAGACGGCCCCCAGGTATGAATTTGTTAGGTCACGATCATTCAGAATTAGCGAGGGCGGTTCCATCAGAGGATTGCACCTGCATCGAAGAAGCACCGTCCCCTTGTAGTCGACTTGGAGAGGCCATAGACTCCGAAGAGATTGTCCGCAAGACTAAGTTGTTCTCGGATGACAGGTCTGTTAAGAAATTACCAATGTCGTGCCGGTAGAAAATTGGAGATATTGATGGCTCACTGAATGAGGAAGAGCTCGAAGAGGAGCGTGTGACTGACCGTGCATAATATTGACGCACCTTCCTGCAGCCTCATTAATAAACGACCAGAATAACACACCTACAGCCTCGAGCCTCAGCCGTGATCAGTTTCCTGAGGCTGAGCTATTGATATGGACCGCAGCAGAAGCAGAGGATACGCCATTGGCATGACCACCTTGGTTGCCTTGTTCAGACCATGCGCGGACGTCTTGCAGGTACGTTGGACAGCAGACCGGATCTTTTATCATCAGCCAACTTCTGTCTCACCACGAGTATAGCACCTCAAGTCGCCTCAGTATGAACCACGAAACTCGTACGAGGTGTGGATGTCCAACCTACAAGAAAGAGTCTGTCTTGACCCTTGGTAAGACCACATCCGAGTCGCACAACTAGTAGCTCTTACAGCTAACGAGAAATCGACAGATGGCGGCGGTATTCGAGGTCTCGTGTCGCTCCTTATTCTTCAACAGATCCTAGTATTCATCCGCGATGAGGAGCGCGAGTGCGATCAAAAGATGGTTGTCGCAGGCCATCAAGCACCAAGCGCCAACGCACACGACAAAAAACTGCCGCTTGCCTGTCATTACTTCAGCTTCATGTTTGGCACTAGCACTGGAGGGTAGGTGCGAATGGAGACGAAGCGTGCGAGAGAAAAGGAGAAAGATGGCTGACGTCAACAGAATCATCGCACTCATGCTTGGTCGACTTCGCATGAGCATCGAAGATTGCATCCACACCTACCGCAACCTGGGCAGCGAAATTTTTGGAAAGAGACAGCCATTCCATTTCCTGGGTCGGAACAAATACGATTGTGTGAAACTTGAGCGTATTATTCGAGGCGTTGTACGAACGCACAGTGGTTGCACAAGCGACAAAGAGGATCCTCTGATCGAAGACTCCAGTGTGTTGAACAAGTCGCATGAACACAGACAGGAAAGAGTCCAGAATCGATGCATACCATGTCGCGTGTACGTATCCGATCGAATAGGTAATCTAAGCAGGTACTAATGGCTTTCTAGCGGCGTGTTTGCAGTACAAAGTGACACACACAGTGGCATGGATGAGAAGATACACCTTTTTCGAACTTACTTCAATCCAACGCCTCCAAATGCTAGCGAACGGAAAGACCTTACAGTCAGTCTTCATCGACAGCAGCTCGATGCTCCTATATGGAAGATAGCACGCGCCACGTCTGCCGCGCCCACCTATTTCAAATCCATCGAGGTGGACGGTGTCCGGCTTCTGGACGGTGGGTTATTAGCCAACAATCCGAGCCAGCTAGCCAGAGCCGAAGTGAATTCAATGCATCGACACCATCCGTCTGGAAGCTGCAAAACATCCGAAGGAGGCATGCGTTTCCTGGTTTCTCTCGGCACAGGCAAACAAGCCGATCAACTCATCACCAGAGGTGCGGGCCCCATACCAAAGCTTCTGAGCATTGTCAGACGTGCACTGAAGAAGATGACCGACCCGGAACTCGTACATGAAGATCTACAAAGAGCCCTTGACCCGAATGTATACTTCCGCTTCAACGTCGAGGAATCCCTCAAGAAGATGAAGCTTGACGAATGCATCATAAAAGGTGAAGACAACATCACTTTCAGCAGAATAGAAAAAGCCGTCAACGGCTATTTCAACGATGGCGATGTCTGGGACCGTGCGAAGCTACTTGCTAAACGGCTGGTTCAGCATCGCCGGGAGAGACGCAAACCTGGTCACGAGTGGTTCCGCAACCTGACGATCCCTGGCCTACTACCAGATCCGATTGACAACAGATATAGGAGCGATGAAACACCCAACGGTATCATCAACTTAGATCGAAGAGGTTCGCGGCCTGAGCCGTTACCGGGGGCTATCGAAATGCCTACACCGATGTCAGAGATGCCGATAGGACTGATGATTTCCGAGCTGGCGCCCAGGAGCCCAATACAAGATTCTACACGCAGTCTTCCCACGAGCCCGACCTACATTCCATATGACTCAGCCATAACTCCTCAGGAAGAGTGGTGTACACCAAGCTCGCGGATCCTGGAATACCACCAGCCCGAGCAAGAGAGGAACAGAAGAGACCTTGGTGCGAATGGCACTGCTCCAACGCCATATAGAGAGGATGGCGCTCCTCCGCCCACCCCGGATACACCAAGCTGAAAGCCTACATCTTTGCGGCCCTCTCAAATTCTTGGAACCTGTCATCCTCGGTGTGAAGATTCATCTTTCGCATGCCGCTAACGTTTTCCTTGCCTGGTTTGTCGTGACCCTCGTATACCCTGACTCGATTTCTTCTTCCATGTCGTTAATATTTCCTATACTCTAAGTACACTCCTTCTCTTGCGTCAAATCCGGACCTAGTCAGTGGCTGCTTGTTCCTGCATTTCTCAAGCTTCCTTTGGGTGTAAGCACTCCTTTGTCGTTGCTCTTCATGTCTCGCAGTCTATGTACGCATTTTCCCTCACGCTTGTAGTTGCATTCTACCATTGAATTTATCTGGATAGACTAGGCACGAAGTATATACTGTCATTGTAACACAAGATGTATAAATGTTACATCCCGCTACTGCACAGCCGCTATGGTCTCTGATGTTCTAAGCAATTCCTCTATTCGGTCGATGATTACACTTACATTGCATATGTTGTGAAGTCTCGCCCTCTGTTGTCTTGACCGAGCAAGAGTTAGCGCCAGATATATGCAAGATCAGAACAAACTGTCCGACATGCGGGATAGTGCTGCGATGGAATTGAGCTCATTGCTCCTTCCTCATGTGCATGAGCCAGTGCCTACTTGTTCGAATTTACTCCTACACAAAAAAAAGAACCACCAGAGGAAAGACGAGAAGAAAATCACAGAAACATCAAAGGTTGAGACAGATCTACACAACAGGCTGTGGAAAAAGAAACAATGTAATCTTTATACATAACCAAGTAAACAATAGTCTAGTCAAAAAAGAAGCAATCACTTTTCTCATAATGCATGCACCAAAAGAGGATATCCAACAAGGTTTCTCGCATAAGGACAAGCTTCCCGGGGATGAAGTGGGCAAGTCTACTGCTTATCCATGTACTGCATGCGGATCTCGACGGCGCGTCTGTGGGCCTCGAGTTGCTCGACCTTGGCGAGTTGCATGACAGCCTTGCCGACGTTGCGCAGACCTTGGGCTGTAAGGTTTGAGCTGGTGATGTGCTTGACGTAAGAGCTGAGGTTGACACCCGAGTATTGCTTGGCGTAGCCGTATGTGGCNNTGTGAGGAAATTGTTAGCTTGACATTCGAGAAAAGAGAAAGTAACTTGAACAAAACTCACGCAGAGAGTGGTTGACACCAGCAGAGTAGTCACCGACTGACTCAGGAGTCCAGGGGCCAATGAAGACGGAGCCGGCGTTCTCGACGGTCTCGGTGTAGGCCTCAGCATCCTCGACTTGCAAGATCAAGTGCTCGGGGGCGTAGTAGTTGCTCAAATCCATAGCCTCTTCACGAGTCTTGACGACCAGCGTCAGACTGTGAGAAATGGCACCACGAACGATATCAACACGGGGCAAAGCCATGGCTTGGTTGTGAAGTTCATCCTCAACGGCCTGCAGCTCCTTCTCGCTCATGTCAATGGCAATAAGTACGACCTGCGAGTCAACACCGTGCTCGGCCTGTGATAGCAAGTCGGAAGCAACGAAGGCAGGGTTAGAAGTCTTGTCGGCAATGACCATAACCTCTGAGGGACCAGCGGGCATGTCGATACTGACACCAGCGGAGGTGTCGTTGGAAACGATCATCTTAGCAGCAGTGACGAACTGGTTACCAGGGCCGAGAATCTTGTCGACCTTGGTGACCGACTCAGTACCGTACGCCATGGCAGCAACAGCCTGAGCACCACCAGCCAAGACAATACTTTCGGCACCAACCTTGTGGGCGACATAGACAATCTCAGGAGTGATAGAGCCGTCGGAGCGGGGAGGAGAGGCAATGACAATCTTCTTGCAGCCTGCAACCTTGGCAGGAACGCCCAGCATAAGAGTTGTCGAGGGCAGAACAGCAGTGCCACCGGGAACATACAAACCGACGCGCTCGATGGGACGAACGAAGCGTGAGCAGACAACACCAGGCATGGTTTCGACACGGAGATCCTCAGTCTCTTGTGCGGCGTGGAACTTGCGGATGTTTTCGTATGAGATGTCGATGGCCTCCTTGGTCTCGGGAGCGATCTGCATGAGGTCTTCGGGGAAGGGAGCCTTAAGAACAGTGGTGCTGAGAGAAGTGGCCTTTTCGAACTTGTGAGTGTACTCGAGCAGAGCCTTGTCACCGCCCTTACGGACACCCTCGATGATGGGGTTGACAATGCCCATGATGCGGTCAGTCGACTTTTGCGAGGGACGCTGCAGAGCCTGCTGCACCGTGTCCTTGGTCTCTTTGGTTGTGTAGTAGCGACGCATGCTGATTCTGCCGTCGACAGTGCCTGCCGGGTCCTCCTTGGCCTTGGGCACCGAAGCAGCCTCCTTGACCATCTCCTTGTCTCCATTGACTTGCATGCCGACCTTCTCAGCGAATTGAGGCTTGGCGTCACCCTTTCTTCTCTTGACCTTCAAGTTCTTAGCATCCAGGTTGCGCTCGATGTCCTCGAGAGAGACGTCGTTGGCAATGCACTTGGTCAGAGCAAAGTAGATGACATCGGCAGCTTCAGCAGCAATGTTGTCCTTCTCTGTCGCGTCAACCAGCTCTTGTGCCTCCTCGAGAATCTTTGCTGACAGCATCTTAGAGTCGTTGAACAGACGAGCGGTGTAGGAGCCTTCGGGAGCCGAACGCTTGCGGCTCGAGAGGGTCTTTTCGAGACGCGACAGACCAGCGTAGTCGCCGAAACATGTAGGAGTTGCCAGGTGACAAAAGCCTCTGCCCTTCTGGTGAACGTTGAAACGAAGAGCATCGCCGTCGCAGTCCTTGTCGATACGGATCAACTCTTGGATATCTCCGCTAGTTTCACCCTTGTACCACAGACCACGCTTTCTGCTGAAGAAGACACCACGGCCGGTGCGCAAACTCTCAGAGATACTCTCTTCACTACTGTAGACAAGGCCAAGAGCGACGCCGCGCTCGTCCGTGACAAGGGTGGTGAAAAGACCATCGGGTCTGTCGGTAGTGGCGTTTGCGAGGAGGAGAGGGGCAGCGGGGATGAGGTTGGGTTGACTCTTGGGGTCAACGGTCAGGTGCTGGGCGGCAATGACGGGGGTTGCGTTGATGTGGGCGATCTGGAGGGCCTTCTCGAGAGTGGGCTGGGCGAGCGAAACGTAGACGGGTGGTCTGTTGGATCCGTAGGCCTCGAGCAAGCTCTCGACAGCGGTAACGTCGGCGATGGCGGCAAGGTAGATTCCAACCTCGTTGCCTTGCAGCACGTCCAGTGCTGAGTTGCCAGCACCGGCGAGCGAAAGGACTAGCCGCGAGGCATCGACGTTCTTGTTCTGGATGTTTTGCAGTTGCTCGCTGGAAACAAAGACCTTGACGGCACCGGCATCAAGCAAGGACAGGATGTCGTCGGTTGAGTCGAGCTTCGTCACGTCAAAGTAGGTGCCGAAGTAGGTGGCAGTCTGCTTGAGGTGGTCAAAGGCGGCGTCGATGGTCTGTTGGGTTGCGACAGCGTAGACGGCGCCGATGTGACCAAGGCTGGCGGCGCTAAGTCCTGTAGAGGCATCGAGGCCTTGAGCCAGGTCAATGGCGGGCAAGAATGGTACCGACATGGTTCGGACCACTTGAGTATGGATATGAGTTGCTATGCAGATGTGTCGGAGCTAGAAGCGTGATTTCTATAGAGACGGACAGGAAGATGAAGACGACGGCTTGGATCGTCTTGCACTGCGATGACTCGACAGCGGGGCGAGATTTGAAAAAGTTGGACCATTCGTCATTGGCTGACAATTCAACCTCGTCCAAGCGCCGTCTTGATTCTTTGTCGCAATCGACAGACAACACCTGATGATGTCTTTGCTCTCATGATTCATTACTCTACAGAGCCCTGTCTTCTTCCACGCGCCTGCCCTCTCAACCCGGTCCTGTTCTATCGCGTCCGGTGTTGACTTGTGATCGAGCTCCTCCGATGTAGGCGATCACTCATCCACATTCGGCATCGGCTTCTGACCCTTGGTCTTGCCGGTTGTCGTGCCATTCTTCTCGCAAACAAAGCTCCCAGACTTGACCGCCTAACAAGCGCCCCAGTGACCAGGTCATTTACCCATGTAGGTTGCCCATCCAGAAAAACACAGTGCTTCGTTCCTGATCGCCATCATGATCAAATCGCGTGCATATACCCATGTTCCTATACAAATTCCCTGTCTTCTCCCACCACCGCCTTGAAATCACCTCACTCCAGTCCTCTGCCCGTCAATTATGGGTGTCACTTTATCCACACACTCCACGCTCGCGCCCCTCTCCTTAGCAAGCACTATCATAGGCTTTGTCTCCTTCTCTTTTACAGTCGCTACCCTGCTTAGAGTTTTCTGGGGCAATATCACAACTGTAACCCACGCCCATGATGAGATACACGACTACCTGAGCAACCTCCGAGTTCAACTGTATGAAGAACGTCAGTCTCTACGGAGTCTGAGACGCCACAACAAAGAATGGGGCAAGCGGGGACGTTCAAAGGGCCTCCCTCTTCCTCGCCTCGACAACTTGACCATCAAGTCCATGCAGGACACTCTCCGCCATCTGACAAGAAGATTCAAAACACTCGAACGACCTTTCCTTGACCAAGACTCTGCGTCTGGTCGTCGCAGATACCGCAAAAGCTTCTCACCAAACCCAAGAGACACATGGGACTCGGAGAAAGGTCTTCGCAGCCAAGAAAGAGAATGGGACAAGGAACTCGATGACGAGGAAGACCCAAGAACTCAGGGAGATGTCTATTGCAACATCACCCTTGGCAAACGCATTCTTTGGCTTCGTCGAAGGTCGGATGCGCTTGCCATCATCGAGGCTGTCAGTCGTCTTCAGACTAGAAGAACTGCCAGACAAGTTGGAGAGATCGCTGTTGCGTTGTACGAGTACGGAGATACGATAGAGGACCTGGACGGGAGTATGCAGGAGATTGAAGCTCGATTCAGCAAGATTGTTGGCATACGGAGGGTGGCTTGAGGAGCGAGATGCTATAGAGATTTGACAACCTTTTCTTTGTATATAGATATTCGATGTTATAGAAATACCTCATCAACATTAATCACCCAGTCGTATGAGAAGCAAGTTAAGTGAATGATTGATGAAGTGACAGGGTCGCAGTTTGGAGAGGGCAAGCACAGATTGATCGCACCGCCAAGCCATTAGGAACGCGCCTTCCTTCCACCAGCGCGATTATGCGCGTCAAACCATCGACGACAGTTATTGATTCATCTTATCACTATTTCCAATGTCCATCACCGACTGAATGCCTCACATACCGCCGACCATTGAGCTTCTCGAGCATGCACAACTTCAGTATAGAAGAAAGGAGTATGTCCAAGCCTTGTACCTCCTCGATCTGGCCATCAAGCATGAACCATCGCCATCAGTAAAGTTGCTCGACACACGCGCAGCAGTCCATGAAAAGCTCGGCGATCACAAGCTCGCCCTCAAAGATGCTCGGACTTGTATTCGTGTCTTCGAAAAGGACCCCACAGGCTATCTGAGAGCAGGCAAAGTGCTTCAGATTATGCAAAAGACTGATGTCGCTCTGAGCATCTACAAACATGGCATCAGCAAGAAGGTCAAGAATGTTGAGCTGCTCCAAAAAATGCATAACAAGCTTCTGTTGTCTCTCGCTCCCGACAAAGCCGCAGATCCATTTGCTCAACTACCCATCGAAATCGTCGAAATGATCCTGTCGTATCTCAACTTTCGACAGATTGTATACTGCACTCGTGTATCGAAGCAGTGGAACGTCTTTATCAACAGCTTGCCTGGTCTCTGGATGAATCTGGACTTCTCGGAAGCCAAGAAGCCTGTCAGATCTGCTTTCTTGAGTCGTTGCATCAACACGTCCAGACATAAAATCATCTCCGCAACCTTGAACCATGTGAAGGACATGGAAAAGGTCATCAAAGCCCTAGCTCGAAGTTGCCCGGAATTTGATTCGCTCCGTATTGTCGATGGCGGGTTACAAGGAGAGAGTCTTGTGCACAATCTCAAGTCGGCCACCAAACTGAAAAAGCTTACGCTTGGCCTCTCTGCTGGTATATCGTCTTTGACGCTTCCCAGTCTTCTTCTGGGCTGTGAAAATCTCGAAGAGTTAGAATGTCGAGCCATCATCCCCGGTAGCCTGAACCTACACTGGAAAGGGGAGTTTCCCAAGCTTCGTCGTCTGAAGTTGATGAGGAATCCTCAGTCACCAAATCGCTCCATGCACATTCTTCGAATAGCTACACTTCTAACGCTGATGCCAAACCTGCAATCTCTCTCGCTCAACAACTGGGCGACACCTTATGACATCCTATCCCTCAGAGAAACAGCCAAGCAACTGGCCGAGTTGGATATAACATCCATGGTGTCTTCCGGTCCGGTTCCTTTCCCATTCCGCGATCTTCCACCGACTCTTCGCGTACTACGCCTTGATATTGACAGGCCACTTAGCAGTGTTGTTCTGCTGAGTCCTAAAGACTTCTTCTTGCCTAATCTTGAGGAACTTGTCTGTTGCGGTGCAGACATGGCAAGTCTGTTTCTATCCGACCCCGAACTGATCTCCAAATATCCAGACCCTGCAGACAATCGGTTTCTCAAGCATTCCGATCTGTCCAGACTTCACACGCTACGTGTGCAGTGTACGGGTGCAGCTCAGTCAGTCACCTCGCTTCTCGCTCTGCCTCGTCTAGAACGCCTGCGCAGTTTGAGACTGACCAACAATTCCGACATTGGTGATGAGGTTGCGAAGCATATTGCTACCAACATGAAGCAGTTGCAAGACATAGATCTTTCCTCAACGATGATCACAGGTGGCGGCGTGCGTGTACTTGTCGATGGTCTCAAGCCATCGCTGAGGACACTAAAGTTCGTCAACGTCTGGCATTGCAGTCCAGATGCATCAGAATGGGCACGAGAAAAGGGTATACGGGTTGAATACTCGCAGAATGCCGATGTCAACCCAAAGGGACGCAAGATTCGGTTCGAATGAGATATGATTTAATGACAAGGCAGGAAGGACGGATGGGATAGCTTTACACATGGTATGTAAATTACGAACAAGTATGATCAGGGGGAACTTCTTAATTCCAGTAGAAATCCAGTCTCTCAGTACCAGACGCACGAAAGAGCGCTGCTGTACAAATACAGCATGCGAGATCAACCATGCTAAGGTTCCAGTGAGACCCTGGTCTTGTGTTTGACGGTCGACTCGTTCGACTGTGCATACTTTGGTCTCCTACATCTGTGGATTGCATCCAGACCAAAGTAAGGTGGTGGAGTCTGCTGACATGCAGCGGTATAGTGGTCAGGTGGAGTGGCTTTCGGCTGCTGCCTCAGGCCACAACGCCAAAACCATGACCTTCTCTCTCTTTTTTTGCCATCATGATGAATCGCAGGCACGCAACCCAGCAGTAATATCAAACTCCACTGCGCATGGACGATAGGTAGGCAGAGTGGTCGATCGCGTAAAACAGTAGGTGCATACCGCTTCGTGAGTATAAGACTCTAATTCACGCATCGAGCTTCCACATGGTCGTCGTGACGATGAGTCTTATTCTGAAATTTTGCAGGCACATAAACGCGACCATCTTCTAGTTCGGTCCATTTCCTCCTTCTCGTCGAACAAAGTTCCATCAGTTACTTGTCTTCGCACACAGCAACCAGGTCTATCAAACATCGCCGATCAACCATCTTCATCAACAACCAGGCTCATCAACCATCGACTACCGGCCTCTCATCATAACAATCAAGTCATCGACCTCTCATCACAACGGTCAAGTCATCAACCGCCCACCTCATCAACAAGATCTCCATCCTCCATCACAAACACGCAAATATGTCCTCAAGCATGAGCAACACCAACATCCAGGCACCTGAGCACAAGTCCTGCCAGGCCTGCTTCGACACCGACAACACAGAAACCTTCGTGGCTCTGCCTTGCGACCATCACTGGTGCCGCGACTGCATCTCTCAGGCCTGCACTCAAGTACGCAACGAGCGCGACTGGCCCTTGGCATGCGAAGAAGGGTGCACTTTCCCCGAAGAGATTGCACTGGAGACTCTGCCTGGAATCGAAGCCACGCGCCTGAAGGAGAAGTTGCGAGAGCTAAAGACGCCTATGCGCGAGCGCTACTACTGCGCCAATAGAGACTGTGGAGAATTTGTCGCGACAGTCGTCATCGGCCCCCTCGCTCGCTGTGAGGAGTGTGGCTGCCAGACATGCAAGCAGTGTCGTGCACTCGAACACGAGGGTGATTGTAAAGGTCCCAGCCAAGAAGACGAGCAAGCAGCTGCTCTTATCAAGAAGNNAAAAAAATGGGCAGAGTGCTCGGAGTGCAGCAGAGTGATCGAAAGGACACAAGGATGTCCTCGCATGACCTGTTACTGCGGCTATGAATTCTGCTACCACTGCAAAGGCCCCATCCGCGCATGCAACGGCTGCTTGCATCTGGAGCCCGACAACAGACCAGCACACCAAGCCGGGATTGAGGCGGGATTCGGACGCGTGCGGTACCTACACCAGGACCTACTCCGGACATTACAGACCGCCATCGTCTCCGTGAGAGTCTCTACTCCTCCTGACTCGGCTGTTGGTGTGACCCAATGGTTCAACGACCGACTCCATGAAGACGGGTTTCCCGGCCATGGAGTGCTCTTTACTACCATCGAGTCTCGGCATGCTATCCATCTGCCTGAAGATATGCCTGGTATTGCCGAACTCGAGGTCTCTGACAATTCACTGTTCTCGCTCTTTGGCACTGCTCGATTGGAGGTGCAGCCTGATGGTACCTCTCTCCTGTTCGATGCAGAGGGTGAGGAAATCGAGCAGGTCGATCAACAGGATGATGACGAGGATGAGGACTGGGATATGTGAAGGCACAGTCAGGAGATTGTACCTGGGGGGATTTGAGCTCTGTTTTTCTGTTACTCTGCCCTTCAATTGTTTTGTTTTTCTGCTACCCTACCCTCCCGACGGATTGTTTTTCTGCGTCCATTCATGGTACCATTCATGGCGTTTTTCTTTTTCTATCGAGTAGCTCTCCCTCGAACGACCACTGTACATCCAGCAGCTATCGAAATGCACACAAATGTATTCATATCACTTTCCACAGGGTTGATTTATGGAGGTACCAACACGGGAGCATGTGAAAGGTTTGTTGGTACGACAGGACGATTTGTGACGTGCAAAAGAGAGTCTACCACTGGGACTCGAACGTGGACACCCAAAAGATTTCTCTACCGATAGAAAAAAATTCTTTTCCATCAACCACCAGAACAAGAATGAGAAAAGAAATGGATTCCGACACGGGGAATCTAGTTGTTCTTTCGAACGGTTTGAGAGCGAGAAATCCTAGCCACTAGACCATATCGGATTGATGTTGAGTGCTTTGTTCAAATGTAATATAATTTTACATTGCCTACAGACACACATCGACTCAACCTTGATCTCGAATGCCTTCTTTCCAAATACTGGAAACTTTGTCCCAGCTATTCGTCCTTAGGTTTTGGTGGAGCTCACATACTTGGTGCCATACCTGGTTTGACATCAAGCATCTAAAGCTCATATAGCGATTTGCTTGTAGTCGCAGCAAAAGTTGGTCAAAATCAGATTGATAATCAATGCTTGACCGACTTACTGTGCAGATTCAGAGGATGATGTCGACGGGACCAAATACATGGCCAAAGTGAGGGGTTCAAATTCTCTTCAAGCCAACCCCAGACTTTTAATCTCCACCACCTTGTTCAAATTGAAACCTTTGATGTTAGTCCAGATGTTGCTTCCGTTGACCCAAACCCCACACTGCGAAGGCTTTGATGATCCATGAGGACTTGAGGGCTGGGCTGGCTTATTGAATTAAATGTACATATATGCGCTGAAAGGGAAATGGTTCACAAACCAATATCAGCTCAGCTGGCTCATCTTCATTGGTCTAGTGGTCATGATTTCCGCTTGTCAAGAGTAACATCTCGTCAAGCGCGGGAGACCAGGGTTCGATTCCCTGATGGAGAGCACCTTCTTTTGTTCATATGCCAGAGGTGGTGAAAACAAATTTGTTGTCACAGCTTGCAGAAAGCTGGACTTTTTGCGCGGTGTGGGAAAACCGAGGATTGGCATGGCAAAAGACGGTATTGAACAGCGCAATGTCTGGACAAATAGACAGAGAATTAATCAGAACATACCATTGACATCAGGTGTCTGTAGATAAAGCTATGATGATAGAAGGTTCTACAGTGCAACATCTTACACCCCACGCAAGAGAGCCTCATACACAGGTGCAAACAAAGCACATTTACCGTCAATTGCACCATCAGGCAACACAGTGACACCACTTCCACGAACACTTCCAACATCACCCAAGACACCAAGATTCCAATCTCCTTGTTGTACATCTCCATTGGGACTTGTCAGTATACCGCCGAGTGAATTGTCAGATGTCGTGATGTGAACAGCACCTGCACTACCAGTACCCACTGCATTCCATCCTGGTCCGTTGGCTGGGTTCTTTGCAAAGGCAGCCCATGCGCCACGCATAAATTCGCTCAATGCATACTCTTGGGTTGTGACTTGGGAATCAGGGTATGTAGAGAATACAAGGGNGATCTCGGAAGAGTGGTAGACACCTAGACCAGGGTATGGTTGTGTGTTGGCGAATGAGGCGTTAAAGTAGTATCGCCAGGTAGGAATGCCGCTTGCAGCAGACGCATTGGCCCAGAGAGCTTGNNAGGCTGGAACAGAAACGTAAGTGAATATATTGTAGCACAAGTCATAGTAACTTACGCATTGGAAGTAGTAGTCAGTGAATATTTTTGAAATCACATCATTAGGCGTGTTGAGCCCGTTTACGCCAAGCGGATATACTTNTTGGATAGCATAAACAAGAGCCGGCGAGATGCTGAAGTAGGTATTCAGAAAGGTTGTGATGTTGTTTTGCCCGAACATGAAGACACTGTGCAGTATAAGCAAAATGTAATTGGATAGACACAGAGACAAAACGCACCTTCCTTCCTGTGCATTTGTACCGCATAGAACAGGAATGTTGGCGATTTCTCCCAATACACGTCTCTCAGCAGGATTCGATACAAGTGTGATGTTGTCGGCAATAGGTGGGAATACGAGGCTGTTGACCTCAATGATGCGTTGAATTTCCGTCGCACTTGCTGCTTTGACACAATCCAGGTCACTTTCGAACTCACCCGGGCAGCCAAGCTCTTCAGTGAGATTGGACCATGCAGGTACGCTACTGGTACGTGGGTCAGGTCTGTAGCTATACTGGCCACTTTGTAATATTGCGCCGCGGAATGGTGGATCTGATCCTTTCGGGAAACTGGTGAGCAGCGCATCAACCGAGTAAGCTCCAGCCGACTCTCCGAAAATCGTGACTTTAGACGGGTCACCTCCAAAGGCGTCGATGTTGCGTTGTACCCATTCCAAAGCAAAACGCTGATCCAGGAAGCCAAGATTGTGACCGGAGAGAGGCAATTCTGGAGAGCTTGGAAATCCGAAGACATTTGATCGGTAGTTCGCAGTGACTACGATCACGTCGTTATAGGCAGCAAAATGACTTCCGTCATATGTGGGCTGTCCAGCATTACCGAATTCGAAATTGCCGCCGTAGATCCAGAACAAAACAGCTCGCCCCTTGGGATCGTGAGACTTTCCAGCCGGAGCATATACGTTCAGGTATAAACAATCTTCAGATTCCTGAGGTGGGGNGTTGTTGAATACCAATTCAGTAAACTTTTGGGAAGCCAGAGGATCTGTGGTTGATTAGTCGTGCTAAGGAAGGTTTCAATAAGGGTGTCGTACAGTNNTGAATTGCTGGATACATGCCGGTTTCCAAGCTGTTGCATTGATAGTGGACAATTTAGGTACTGCTCTTGGAGGCGCAAACCGCTCAGGTGGTGATTGGGCGAAAGGTATCCCCAAGAACTTGTTGACTATCGCACTTGCAGTTGGAAGACTGGTTGTTGTTCCCGTGGCTCGTCCATATCTTAGGTGTGCTGTTGGATGACCTATCTGAGTATGAGACCCTCTCACCAGGACAACGAGTGCAAGGCAGAGGAAGAAGTAGCGCATTGCAGATGATCGACGCATGCAATGATGTGGGTGGAATGAAGGAGATGGAGGTGCTTGTGGGACTTATATAAGGCTTTCTGCTGCTCCGAACATGGTTCCTTAACACGGTTTGGCCGAGGACCTTTGCACAATACATGGCTTGACGCCAGAGAAGACGGTGAGAAACAGCCAAGCACGGCTTGTGTTGTACACTGGGTCGATAAAGCTGGACAGGAGTGGTACAGTGGAGTGTAGAGACCAGTCTTACCGGGAAAGACGCAACTATGCGGCGTCGTTTGAGCATGACCCAGAATTGCGGTAAATTAGGAAAAGTCCTCATATCGGGTGATGTCTACCAGGCAAGAATAATGAGAAGCCAGAAGCCAGAAGCTAGAAGCTGGGAGCGCCTAAGTTAGTATATATTGATTGACATATTCATATACCGGTCTTGGTGTGTCTTTCCATTCATGCGGGTCAATCTGATATAGGTTAGATCATCGCGGGGTGCGTCTATCTGCCACACACTGCCATTAAGGCGTCCAAGGCGTCAGCGCCGAGTCAGAGAGGCACCTGTTCGGTAGAGTCCACCAGAAAAGAGGCACGCGAAGTGCGTCTGATAGTTCATCGACCATTCAATAAATATATCTTCTTGCAGGTCCCATCAGCCAAAACACCAGTCTGTAATTTCGGTAAATCCGGATCCTGGACTCTGGGAGGCCTTACTGGGCTTGACCCTTCGAGAACACCACTCAGATCCCAAAACCTGGTGGATGTGACCTTAACTGCAGAGCATGCATGCTTCTAGTCTTTCGAAACTTCTATTCCAATTTACGCGGAAATGAGCACTTGCTTATCGACTGACTTCTACCTAGATGCTCTGCCAGACAGTGAATTGGAAGGCCTGAGGAAGGATTTCCGACTTGAAGTGCTTGCTTGTACTGAGGCTGGTTTCCAACGAGTCCAAAAGAGAGGTTGAGAAGAGACCAATCAGACGTGCCGCAGTCAGCTTGTTTGCTTCCAGAGTAACACCGGCATCGGAAGAGGGCCGTGCCAGGTCAGAGAACTCTCCTTGCTGCTCTTGATGCTTGTCCGGACAACTCGGATGGCACTCGCTCAAAATCAAATGGTCAGCATTGAGGACTGTCCAATTAGAAGACAAACAACTGTAAGCAAATTTGTTGGAAGTGCTTAGAGGGCTTGACGGCTGTCGCCGTGCGTGGGGAGGGCAGTTTCTTCGAGCCAATCAGCGCGCGTCCAAATAAGCATTTCGACCACGCTCTACGCGTAGTCAACGGCTCTTTGTAAACACATTCCAGTTCGACACTGCTTCAAATCATGGAATGGGTCTGTATTATGCTTGCTGAAGGCGAATCCGAGCAGGCAGTGTTGCAGCGTACCACAAATTCACTATATCTGAACACAGAGAACCACATTCGAGTACCACAGTACAACCAAGCTCCTCTCACACTGCGGAAGCTCCAATGTGTAGGCAAAGATGGCTTGCGGGGAAAGCACATGAGTAGCGTGGAAAAAAACTGGTCAAGGCTAATCTTTGACGCGGTACCAACGTGTTGAGTAAGTACTTATATCATGACCTCCTGTCATATTCCAGTGTTGTCTCTCTAGCCTTGTCACTTTCTCAAACTCTTTCAACCTTGCCATTCTCAAAGCGCGAAGATCACAGCCATACTCCACGCATTAGTCGACCATATCGTACTGAATCTCTACACCATGGCTCTGCTCTACATCAAGAATATAATCTTGCCGGCCAAGAGACAACCTGTCTCATTACCCTCGTTTAAGCAGCAACAACAATATGGTACTTGCGACACTGCATCAGAGATATCTCAAGACGGCTCCGACTCTTCAACCTTGAGGAGTGATACAGGAAATCGCTCCTCATCTCGAGTTGACCCTCGTATCATTTCAGACGCTACTATCGGTCTTTCAGACGGCCTAACTGTTCCCTTCGCGCTTTGCGTGGGATTGGCAGCACTCGGCGACACGAAGCTCGTCATCTATGCTGGTCTGGCGGAGCTTTGTGCGGGCGCTATTTCCATGGGATTGGGAGGTTATCTTGGTGGTGTAAGCGAGGCGTAAGTCAATCTACCTCTAGTTGAAGCCCAATCATTGACAACCAACCAGNNACAATCATATGCAGCCACATTGGCGGAGACACGAAAAATTGTCAACCAAGCTCCAGACGAAGCCAATTCGATGATCAAATCAACATTCGACTCCTACGGCCTTTCGGAAGATACTCTGGACGCCTTTGCTACACAAATCAGCTCATGTCCGAAACGATCAGAGAATTTTATCATGCGCTTCCATCATGATCTTCCGGAGTCACAAGCAGATGCCTCACGTGCTTATATCTCAGCTTTGACTATTGCACTTGGTTATCTTCTTGGTGGACTGGTACCTCTCACGCCTTACTTCTTCGTGAGCAATAATCAGACTGCTCTGTGTTGGAGCATCGGAGTCATGGCCGTTGCCCTGTTTGTCTTTGGCTATGTCAAGACTGTTCTAGTTGGTGAAGAGAAACGGCTGCTGTGTGTCAAAGCAGGCATACAGATGATGGTACTGGGAGGCGTTGCTGCTGGAGCAGCTATGGGCTGCGTCAAGGCCATAGGCTCATGACCTTTGACGACATTTCAATATACGCAATCTCTTGTCCATGGCGTCTCGAGATAGGCTACGACTTTGGCATAATGAACCAGCCAGCTCTTACGAACTTTGTATTACTATCGTATCATTAGAACAAAGATACCCATGCTACTCTATCGAATTTACCCCTCATCACTCGTTTGTCCAGTTTGAATTAAGGTCGGCAATAGAAGCAATTTGCCCTCACACAAGTGGAGCACCGGTTTGCTGCATTTGAACAATGCCACGTCAGTTCCCGACAAGCTGGAAAGAAGAGCCCAAAAACCTAGACAATCTATTCCCAAGCCGAAGGGCAAGACGTAAACTCATCAAAATTGAATTTCGAGCTGCCTTAAACAGCTCTGAGGATTTCGATAGCAACAATAGGAAACGAATGTACTTTGAGGGAGATACTGGGCAGGGCGAAAGCTGAACGCTTAGTCGTATACGATAGGTTAAGAGAGAGCAAAAACTTTACTGCAGAGCAAAAACTTCACTGCAGCAGGTGAGATTTTTGGAAAACAGAGACAGTTGATACAAGTTTGTCTCGATTATACGAGCAGATACCTGACAGAAGTCTTCAAAAAGAGGAAGTTGAACACGATAACTAAAGTCTCCTCTCACACTGTATTGAACAAAGTGTACTATAGAAATGCACGGTTGTATTCAGAACAACGATGTGGCCAGTGAGAGCCGATTAGATTTTGGCTCTCAGTGGACAGTGCCTTATCTCTTGATAGTACTGTGCATTTCTATACTACACTTTGTTCAAGACAACGGAGAGAAGTTTCGACTGTTTTAGTATATCAAGCGCGTTCTCCCGCTTTTGAATCAGCTGCGCGCCAGAATTCTTTGATTGTTTCACTTTCACTCGCATGCAAACACTTTGTTTGCGCAACACCTTCACTCAGACTTTTACATAAGCTGGCTTTCTTCCACTCATCTTCCCTTCTCGCCCATCTCGATACCACGATGCATCAGACCATGAACGCTAGTATGACTAGCAATATGGTAGACCCTGGCCTTCTCGACAAGATCGACAAGCTCTTCGCCTGTGGTGTTGGGGACCATATTCCACTCCCCCAGCTGGTTGTTGTTGGTGATCAGTCGAGGTAAGCGCGCATAGAGCTCTTCCACCCTCATCAATGTGATGCTGACTCTCTCTCTCTCTCTNNCAGTGGCAAGTCGTCCGTTCTTGAGGGCATCACAAAGCTGCCGTTTCCCAGAGATTCCGGCTTGTGCACCAGATTTGCTACGCAAATCACCTTCCGTCGTGCGCAGACTACCAGCGTAAGTGAGGCAAGGGTATACAGATAGCACAGACCAAATCCCATCACATGGGTCTTCGGCTGCTATGTGTTCCATGCTCAAACATAAGAAACATGCTAACTGTACCTTACCTTTAGNACCACTGTCACGATCATCCCTCACAAGAATGCCGCACCGGCCTATGCCGACAAGCTGCGCGCATTCAAGAGTGTTACCAATGCTGTTCTTGAGCCAGTCTCTTTCTCAAAGGCCATGAAGGAGGTTCACAAGCTCATGGGTTTGTCGGAGTCTGCTGAGGACAACGACGGCAAGTCTACCTTCTCTGAGGACGTGCTCAAGGTCGAAGTGACTGGACCTGAGCAGGAGCACTTCTCTGTGGTCGATGTTCCAGGCATTTTCAGAACTGCCACCAAGGGTGTGACCACTCTGGCAGATGCAACCATGGTCAAGTCGATGGTGCGCCGCTACATGGTGAACCCACGCTCTGTCATGCTGGTCGTCATTCCCGCCAACGTCGACATTGCCACCCAGGAGATTCTGACTCTTGCAGAAGAGGCAGACCCCGATGGTCATCGCACGCTTGGTGTTCTAACAAAGCCTGACCTGGTCGATCCTGGCGCTGAATCTGGTGTACTTCAGCTCATCAAGGGTGAAAAGCACCCTCTCAATCTCGGCTGGTGTATTGTGCGTAACCTTGGTCAGCAGCAGATCCAGGACACCGCTGCCGACAGATCAGCTGTCGAAAGGGCTTTCTTCCGCGACAGAACACCCTGGAACGAGCTTGACCAAGAGCGCGTCGGCGTGGATGCACTGCGTAGTCGCCTGCAGGAAGTCCTGGCCAGCAACATCCGCCGCGAGTTCTCCAACGTCAAGCGCGAGGTGCTCACCAAGCTGAGCACGGCAAAGCGCGGTCTCAAGGACCTTGGTGACAAACGCCAAACCCCTGATGAACAGCGTCGTTTCATCATGGACATTGCCTCCCGCTTCCGCGAGGTGGTCAGTTTAGCCCTCAACGGTAACTACTCGGGCAACAGATGGTTCGACCAGGAACCTGACCTGATGTACGTGACTGCTGTCGTCAACCGTAACGAACGCTTTGCCAACGACATTGAGAAGCATGGCCATTCGTAAGACACATCTACCACCTGTGCTTGAGAGGAATTGTACTGACTGTGTCGTTTCCCAGGNTATGCGTTCAAGTTCGACTATTCTCCAGAGTCGTCCGAGAAGCCAGACACCACAAGCAACGGCGGTCAAAGTCTTACACTGCGCCACACCAAGGACATTGATGATCTTGAAGACTTGATCACCGGTGACCGTCTGATTGATGACAATATCCACAACAACATCATCGAATGGTTGTCAGAGCTCTACAAGGGCAGCCGAGGCTTTGAGTTGGGAACCTTCGACAAGAACCTTCTCTCCAGAACGATGAAGGCTCAGTCAGAAAAGTGGGAGCCTCTCGCTCACGGCTACATCCTAGATGTCGTTCACCTAGCACACCGTTTCGTCACGACTCTGCTGAGACATGTCTGTCCTACTCCACGCGGCAGAGAAGGCATCATGTCTGTCCTCATGGAGCCTCTTCTCGAGATCTACCGTCGTGCCCTCGAGCAAGTGCAGTTCGTCCTGCGTGTCGAGCACAGCAACCCTCAGACCATCAACCACTACTTCAACGACAACCTGGAGAAGTCTCGTCAGAAGCGTCTCCGCGCGTCACTCGAGAAGCATGCCACCGTTCAAGCTTCACCCTTTGGCGGTGTCCCTCGTAGCACGATTGCACTCGATGATATCGTTCAGAACCACCCCATGTCGAATGCTCAGCACACCGTCTTCGAGGTCCATGATATCCTCAAGGCTTACTACAAGGTCGCCAGAAAGAGGTTCGTTGACAACGTTTGCATGCAGGCTGCAGACTATTTGCTGGTCACCGGACCCAACAACCCTCTGAAGATCCTCTCTCCCCAGTTCGTAAGCTCCTTGTCTGACGAACAGCTCGAGGAAATTGCTGGTGAGGACATCGGCCTCAGAAGAAGACGCATTGCTCTCGCAAAGGAGGTCAAGGACATGGAGGTCGGAAAGAAGATTCTTGCAGGTGTCGCCTAATCAATCACTTTCCTCAGAACTATGTAGCATAGTATGACTGGTGGTGAGGGAGTGGTACGTGATCAGTGCCGGACGGATGTGTTTGTTTGTCATAGACTAGGTTGCTCAGCTCTGAAGAATTGGCATCGAACCAAAAGCATTACTCGTATTCCTGTCCTTCACTTGTGTTACCAAAGACCGGCACCCATCTCATGATTGATCTACCTCCCATGGAGGTTTGGTGATGCTGAAAGCTGCCTATCAAAAGGCAGAGTTGCTTTACGCGTGGAGGAGTGGCCAGAGAGATACAGAAAATATCCTACTCTCCGTGGATGCTGCCTCGTTATGGAGACTATCCTGCTTTCTATAGCCATAATATGACAGTCTTTGGTACGTGGAGAGAGAGAGGATGACATTGAGCTGAAGCTTGATAGGGAGGGTATCTCGGTCCGATACCAATTATCTCTTCCCGACATTCAACCGGAACTCGAATGCACTCTTCGCGTCTGCAGCACTTTCTCGCTCAAAAACACCAACATGGTACACGGTCACTTACGGCGCTCGATAACGTCTCGTCACAGTGAACACTCTGTGAGAAACGGCTCGTCAATATCAGGAGATGTGGGCAGACGCAAGCGGCACGAGATGCAATAATCCGTCAAGCACACATTATCACATCGGATAGCGACGTCTGCATGCATCCCGGCCTGACCGCCTACAAAGACTGTGAGTACTACACTCGCCCTCTGTGACAGATTGACCCTGTAGTGTGCAGTTCCGAAAGCCTTTGTCAAGCCATGCGCCAGCTATGATGGGTATCGTAGACGTGATCAGCTCCATCATGAAGCACTTGCTCCTCGTACAGCGAGCCTGCATTTGAGATCCCAAGTTAAATCAACCGCAATCGGAACCTTGCAACTGAGGACGTTCTCGCCTTCCGACAGGTCTGCTACCGTCAGGCATGGCTTGCTTTATCTGTCACAGTGCCCCTCAGAAGCTATAGGTCGGAACCCGTATGTTACCCCTCCTATACATGTAGAGAAGCCCGAGGTCGAAATCAGTTCTCTCCGTCTACGCCGCAGCCTCGAAGCCCACGTAGGGTTGGGCAAGCAAATGTAGTATCAGGAACTTACTGAACGACAATGGCTATTTCCGAAGTACATACTTTCTTGAGATGAGTTGTGTATTCTCGTAACAGCACGCCACAGCCATCAATATCTGTAGGTTCTAAAAGCTCGAGGAAAGGTAAGAAGATGTATCAACCCCTCTACGGTAACAGACAGATGGCAAACAAATTTGGGCAAGTACGCGCTTCCTTGGCTGCCTTTCGCTAACATGTCGGCTATTCCTGCCAAAATTTGGAGACCGCACCTTCTTCACTTTCATACAGCGTGTTTGCCCTTTCCGCTTGCTTTGCTTCCATCATCTTGTAAATTTTGCTTTCACACACTCAACTTCTGAAATTTTTGCTTCATTAGCTATGGAGTCAAGCGCATCTGAAGAGGATGACAATTGTCTCTCCTGTAGAATCTGCCGATTCCAGGGAGGCCTTGATCTTCCTACTCCTACCATCGCCGACCTTGACGATCTGCGCACTCAGTCACATGCCTTCTCAATCAGCATCTTCAGACACTGGGTCCTCCTCAACAAGATACTCAAGCGTTTTGAGGGTCAGATCCAGAAGCGATGGATCAAGCGCAACAACGTCCAGAGACTCTCGGTTCTCCTCCAGGCCTGGCCACACATGGCAGCTACTCATCGTCCAGAGTTTGCAACTTTGCGTAAGATTAGCGTGAATAACAACAAGCGGCGCCCCAACCAAGCAAAGGAGAAGGAGGCATATCTTTGGCCATACATCAACCAGGAGGATCTGGTCCAGTCGCACAATCTCCTCATCTTTCTCAATTCTCGCGGACGTCACCTTCCTGACAAATTTGTCTTCGGCGATCAACACCAAGCAAGCGTCGGTAAGCCATGCGGCACCGGCGAAGTCGACAAGTACAAGATGTCACTCCATGGACAGAAATCGCCCAAGACTTATGGTTCGCTAGTCCTTCGCGACACAGGAGACAGAGTCCAGCAAGAACTGAGGATGGAGCCCGCCGCCGGTCTCCAAGTGCTTGAGGTACAGGAGCGCATTCTTGACTTTCTCGTCAAATGCTGTCGCCTTATCCTGCACGATAAAAACCTCGACCAATTGGACCTTGTTGAGACCAAGCCTTCTCCACCTCAGATCAACCCTACCTTGCCCGTCCACACCGTCACTGCCATGGCTCAGCTTGCGCCATACCGCCTGCCACAGAAGCTTGACATGAGACGACTCAGAGTACTTATTTCGGCAAGACGCGAGGAGGCTGAAGAGCACGTTTGGGCTTTGCGTGAAGACCCAGCCTACTTTGCGCAGACTATGAGAGAATGGTCGGAACACTCACCTTTCATGATTCCCGACAAGATCAAGAGACCACACAGCATGGTTGGTGAGCCTGTATTCTGGGACAAGGTGGCAACAAACATGATTTTTCACGCTTACAGCAGCCTGGTTCTATTCGCTACCGCCGACGAGGCTGTTATTCTCGCCCAGGAAAGGCTCGACAGCTGTCGTCACAGGCTTGAGCTATCTTCTAGTCTACCACCCGAGGTTGAGAAGATCTTCCAGAGGCTAGATCATATCGTTCAGATCGTGGCCGATGAGCCTCTAGGCGAGCTAATGCTTGGGTTCCCTGCATCGCCACCCATGCGTTATGGTTACGAGAGGGCGGCTGCCGATTCTAGCCCCTCATTCAACAGCTTGAAAGTCAAGATGGGCAGACTGAGTGCAGCATGGAGGGTTCAGGTCCTCTTCAGAACCTTGCTGAGCCCTGAGCAGCAAAAGAAGGTGGGTAAGGGTTCTCTTTGAATCAAGACTATGTACTAACAAGTTTAGCATGGCTTGAACAACACGGTCGAAGAAATTCAGAGAATGCTGGACGAGCACAGCAAGGACAGTGATCTCATCTCCAGCTGGGTGGCCAGCAGATTCTCGGACCTGGCACTCATGTCGGAGTTTAGACGGCAGCTTGGTCTCTTCCAGCCATGGTGTACCGCTTGGAGAAGCAAGTCTTTTATCGAGGACGATGCTCCCTATTTCTTCAGCATGGTCGAATGTGTACACGACTTCACCTCATGTGCTGTGCTTGATGCAGCTGACCCTGCATTCTTTGCGTATCCGTCTGACAAACGCAAGACGCGTGAGACTGTCGTTCAGATGCGACTCGCCGAGAAGCGCTTGGACAAGTTCTGGGCTACGGTGGACAATCACTGCGAGGCACACACATCCTACTCGGTGCTCCACCTCCTCATGGACTTCTTCACCGACTGGAACAGAAAGATTCACAGGACGAAGCCTTGGAAGGAGCCGAAGGAGAATGGTTACAGACCCAGCCAGCAAGCAGAGGATGGCAAGGATGAGGAGATGTGAGTACTTCTTTGACAAGCGATTACGAGATACTGACCGAGACTNAGTGGACTGCCTCTGCATGTGTTCGATCCCAATGCACGCTGTTCTCACCCCAAGAAGAGTGAGCTGCTAGGAGGCATTACTCCACAGAAAGCCAAAGCCAAGACTAGACCTGATGGTCCTACACCATCTCCTGGACAGGAGGCACGCAGAGATTCAGCCACAAGCACGGAAGAAAAGGAGGATGTTGAGGTGAAGAAGATCAAGGTCAACAAACGTGCTTTCAAGGTCTTTGCTACAATGTTCCATGTACCTTCCGCCAGCGAGCAGCAGAACACTGGAGAGGTTGCCTGGTCCGAGTTCTTGTACTCAATGAAGATGATTGGCTTCTCTGTCGAGAAGCTGTATGGATCCAGTTGGCAATTCACACCTGATACGATCGATCTGCAGAGAAGCATCCAATTCCATGAACCACACCCTCGCGCGAAGATGTGGTTCTGGCTTTCGAAGGAGTATGGTCGCAGGTTGAACAGGTATGTGATGGTATCGAACTTCTGCTGAGAGTATACTAACGGGAGTGGTAGAGCCTATGGTTGGACCGGCGAGACGTTTGACCTGCAGTAGGTGGACTGAAGTCTGACTTGTCAAGTGAAAGGCGTTCGCTTTGTTCAAAAGACCCTTTGTCACAATGGATAGTGGAGATGGTCAAGGCAGATAGAAAAGACGGAGTATCGGTATGTTGACTGGGTCATTGACAACTGGGTGATCAAGTCAAAGCGGTGGCTCAAGTCGTAGGATGTTCGTCGCTCGTAGGATGTTCGTCCTCGATGAGCTCGCATACTGCATTGATTGGTCAGACATAGCATGTTCATAGTCATCAACAGAGGATACAAGATACAAGGCAGCAGCTTAGACTTGTTTCTTCTTGCAAAACATCAAAAACAAAAGAAGGCATAAAGTCAAAGGAGGCTTGGAGACGACGAAGTGATGCGTATACAGAAGCTTGGCAGCCGGAAATAGGAGCACGGAGAAGGGGCTGACGCAGCGCGGCAACTGCGCCTTCTGACCATCATGGACTGAAACCCGATATTTGGTCAGGGCATTCGCCTCGTGAGGAAATCCTAAACATCGTATTGGACATCATGTTGGACGAAAATCTACCAGCCTTCTTCTATCGAAACTCGCCCGATGGAGTAGCACATGATAAAGGAATCTTCTTCTCCGTTCGCGGATCCGACCCCAGCCCCGCGTACAGCCTGAGGCACGGCGACCCCGCCACCTCGCGCAATTGCTATGCTGCCGGTCTATTCGACTGCTACAATCCCGAGGTGCTATATGGAGAAGTCTTGATCAAACCGGAATGGAGCCACCCGTCATTGTCGCAGGAGGACATTCGAAGAAACGGCGGTGTACCGCCGCCGCCAGTGCCCATTCTGCCTACTCAATTCACTGTGCAGTTGTACAACCCTGACCTACAAGTGACAGTGACGCAGAAGCCCGGTAGCTGGGGAGGTAGTGCATCGTATGAGTTTAGTCTCCCTCAACTCGTCTTTCGCACACCATCGGCTTCGACCCTGGACCGAACCCAAGATGACCCTGGCGCGTCCTTGGTCACGCCCAAACTCAACTTTGTATGGCGCAAAGAAAGCAAGCTCGCCAGGGACCTGACGGCCTACATGACTGGCAAGTCGACCGACGAGGTTGTCAAGAAGAAGCACCGCGATCCAGACATCATCGTCGGTCTGTTTCGCTCCCTGCGCGAGTTGACCATCTACGAACCCAATCTGTACCGTGTCGAGTTGGAGGATCCTAAAGGTCTTGAGCTGGTCCTGCTACTGTCTGCCGCTGTCATCAAGGACCTTTACTTCTCCAACGACGTCAATCAACTCTTCAACGTCTTCGATCCTGCTCGCCTCGCATCCGTCCCAGCGACTGCCGCGCCTTCTCCTCCTCTAGCCGCTAATGCCGATCGACGCAAGTCTCTACCTCGCCTGCGAACTAGTCCTCCTACAACCGCTACGACTCAACGTCCTCCTCTAGCAGGTGTTGGCACCGCATCCGCGCCAGATCCTCGAACACAATGGGAGTTGGATGCCGAAACCGCTCGCTTGCGTGCTCAAGTCGAGGCTGAAGAACGCGAGATGNNAAGAGACAGGAAGCTGCTCGTCGTCGTGAAAGAGAAAAAGGCAGATGAAGCAGAAACTCGACGGTTACGCAAGATGGTCGAGGAAGAAGAGCGCGAGGCCCGTCGCCGGCAGGAAGAGATTGATCGCGAGACAGAAAGACTACGGAAACAATATCGTCTTAAGCCGCCTTCACCGGTGAACAATCAGCAAAGGCATTCTGCGCCCTCGCTGCCAATTCATCCGCAACAACAGGCTGGACCTTCACGACCTGTACCTGTGGCACCTGCCTTCGGGAGCAATGGCATGATCATGAGCGGAGGCAATCCGCATGTGCCTCCTGCTGCTGGACCAGCGAAGATGAAGAAAAAGAGCTTTTGGGGGTTGAGGAGCAACAGTGATCAGAGCAATGCCGGCAATGGCAAATTGAGCAAGAAGGCTAGTGCTGTCTGGTGATGAAGTCGATACAGAAGACAAACACATTACACATACACGCTACAGAAGCGGAACAAATCCTGGCTGGAACTCAAGCATCGAGTCTACCCGCACTACTGCAGCGCAGTCGTGAGGCCAATGGAGTCTTCGAGTGCGTTTCTGACTCGATCTGGCGAAGATCGAGTCTAGATGGCGATAGCTCCGAGAAGTTAGTAGCTCATCACAGCCTCATAGACACAACAGGACGTGCAGAGAGTCTTCACAGTCGAAGATACTGGATAGAAGCAGCACGGTCTTGAAGTCAGGACGAGTAGAACACAAACAGCATCTGGCATATAAACCACGTCTTCCATAGCCAATACATATCTTCATCCTCTGTGTTGTATTGACTCCGGGTACCAGCTTTTGGGAATTACCTGCACTAATCAGTAGATTGATCAGAAGTCAGCTCCCCTCCCATCCCTGTCCTTGAGAGACACTCAAGTAGACATCAAATTTATGACTACATACCGATGGCGGGGCTTGAACCAGGGATTTGCGTCTTCGGCTGGACCGAGTTTCTATACAAAATACATCTTGACGTTGCAATTGTCTGTATCTTGCCAAAGATGATGTTTACGTCTGACAAGACCAATCATAACAAGAAAGCAATAAGCAATTGACCAAAAGTGACATCTTAGTTGAGCAGATTTTTCCCAAGTTCGAAGCCGACCCTGACCGCCAAACCAGGCTTCACCACGCAAAAAAAAAAAAGATCCCTAAGTCCTCCAAACATGCACCCTTCTTCTCACAACTCTTGAACATAAGTGCAAAAAAAACGAAAAAAGGGCAGTCAACTATGTGTAGGAATAGCCGAAGGCGGGGCTCGAACCCGCGACCTTGAGGTTTGGAATATCTGATGAGATAAGAGCCACACGCTCTACCGATTGAGCTACCCCGGCAGGTCTGATTGATCTAGTTCACTGCGTGAACTGGCTGCTGACTGATGGAGGCCGGGAAGATAAGCTGGTCTATATACACTGAAAAATAGTGCTGGAGTGAGACTGGTCGAGCACCGTAATGCGATCAGTTGAACAGAAGAGATTGTGTGAATTGGTCCTCATGTTTTTGTTGTTCCAATTTAAAAACGAGATTTAAGCTGCACTATTTCCGCTTCTGTGGGGCGGACAAGCGAGGATTCGTTCCTTGTTGCTTTGTGTTGGCCAAGTCTTTATGCAATGTCTGACACCCTGGTCTATACTTCAAGCATACATTGACGCGGTCAGATCATAGATAATTCACTTGATATGTGTTGGTGGTGTTGGTGGGACTCTAAGGGGCTGCTAGAACTATATCCTAACACTTTATATCCAGCTATATGTTTGTGTTTGACAGAGTTGGTTATTTGTGCTTGACGCTGGAGTATGAGCCATGACTTCAGTAGAAACACTACGTCTTTTGCTGAAAGCATCCATCTGGATCGATTGTGGAGGAGACAACATACGATGTCTTTTCCCACATGTGAGTCTTTAAATAGAGCACATGTCAGCGGCGCGAATGTCCTCATCAACCCAAGTAACCTTGCTGTCGACTTGCTCATGTCTGGTTGCATCCCATCTTATCAAATCTCCGAGATCTATGCAGCACTAAACTAGCGCAGATCAAAGCTCGAAAGTTCAAGTCGGCCCGTGAGACACGCCATCATCCTTCTGATAACCATCTCCGAGCCATGAACGAGATTCATGCTTTGTTGCGTGGGTGCAAGTTTCGATCATGCGTCTGATCTCGCCACTAAGATTGCCTCATCAAACGCCACAAGCGAGAACGTGGATGGTTGAGAAGCCACTCAGAACTCTTCCTTGAACACCATCATACGCTCCTTGCCAGCATCGTCGACCCAAGCGCGGAACATACCTCCGCAGTTGAAGTCCGCTACCACTGTAGCCTCTCCGAAACGATACTCGATACCGATGATACCGCCCTCGCCCTCTCCAGTCTTTTTNNTCCAACGCTCTTCGGCACTTTGCTGGAGCATACCGTCTGGACCAGCCATACGGGACACCGATACTGCCAGAGGAAGAGGTGGAAAAGAGAAACGGGTCATCGCAGAAGTTGTACGAGCTGCAGACGTCTTGAGGAAGGCATCTCCGTTACCTAGAGGAGGAGGTTAGGCATGGATTGGACATGAGCGAGATTCTGATATAATGTTACCTGTTCCGGAGAGAGCGACTCCATGAGGTGCTGAGAATAGCTTGACCGATTCTTGAGAAGGAACAGGTAGGCACGATGAGAAATTGGGCAAGCACTCTTGGAGGACGCTGCCAAAGTCACCATTGACCAGTCTTGCTGCTGGCGACAGAGTGGGTCGCTGGTACATCATGCCACGTGGGCGGTCGAATGGGTTCTCTTCAATCCACTGTTCAGCCCAGAAGCCTGCTCCTAGAGTGGGTGTGTCNNCTGCAAGTTATCAGTAGTCAGAACTGTATGGGAGGGATGTATCTGAACAGACTCCTATCCTGCCTGAAAGCTTATTCGTGAGCCCACCAGTCGAGGTGGCTACACAGAGCATGCCATCGCTATCAAGAACAACTGCACCCACTGTCCCTTGAGGAAGATAGTCTCGGCCATTCCAGGAAGGATCGTGTATGTTGAGGTCTCTAGCATCTGCTGCGCGCTCTGCAACGTACGAAGAGCACTTATCTGCCCGTCTCTTGTGCCTTAGATATGTCTCACGATCCGTAGATTTACCCAAGCCCTTGCGATGTTCATCCCATCGTCGCTTGGTCCAGTAGTATCCAGGACTCACAGTCTCCAAGCCCCATTTTTCTGCAAGCTTATTTGCAGTGTCGCCAGCCAGTTGGACATGACCTGCAGCGCCACCTCCATCTGCATCTTCTCCTCTGATCAACAACTCGCGTGCAAGTTTGATGGGATTTTNTGCTCCCGAAACTTCCATGACACCGACGCCGCGCTTGTGATAACCTTTGCTGACCATCACGGAAGCCTCCAATTCATGTGTCCCTGCGGTCGTGTAGACGGCGCCATGACCTGCGTTGAACAGAGGATTGTCTTCTAGCATTGAAACCGCATGAGTTGCAACATCCAAGGCTGTAGCGCCGGGCCTTAACAACAGAGCATATGAAGACTGTAGAGTCGATAGAAGGGCAGCTCGGTAGGCTTGATAAGCATCCTTGTCCAGATTGTCGCGAGTTATGTTTCCAGCGCCGCCATGGATGATAATCCGTGGTGCGCACTTAGAGGATTTCATACCGAGAAGAAGAGTCGAAATATGTTGATGTATCGAAGGGCTGTTGACAGTGATGTTATCGTGAGGAGGCTGAGATTGTAGTGATGATGCCAAAAGTGTTGCCAACAGATACAGCTCGGGGCGACCCGAGTAGCAGGTTCTCGGCAGCATCTTCCGAAAACGTCCTTTAGTGCATCCATCTCGGCCTGTTCGGTGCTACACTCAAAGATTGTGAAACACATATCCAAGATGAATTAGGATGGGGATCTGTGAGAGTATAGACCATGAGCCTCGGATTAACCTAAGGTGTTATAGGAGGCCGAGTAATACCGGCATCTCCCTTATAAAGGCAGTCCTCATCGCGTGCTTAAGCTATAAGATATTGCTATAGGATTATGCTAAAGAGAGAATCCAAATAACAAATATAAGGCTATAGTACCACCTCGCTATAGCAATCATCCGTATAACAATATCCTTGATTAAGCGATTTTCTTTAGCCATTTATTAAATTTGCTATATAACTATTATTATTTCTTGCTTTCTTAATATATTGGTATCTCTAGACCTAATTATCGCTATATTTAATAGGGCATAGTGCGCTAAGAAACAAAGAAAAAAAAGAAAGAAAGCTACTATTAAACATAAATAATCTATATCTGCATAAATACATAGTATAACTAATGCTAAGAGCTCTCGATTAAACGATAATCACGATATAACGATACTGAAGCATCATTCTAGTCCGATCGTTATAGCGAGGTAGTACTGTATACTCATCAGCTGCTACGTCTGTGCATAATACGCATACAAGGAAGGACCGATGCTTAAACATGATCCAGTGATTGAACACCACATCAAGCACGGGACAACCAACCGACATATGCTAACGTGATGTGATGTTGAAAGTCTCTAGGGTAGAATCTCACGACCTTGTTACTCAGAAAGAGCTCGATTTATAGACTGGCTGGGTATGCTTGCTAATCATGAATTTTGGTAGAGGTACATAGATACGTCCAAAGATTTGTGTCATGCTAACGGCAAGGACACGACGAGAAGCGCATAAGAACATGATCCAGTCAAACGAAATACAAAGCCAAAAGACATCCTCATGCTATCGTATTAGAAGCTGCATCCGAACAAGAGTCGCTTAAACGAACAAACCAGGATGCACGCGCTTGGCGAGAACCCTGAAAGTCGAACGATCCGAGAGATGTCCGAGATCTAAGAACGCCTCTTGGAAACTGCTAACACACTTGCACGTCGAAACCGCTTCGAGTACATCAAAAACATGGAAAGTACGGTTACAGTTGCATCGAGTATGATGGTGATCGCATCAAGGAGTTATCTCGCAGAAAACATTCTCTTGCAAGAAATATCGCTCTGGATATATAATGTCCCTCATCCTCCCTAATGGATTCAGAGTATTGAAGAAGTCATCCTCTACTCTTTCTTGATATAGTCAGCTCTTCACCGGAACATACCTGGCCCAAGTCCACATAGTAGACATGTCGACATTCACATCAAGGACACCGAGTAGTACCTCGACCTTGAACCACCATGAGGAACCCCACAAACAAGAGCCAGACCTTCAGGAGACACACAGGAACCCAACTAGAGAACATATTCCAAGCCACATTGATACAGATCCGCTAGATCTACCTTACCGTACACTCACCGAAGATGCCGACATGGCTGAATACACGACCGAAACTGCCACTGGCACCTTAGCCCGCAAGGTGACATCCAGAAAGACGGGCAAGACTGAAGACTACGAGCTTGTCACTTTCACGCCAGGCGACATGGAAAATCCGAAGAACTGGAGCAAGGCATACAAATGGTGGTGTACAATGGTCGTCGCGCTGACCTGCTTCGCCGTCGCTTTCAATAGTGCTGTGATCACGGCCGACATGATTGGTGTTCGAGAGACCTTTGGGGTTAGCGAAGAGGTTGCTCTTCTCACCATTACCGTTTTTGTTTTAGGGCAAGTATGCCAGTCCCTGTTGCTTGTTCAAGATGAACTAACCATCATTAGGTTTGGCGTAGGTCCGATGGCATTCGCACCCTTCAGTGAAACGTGGGGCCGTCGTCCTGTATATGCCAGCACTTTGTTGATTGCTCTTGTTTTCATCATTCCCTGCGCTGTCGCTAAGAACATCGGAACCTTGCTTGTCTGTCGCCTCATCGACGGTATCGCCTTCTCGGCTCCTATGGTCTTGGTCGGTGGAACACTTGCCGATCTCTGGAAAGCCGACGAGCGAGGTGTACCTATGGCTGCCTTCAGCGCCGCACCTTTTGTCGGACCAGCCATCGGGCCACTGGTTGGCGGTTTCACGTCTGACCACCTCGGTTGGCGATGGTTGTACTGGTTGCAGCTCATCTTGTCCGGATTCGTCTACATCCTTATCGTTTTCACCGTGCCAGAGACATACGCACCTATCATTCTGGCAAAACGCGCAAAGAAGTTGAGAAATATGACGGGCGACAGCAGGTTCGTCAGCGAGTCGGACCTCGACACCCGTCCGATCAGTGAACGAATGCGCGTCTTCATTCTTCGACCCTTCCAGCTCTTGTTCTGCGAACTCATCGTCTTCCTCATTTCACTCTACATGAGTGTCTTGTATGGAATCCTGTACATGTTCTTCGTAGCATTCGTCATTGTCTACCAAGAAGGGAAAGGGTATTCGGCCAGTACCACTGGTCTGATGTTCATTCCTCTGGCGATTGGTGTGATTGCGAGTGCCTTCCTAGCACCTCTGATCAACAAGGACTATGCAAGAAGATCGATAAAGTTCCAGGGCAAGCCGCCAGCAGAACAGCGTCTGATTCCAATGATGTGCAGTTGTTGGCTCATTGCCATCGGCCTGTTCATCTTTGCATGGACATCATATCCTCATCTGCATTGGATTGGACCGGCGATGGGTGGTTTCTGCATTGGTTTCGGCTTCATTCCCTGTTACAACAGCGCCAACAATTACCTCGTCGATACGTACCAACATTCTGCTGCGTCCGCTCTTGCAGCAAAGACATTCATCCGAAGCTTTTGGGGCGCTGGCGTCGTGTTGTTCACAGAGCAGATGTTCCACAGGCTCGGTTATCAATGGGCTGGAACTCTGATGGCTTTCATCGCGCTTGCTTGCTGTGCGATTCCGTATGGTTTCTACTTCTTCGGTGAACGCATCAGAAGATTCTCCAAGTATGCGTACGCTGGGGACGATGAGGAGAATGCTGCTATTCCATCAAAGGAAACAGCGGCGCATTAGCTGATAGGCTGATCACACTTGGAGAACAAGATAGAGTAGTTGATGTATTGGTCAACTACATTTGGTTGTTGAGTTGCAAATGGGCTGCCGACGTCACACGACGCGTGACTTTGGAAGCCCCCTCTCGAGTCTCATCGACCTCGGTAACGAGACCCACGCTCTGGTCATGAACATCAAGGGACAAAATCACAAAATAGATATTTGTAATGAATTGTAGCGTCGTTATCTCGCAGATCCGACCCAACAATACATAATTATGCTTGTCCAAAGCCCAATGAATGTTCCAGAGCGATATCCAGCTTGCTCGCCAAAATCTCCTTGCTTTCATATTCAGGAAGCCTGAGCGTACCAAAACAGGTGCTGCTTCCAGGCAATGCACTCGTCTCGGAGTCACTTCTCTCAATAACGAAAATCAAGCTCTCGGCTCCGTTCACGGGCACTCGACTGCTTGCCGTAACGAACTCCAGCAATTGCTTCTGCTTTTCTTGGGGATAGGCCTTGACCACGTCCCAGAACCAACGAACGACCGGTGAGCTGGCTGTGTAATGATTGTAGGTTGTAGCTCTTTGCAGGGCGATGATATCGAGGTGGTTATGGCCTTCGACCAGGGTGCGAAATTGATCGGCGTTCATAAGNNCTGGACACATGTGAGCATGATTTGAGACTGGTGTAACAAATCAAATACTTACCGATAATGGTCTGAGATTCATCACGGAATAGAACCCTTTCGCGAACGCATTGAATTGGGGGCGGATGGACCAGTCCATGACCCATTTAGAATAGCTTGAGACAAATTCCAGGCGATTGTCGTTTGTGACTGGCTGAGGTAACTCTCCGGGATTCGCGATCTCGACCTTCCAGCCTGGCCACTCGAATCTGCTTTGCTGATACCCACGAGCTCCGGTTTCAATTTGCGTCGGTTCGCCTGGTAAATCCGTATGGCCTGTAGCATCCGGTAGCTCGTGCGCAACAGAATGCGCGATGTGTGTAGGCTTGGAGGTCGGATGGTACTTGTCGGGATATTGTCGCATGATCTTCAATCGTCCCAGACTCATGTTTTTGCCTGATTTAATCTTGTCCCACACAGACCAACCATCCCATGGATCATCCATACTTACATCCAGATGCAATCCATTAGCATCAAAACTGTAGACATAATCTCGAGCAAAGTCTTCCTCTACAGAACCTTGATGCATCTGGAGATGTTGCAACGACCTAGCCAAGCTCGGCCAGCCCTCTCCCAAATCAGCTTCACTAGGTGTTTGGAAGAGGAGTTTCTTGTAAAAGACCAAAGGGAACGAAACCGGCAGGGTGATACCATTGTAGATGGCAAGGGCGAACAGCAAGCCGAAAAGCTGGTACTTGTAAAGCGGTACCATCGTTGCGGGCTGGAACCAGGCCAGGCGAGTTTGAGGATCGATTGAAAAGAGTGNCTGCGAGTGTTCAGTATAAAGATTTCGAAATCGAGGTAAAACCGACTTACAGTAGGCGGGATTGAAAGCCTCTTGACAAGCAAGCTTGAAGAACTCGATCTGAACGCCTCCAAGATCATGACCAATCTCGCCTTCGTCGATTCCCATACGTATCCTGAGTGGTCGTAACAACTCTCGCCTCTCCCTGTGCCATAATTGGTCAAAAGCATCAGATAGTATGGATTGCCTGTTGATCTTCAACACGATGTAATGGTCTTGAGCGGCTCTTAGACGGCGATCAAGGTAGACAACGTCCTGGATGTTAACCTGGGGCATTGTTCTTCGACGTAAGTGTAATACCGCGTCCGCTTCGTTGTAGGCGCGCCGCATGAGGACATGATGGGATGTGCGAACCAGTAAAATCGCTGATCTTGTGTCGAATAGGAACTTGAATGACAACAGATGACGACTATTAGGGTTTGGCTTGTAGGACAGCCAGTCTTGTGCTGCCTCGTCGACATTGAGAGAATCAAATACGGCAGAACATGTAAACAATTTTGCAGGCATGTCTAGCTGTCCTCGACCTCGGTGTTTCCCTGAGAACGTTAGTGATACAAACCANNGCAACCGAGATTTGCTCTTACAAAGATCTTCGATCAACTCAAGTGCCGAGCCAGCCACAGACCATCTGTTAATCTGCAGAGAGCCATCCCATTCTTTCAAGAAACATCTGCGCAGCCACTCAAGCCAGATAAGAGATGTGGTACCAACAAGCTCTCCACCATGTCGCAGCTCTTCTCGGTATTTGGTCTTGAATGTAGCCATCCGTATACTTTGCTCCTCGTGAACTAGTAAATCGGTGAGGGACTCTCTGACCCGGCGGCTAGTTTGCCAGATTTGCAGCCGCGGATCCGGCTTTGCATCGCCCATGCCACAGGCGGACAGGGTTTCTTCAAGACAAGTTCTGGCACCAATTGCCCGGATTAGGCGTTTTGCCATCCGCATAGCAGGATCTTGCTCAAAACTGTCGAGAATTGATAGCCAGGGCGAAAGAATCGGATCGTCTGGAATTTCTTTTTGCTTGCCATACGCTTTGCCATTAACAATCGTAGACCAGACCATGTGCCAGGTATCTCTCGAAGCTTGTGGCANAAAGGAAGTGAGCACGTGAATAGCATAATGCAATACACTAGTGACCTGAGCGCCCTCAACATCAGATGGAAAGGTCTGAAAGGATTTCGGTCCTTGATATCTTGGATCGAAGGGACTCTCGAACACCGGCTCAAGAGCCTCCCATATAGAATTGAAAACGACAGCTGAAGCATCTTGTCCAAGTTTGTGTATCGACTCAAACACATGATGGAGTCTAGTGCGACGAATCATGAAGTGAGGTGTAACTGGTCCTGCCATAACACCCATAGGATCATCAGAGAAGGAGCGCGCCAGAGCCGAGAAGCTGGAAAACAAGCAGCGTAACTCTGAATAGAGACGGACAAGTTGGTCGTCTTGCTTCGAAGACAACAGAGCGGAACGAGCGCTACGCGTAGCATCGCAAAGTTCAATCAGGTCATTGCAAGAAATTGAAGCAGAAGACGAGACCTCGATGGTAGACTCGGGACGTAAGGGTTTTGCCAAGTGTGTATTCTCGACCGAATGGATGTTCCTAAGTGATTCAGAATTGAATAGCTGCTGCATGATCGATCTGTGATCGACCTTTTCCTGTACAGTGGTAGTGATGGTCGGAAGCTGACTGGAAAGATTCGGACAGAGACGGTCGTATGCGTTCTCAGATGAGGCCAAGACGACTGCCATAGTCCGGGCACTGACAGCAGTGTAGCCACGCATTGGTGGAGATGAGCGATGAGACCTCGCAGTTGCACAAAGAGGTGTCGAACACGTAGAAGCCCCGCATCCTTGATGCAGTTGGATAAAGAANNACTGAAAGACAAAGTTCAGATGGTGGCTCGAGTAAAATATCTCTCGCGGGACCACGTACCGATTGATCAAGTCTTGGGTAACATGGCGGCGTGTTGACGATGGCGGCAAGGATGTTGGACCATACGAGGATGGAGTAGCCATAGTAATACAAGTGCAGACGGGAAGAAGCAGCAGCTATACAGCCATAACCGATGTTGTCAAGAATGTTTATGAGCACGCGAGGGTTAAGGTAAAGAGACGCGATGCGGACGAGGCTTCGGCAGGAAGCGACACATGAGAACGAACTTGTTGGTTGATTGATCTTACAGTGCAAGACTCGACCATCTCAATGAAGTTGTCGAAGGGTCAGTGACCAGACAGAGACTCACCAAGACCGAGTAGAAATGGAATCACAAAGGGTTGCAAGTTACAATCAAGGTGTGAGAATGAAGAAGGTCGAGGCAGGCTTGGCGACGAGGCAGGAACGGACGAGTCGGGCCCGGGGATTGCGGCGTTTCGACTGACGAAATTTGGGACATGACATGGCTTTGCGAGCAAGAAAGTTTGCCCCTCCAGACATTTCTTATCGTGCTGCGCTCTTGTTCTTCTGACATTGCGCGCCACTTTCCATACAACCCACACATCGCTGTATACCACTCCTGCCAAAACACCTCATCATGGCTAGCATGGCATCGGGTCCCACCCACCCCTTCACCTGCAACACTTGTCAGGTCGCCTTCCGCTCCAGCGACCTGCAGCGCACCCACATGCAAAGCGACTGGCAGTAAGTCTGTCCAATGTCCTAGCATTTCTCGTATCTGACACAGTTCTCCAGCCGCTACAACCTCAAGAGAAGAGTCGCATCGCTTCCCCCGCTCACTTCTGAAGTCTTTGCCGAAAAGGTCCTTGCCAACAAGGCTTCAGCCGCTGCCACCGCCGCTCGTGCCTCCTTCGAAAAGGTTTGCTCCGCTTGTCAAAAGACCTACTTCAGTGAGAACGCCTACGCAAACCATCTTGGAAGCCAAAAACACAGACAGCAGATTGCTCGCATGCACATGAGAGATGTCGACGATGCCAGCTCCGTCATGAGCTCTACCTTCTCGCTCGGAGAACCTCTCGAGACCGCTTCCAACGTCGAGACCGCCTCAGTCGCCTCCGTCGCTACCGACCGTCCCGAGGAGCGCGATTCCGACCTTTCAAACATTACCGATGGTGTACAACAGACCGACATCGCTGATGACGACAACTCATCCAGAGCCCCTACTGATGCCGACGACATGGTCGAAGTCCTGCTCAACCAATGCTTGTTCTGCAACACCATCTGCGTAGACCTTGACGAGAACATCAAGCACATGTCCAAACAACACGGCATGTTCATTCCCGAAAAAGAGTTCCTTGTCGATTTGGAGGGTCTTCTGAGCTACCTCCATGAGAAGATTCACGATGACCACCAGTGCTTGTACTGTGGTCAGCTCAAGCACACCGCTTCTGGTATCCAGACACACATGCGCGACAGAGGCCATTGCATGATTCCATACAGCACTGAAGACGACATGCTTGAGATTGGAGAGTTCTATGATTTCAGAAGCACCTACTCAGACGAGGAAGACGATGAGAGCACCGACGGTGCAGACGACCAGCAAGAAGGTGGTGTCAAGCTTGGTGCCGCTCGTGCCACCAAGGTCACTATTGAGACCGAAGACGGCGACGGAGACGCAGAGATGGCCGACGAGGATGATGAAGGATGGGAGAGTGACGGCTCCTTGTCGTCGGTGCCGACTGATGAGATTACCTCTGTGCCTATCGATGACCACTCGCACCGCTACAAGACTCTCGACCGCCACAGACACCATTCTCACAAGGACCCTCGCCCTCACCGAAACACAGATGGATACCACTCTCATGCTCACAACACTCCTCACGCCGTATACCACGACGAATACGAATTGCACTTGCCTACAGGACGCACTGCCGGTCACCGTTCGCTTGCCAAGTACTATCGCCAAAACCTCCGCAGCTATCCCACTGCAGAAGAGAGGGCAGAACAAAGAGCTATTGAAGGCCGTCACGACTCCGACGACGAAGAGGAAGCCAGAAATTCAAGAAACGACCGTGGTCGTCAAATTGTCACTCGTGCAGAGGGTGGCCTTGGTATGGTTGGCGTCAGTGAGGTCAAGAAGAAGGAGGTGCGCGCTGCCGAGAAGAGAGAGAAGAAGCGTGAACAAAGAGCGCAGGCCAATTACCAATGGGGCAATGACAAGAGAGGAAACAACCAAAAGCATTTCCGCGTAAGTTTCCCTGATAATAACATTGCAGATCGCTTGCTAACCCATCCCAGGACCATCTTCTGCAATAGATGTGTGCGCTCTACACTGCAGTCTCTGGCTGTGGTATTTCTGCACTTTTTGGACAGCTTTTGGCTCAAAGTATATCTCATGATTGTTACACCTCTGGTTTTTAACAGACCGCATCAGCGATGGTCCCCAAGTTTTTATGCAAGACATAGAGCATTATGTTATACTACGGGATTGATGTAGTCTCTTCTCGTATACCAATGCATTCACTTTTGTATGATTCCTTACGAATACGTTCTTTGGTCTCGTGTTCGCTTTCGTCATCTTCTCGAAACTCTCACCAATTCGGCAGGCTTTGCTCGTTACTGACCATTTCTTAGACATCGTACAGCAACATCAGATGACAGACTCGGTGCCTTGATAATGTGTACCGTGAAGCATAGGTATTTTCGAGCTGATGGTGTTCAGGAAGTCGATAAACTTCGTCAGGTTCCCCTCCTGCCACGCGAGGATTCCTCTCATTCTACACTCGCAAGCTCGATGGTGGAAATCAAGGCGTGCCTGCCCTCAACCAAGCTCAAAGCTCATGTGTTGCCCTCTCAGCATCCCAACCATCTATCTTGCTTCTCGACATCAAGTTCTGTATTACTTCAGGCGTTGTACCATTGCTTCTCGTCTCATCTGCAGCTGCGCTCTATCCATTGAGTATCATCGACTACAATCTCTGCCCATTACTACCTCTGGTATGTCGAGCTCCCTCACCTCCAAGCACTTCTCAGGATGTTTCGTGGTCTAATCAACGGGCTCTACAACGGCGCATCTGCTAACTCTATACAGCATTCAGGATGAAGTCGAGTCTAGTTCTCGGTGCTCTCGCCGCTGTTTCCTCTGCTTCCTCCAGCATGCGTACGTCCTGGGACACCACTTTCTGGACTGTTGTCAGGCCAAGTCTGTCAGCCAACACAACCCTTTCAGAACCGGTCACAACCCTGACGTTGACTATCAATTCCACCATGTCGGGCACTCATACAATTTACAACAATGGCGAGCCCAGCTCGACCACTACTGTCGTCAACATAGTCGAGCCAACATCATCCATCAACGCCTCTAGCACCGTGCTGGTCCTGGTCCCTCCTCACGTCCACAGCACGACCACGGTCCTCAGCACGGTTTCTACTGTCTCCTTGAAAATATCTCCGACTGTCTCGTCCACCCGTCTTTCATCATCAACCATCTATTCTACTCGTCTCTCATCGTCCATCTCTTCGACTCGTCGTACATCCACTATCTCATCCACTCGCCGTACCTCGTCGACTGTCTCGTCTACTCGCCGTACATCGGTCAGCTCTCCGACTACAACCACGACCGTGACCGTGAAGCATTGCAAGTCCAAATCCAAATCCATATCGAAATCCAAATCCACACCCACACCTACTCCGACCACCTACTCGACTAGTTTCAGAACGATCCTTTCCACTAGGACCAGAAAGGTCTCTTTCACCAAATCTGGAAAGGACTTTTCTACCAGTTTTAGAACGGTCCATCTTTCCGAAACGACTATAGTCACGACCGTTACCACCAAGCGTTGCAAGTCCATGCCCACTTCGCACTCTTCTGTCAAGAAATCCATCACCACCGGTCAAAGAGGTCTGGGTATGATCCCAGAGGCTCCTTCGGCAGTACTCTGATCTGAAAACAGCCGTACATTACTTTGACTCTGAGAAGTAGGGGTATCAAAGAACCCGACATCCTCCAGGCCTCTTCTCATTACGCTCCTGATCTGGAGGTGATGATGCATTTTTACAGCTCATGGTATCAGCTCCAATGAGCTTGGGAGCGATACGACTTTTCCTTTCTCTAACCATGGCTCTCCTCGGGCTCACCTAATACAAGTACAACGATGTAATTTCATAGCTGCAAAAAGGAAGAAAAGTCCATCGAAAGCCTCGATTCTAGCTGCTCTCTCTTGTTGCATAGCTGACCTGAATGTTTGTGCATCTTGATAGTTCTAGGACACCCTTGATGCCACTACTGAGTTCTTCTTAGACCCGACCCAACTCTCGAGAGAAAATCATAATTGTATAGGTCATGTTAGTGTATCAAACAATAAGGTGTATGAGTAGGTGTTTGGGGATGAGGTGGAGGTGGTGTGATTGGACAGCACAGCGGAGAAAGAGGTTGTCTTGGTGTCTTGGCGTTTGATGTTTACTCGCAGTGTTTTGATGTTGACGCGAGCTTGTGGACAGTGCCGGGTCGTGTCAAGTTTCAAGCATCCTTCTTCAGCATTGCATATCCAGGCATCTTTGCTTGTTAGCATGCCTTCGCCTCGCCAGTCGCCTGGAAATACGTCGACCATGTCGAGCTTCCAGCCCGAGTTCGAGTCCACCCAGCAATTCGACACGGCCACGCAGTCGCTGCAACTGCCCAACCTCCGATCCAGTGCACAGCGCTTCAGCTACTACAACCCGCCCCAGCCCGCAGTGCACATTGACTCGTCTTTTGTGCGCGACAGCTTCCCAGACTTTACCGAAAAGTCGCCATCGCCCTCGCCCGACGCCTCCATGTCCATCGAAGCAGGACGCGGCAAGAAAGGCAGCCCCAAGAGCTTCGACATGTCCGACATCCCCCTCCCTAGCGACAGCCTCTACGACCTGCACAGCACTCCTCCGAGAAGCACGCGTCCCACCCCAAAGAAAGCCGACAATCTTAGAAAAGAAGCCTCGTTGCGACGCGCCCACTCGAGCGACAAGAGAGCCAATGCCTCGCAGCGCCGCTCCTTGTCCGATATGCACCACAAGGTCCGCCATGAGAGTGACTCTTCCTTTGTTGGCGAAGACCGCCCGACCACCCAGACCGTCCAGCCGCGAAACACGCGCTTCACCTCGGCCAATCTACCCACCTCTTACTCGCGCGACCAAGGCCTGCAATCCGCGTCTACACCTCAGCGTCCGCTGCAGAACCCTACCGCGACCTGGACCGGCACCCAGACCCAAGCTTCCTTCATGCTTCCTGACCTTCCGAACATTACCGAACTCGTGTCGGGCATACGCAAAGATGGCACCCCGGTCTTCTCGCGCTCGCAAAAGTCACGTTCGCGCTTCACTTCTGCATCATACAACAATCCTACCATCACAAACACCATCGCTCACGCAAACATCAACTCGATTGCCGTGCCCGACGAAGAGAAAGCAATCTTTGCTTCCCTCCAGCTCCTGAAGGATAAGGTTGCAAATCTCGAATCTGAGAAAAGTGAAGCACAAAAGAGACTCGAGGAGTACGAGACAGAAGTCGGCCAGCTCAAGTCGCGCCTCGACGTCGAGCAGAAGCTGCGACGGCCTGACAGTGCATTGGGCGAGGATGATGATGGTAGTGCCAAAGAGAAATGGCGCATCGATAGAGCCACTCTGCAGTCTACCATCAAGACCTTGCAAGATCGCCTTGACCGCGGTGAGCGCAAGATATCTGTCAACGATATCGCCGTCAAGCGTTTGACCCAGGAACGTGATGATCTGGTTACCCAACTCGGTGTTGCATACTACAATTCCGAAGAGTTTAAGAACGAGAACATGCAGTTGCGCGATCTGAATGAACATCTGGAAGCTGATGTCGAAGCTCTTCAAGCCGAGAATGGTCGTCTGCGCGTCAGACTCGCTCAGATCAAGGCTCAGTTCAACGATGAAACACAGCAGTGGAACTCACGCGAGTCTGATTTGAAAGCACGGATACATCGTCGTGAGGCTGCTGTTCGCGACATGCAGCACGACCCGACCACTCAGTCTGCCTCTGCCCAAGACCAGACTTCCAAGTCGTCCAAGTCACGCTCTGCTCAAGAGAACCAGCAACTTTCAAGCAAGCGCCGAACCGGTGGAAGACTTGGCCAGGATACTAAGCACAACATCCTGGATAGCATCGAGAATGAGATTAGGAGATCACGTTCCGCTGCAGCACCTGCCAATCTTCAACCTCGCTCCCGTTCTAAGTCCAACACTCGTCAGAACACCTCGACGTCCCAACGTGTTGTTGAACTTAGCGATGTTGATTCGACGACCAACTTGGACTTCTCTAGAACTATCAGAGACGGAACTGCCCACAATGACGACGACGACGACTCTAGAGATATTACCTATCTGAGTTTCCTCGATCCTAGAGAACTGGCAAAGCTGCGAAAGACACTCGAGGAAGAACGACGTGCTTCGAAGACTGCGCGTGCTTCATCTGCACCCCAAACCAAGGAAAATGCGACCTCCACCAACATGACTGCTATGCCTCGCAAGTCTTCTCTTAGGGACGTCACAAACAACGATACAGGACGTTTCACTATCAGATCTCAGGTCGATGAGAACACTGGCCTGCTTAAGAATGTTCGAATCCAATCGCCTCACACATCTGATGCCATCTCGTACTCCGAACCTAGAGAGTCGATCGAGGCATCGTTCATGAGCACCTCGTCTCGCCGAAGGAACCGCAGCAAGAGTATCGAGGAGATGACGTCTGCCTTCATTCTCCCGGACATCACTCTCCATACTGGTCCAGGAGCTGAAGCTACTATGGGAAACACAGTCGGTGACATCTCTCACGACAAACTGAACTGTACCGCTTGCCCGTCTCAAGATTTGCAGGACAAGGAAGTCACTATCCCTCAACCGATCCCTGTCTCCGAACGTGAGATTGATGACACGAACGCCACAATTCGACCTTCTCAACCACCACCTGTGGCTCTAGCAACCGTGCTCAAGCAGCTCGAGGACGAGGTCAAACATCTGAAGCTCCAGCTTCAAGGTTACGAGAAGATGTACAACAAGCATGATCCCGCTCTCGGCCGCCGCAAGCGTCTGGCTGTGAAGCAGAAGATGGACTCCTTAATGGCTGAAGTCGAACGCCGCAGCGACCAAATCTATGCTCTCTACGACGTTCTCGAGGGCCAAAAATCATCTGCCACCGACATTGATGGCGAACAGCAGTTGCAAGAGTTCGACGGCGAGCAAGTGGAAGAGACATTGCAGAGTCTAGGTATTGATGTTGACGAATTGGCACATAGAGCTCGGGAGGTCAAACAGGCACAGCATCGTCCATTTGGTCTTGATGGGCTCGATGAGGGAAGCGATGTTGAATTGCCTTGGGGTGGTTTCAGTGATGAGAGTGAGGTTGAGGAGGTACAGTTGCCCAGGAGACGTTCAGTGAACAGGGCTGTGACTGCCTAGGGTCGAGGAATGAGGATGACATGATGCCTTTGGGTTTTGGACAGGTCAAGGAGTTTTGAAAGGACATCGTTAGGTTAGCGCTATCAGAGCAAAGAGACTGTGATTCTTCATGATGTAGTTGTTATGTTCAATTTGTCACCTTGCCCAACATTCTTTCTTGGTCAGCATAAGATGATCTGGGGCCGCTCGTCCACAGTGGCACAGTCGTCATGGCTAAAATGTTGCTTGACTGGACTACTGCTATCGCACCCCGCGGACAACGTAGGCACCAGAGCGACGATGACCATATTCCAAAATGAATCCTATCTCGTACGCGTATAAGGATACGAAGAAGCAGAGGATTCCTCCCCGTTGGTGTCGGCCAATAAGCGGCGGTTTTCTAAGCCCTCATGCTTGTTGGTTACTGTAGTTATGCACAGCCGTCGGCCGCAAGAGTGCCGAGAAGGGTGATCCATCCACGAGCATCCGAACGCAGGGCTGAGCAAGTACGTACTCTTGGTAGCAAGAACCTGAACAACGTTGGAAAAAGAGGCTTGGAGCTGTCAGATCCGAAGTAGATGTCATCGTGTGCATCGCATCAGCTTGACCAAGTCGGAGAGGTGTGCCGGAGCTGAGGAGCAGTGGCGTTGCCAACCGTGCTGGAGCCTCGCGGATGCAACTCTAACGAAACAGATATCAAACAGCTTCCTACTTTCCACCCCCTCTCCTATGAGAGCGTGAAGCGAAGTGTACACCATGGAAAAGCACGATTCTGCTTCGAAGCATAGGAACGAATAAAGAGAGCTACTAAGACTCTGGCTCTCAGTGGATTCTGCCTTGTTTCTCAATAGCATTGTACATTTCTACAACTAGACGCGCTACATACTTTAGCACACGGAGAGGTTGGATGGTACTGTCTTGTAGCCGGAGGGCAAAATGATCTGCAGGGTTGCTCCGCGGCAACCGAGCAGACGGAAGATCGACTGATCTTGATCTTGTGCTCGAAAAAAAAAGATATTTTTGGCACTGTTGATATCTTGACTCTACACCAGTCAGATGTTTGAGCGCATGATATGTGGCTATCTTACTATACGCGCAATGTACTGTACGATCAGGAGTAGCCAAGAGAGCGTATTGCTGCGTATGCACACGCGACAGTAAGATGAAATGCGCCAAGGTGTGTTGGGTCCTGAAACTGTAATAGCCTTTAGCGTCTATACGTCACTCTACTGGCTCCGTTTCCGTGGGAGCCGGCAGACTCGATATATCTTTTGTTTGCCCCGGCCTCTGCGTGCCTGTCTATTCCTTAATCACATTCTGTATCCCTATCTCAATACCAGGATGAAGGCCCAAACAGCATTGACCGGCCTGGTGTCGGTCGCCGCCCTTCTCCCTGACGTCTCGGCCAGTGTTGTGGTTATTCGCGACCCCTCTGTTGAGCAAGCTGCCGCAGAGGCCCTCGCTGTCCCGCTGGCCGCACTCAAGCGTGCAGCTCCTGAGGCCCCTAA